CAAAGCATGTCGAGCATCCTGGCTACGCCTGTCCCATCTGTCCCAAAACTTTCCAAACCCGTGGTTCTTTGCGCCAGCATCGTCGCGCTCATTTAAGACAAGTCCGATCCCTGAACATTGTCTAATAGAGTTAATATCTAACGTTATTTACTTGAACTTCTGTTATTACTAATTCATATCAGTCTCTTCTTTTTAGAGGAATTGTTAAAGATTGAGATTCTGAGTAAAATGTATCGAGTTGAAGGGAAAATGTGGGAATGTTCTGTGTGTTCCTACAATGGACAGAAATGTCATGTATTTGAACACATTGAAGCTAAACATGTTGACCACCCTGCATATTCATGTGGCGTGTGCGGAACGCTTTGTTCCACTAAGAACTCTTTAAGACAACACAAATACCGTAATCACAAAGGAACTAAAACCTAGTTAGAACCTAGATCAAGATTGCCAAAATAATTCACAACGTAAGTTGCTTGAAGTGTTATTTCCTTATCTATACTGCATTCACTGCATAATTGTAAACATTTAATTTATTTAGTATTTTATTTTAGAGGATTTGTTAAAGCTCGAGATTTTGGATAAAATGAATCGAGTTGAAGGGAAAAAGTGGGAATGTTCCGTTTGTTCCTATAGTGCCCAGAAATGTCATGTCTTTGAGCATGTTGAATCTAAACATGTTGACCATCCTGCATATTCATGTGATTTGTGTGGAATGCTTTCATCCACTAGGAACTCTTTGAGAAAACACAAATATCGTCATCATCGAGGGAAATAAGCTCTTTATTTACATTTAGTGCAAAGTCAACCCCATTTTTATCTTAATTTTTGCAACAAACATGCAATCTGCTCAGGTTTTTTTTTTTTGAGAATCAATTACGATAAATTTTTTGTTGCACGTAATGAAAAATTAATGCGAAAGCTTGGTTTTACCAAGTTTAAGGAAATTTTCCGTATCTTCAGTTCGAGTTCAACTTGAAGCTGAGATATTGTCGAAGATGATTCGAATGAATGAGTTATGGCACTGTACAGATTGTGGATACTCTAGGTTACAGAAAGGCCAGGTTCTAGTACATGTCGAAGCTAAGCATGTGAACCATCCTGGTTATCTTTGTCTGGTCTGCAATAAAGTTTGTTCAACAAGGAACACATATCGACAGCATAAACGTCTTCACAAATTTGTCAAGTTTTCATAACTCATTCCCCCCCCTTTGCCCCTTTATTACTTTTTTCTGTACTAGCTTTGATTTTATGAATAAAAAATGTTCTTTTGATCCACTTTTTTTCTTTAATTTTGAACCATACTATTTTTTTTTGATTTTTGGTTTAGATGGATCTGAGGATCTAGAGAAATTAGAAGAAACCATTCTTGGTATGATGGAGAAGAGGGAGGGGGGTTGGGCCTGTACTGTTTGTGGGTTTATTAAGTATAGGAAAACCCATGTTAAAGACCACGTTGAGTCAAAGCATATTAGACACATTGGGTTTGTCTGTCCCCATTGTTCCCGTGTGTACACTGGAAGGCATTCACTACGCTCACATGCAGCCCAGTGCAGTAACAATTAACAAAAAATAGATATTTCGATTTCAGAATTAGAATGGGAATATCTGACAAATATCATTTATCCCAAGATGCGAGAAAAAAAAACGGTTTTATTTGGATGTGTGTTGAGTGTGGTTTTGAGCGGCGAGCCAACGAAAATGTCATAGATCATGTTGAATCAAATATATTGCAATTGAATATAAGACCTCCGTATACTTGCACACTATGTACTTTACATTTCTCTTCCCGAAATTCATTTAGAACACATAAAAGCAGATATCATGGAAAATTTTTAAAAATTTAATCATGGCCACCCCCTTTGGATGTTTCAGTCCTATTTGCATGCCCCTAGTTATTGTCCTGTGCGTATTTAATACCACTAGCTGATTTTCTTCAACAAATTCGAATTGCAGAATCTGTACCATGGGACGAAGACATATCAACTAAGCTGGGGAAGCTCGAGGGTCAATGGACCTGTTTTGTGTGCGAGTACACCAGCAAGTATAAGAGCCATGTCATTGAGCATGTCGAGGCCAAGCATGTCGACCATCCACCATATATTTGCGGGATTTGTGGGAAAAATTTTAAAGCGCGAAATGGATATAGGCAACATTTTGTAAAATATCATAAACTTTCCCTGGAATTCTTTTCTATACAATATTGACAATATGGAAATAGTGAATAATTTTTAATAACATTCCATTAATAAATAATAAAATAAAAAATTGAATTTTTTACTTGTGATAAGATGGGTGCAAGCGTATTATGTTTATGTGATTTAAACAGGCAATATCATAACCACCCCCTAGAAAAGCTTCATAGGACTGGGTCAATTCTGTCAATTTATCTATTTGAACTTCTTTAACGCATATATTTTCTTCAAGTCAAAGTATGATCATTCATAACATGATAAAATTAGCAAAACTTTTTTGAATTAAAGGGTTATCCGCAAAAGATCGGACATTTTGTTTAGATAAAAATAAAGTATATCACTAAACTATTTGTTAAATGATACATTATCGTCGAAATGAATTTTTTTTAATTTCAAATTACACTCTGGATTTTTTTTGTTGCGAAAAATCCCAGGTTTTTATTCCTCTTATCAAGATTTAAAGAATTGACCCATTTTATTAGTTTGCTGCAGGAAATGTCTTAAACTGTGTGTTCAGAACTAAAAAAGCACATTAAAACATTAAATTATGCATGACTTAAATAAAGTTCTGAATGCAGAGTTTTGGCTTAAACAGCATTCCCTGTTTTAACTGCAGAAGAGAAAGAGAGATGATTTCTCTTTCCATTTCAGAGCTCGACCTGGTGATTTGCTCTAAAATGTTGAAATATCCGGGAATATGGCGCTGCTCTGACTGTAGCTATGAGAGCAAGAACAAGAACAACATGTATGAGCATGTGGAGTGCAGACATGTTCAGCATCCGGGATATATCTGTCATTTCTGCAATAAGACGATTTCCAGTCGAAATTCCCTTCGTAATCATATTATTAGAATGCATAAATCAGCCGTCAGATAGAACCTGCCTTACAATAGATTTATAGAATTTACATAATTATTTCTTCTGGAGTAAACGTATTTATATTTAATTATTCTTTGGGAAGGTTATGGAATTTTGATACCGCTTCTCAAAAAAATCAGTCAGTTCAAAGTTAAGAAATGTGTAATTTTTCAGTTTCTGGATTGGTGTTTGATGACTCGGACAAGAACGAGCTAAGTGAGATCATCCAGCTGCGGATGGAACGCAATGACGCCACTGGAGAGTATACTTGCCTTGAATGTGGATACGCTAGTAAACACCGACACAACGTGATCGATCATGTCGAGGCTAAACACTTCAAGATCCAGTACCACTGCGACCAGTGTAACTATGTCAGTAATGGCAGAAACCCGCTCAGGGTCCATAAATACAGGAGGCATAAGAAGCCGGAGCAGATGATCGTTACAATGGAGATGCCAGGGATGGAAAATGATTCTATCGATCCTCTAAGCACCAGCTCAGATCAACTTATGATCGAATGATTTAACTTGATTAGAACATCTGGTCGTTTTTATTTTTTAAGACTTCCGATATATATTTTTCTTATTTAAACGTGATTTCAATTAAATTATATTTTGCACAAAGCATATAAAAAGATTAGAACTCGAGTTTTATCCCTTTTGAATTTTTTTGGTAAACTGACCAGTTCAGTTTGATTTTAATTATAATGATTTCTTGGAGTTTTATTATTGTTTTATCATTTTAAAGTTCGTTATAATTTTTTCCATTTTGGAATTTTCCTTATTTCCAATAAATCATTGTTTGATTTTTAATCTATCATAGTTTCACCCAAACCTGTAAATAATAAATTGATTTTTTTAAATACACTTTTTAAAAAAGGAAAGAATAATCATGAAAAATATTTGGTCAGAGATACTATTTTAAATAACTTTAGGTCGGTTTTTTCCTTTTACGGTATTATTCAGTTAACTCTACCATTTAGTTATCTTAATTCAAAACAAAAAGGCATGTCTATACATTTAATTATTAGTAGGGGGNGGGGGGGGGGGGGGGGGGGTAACTAAACAAATGTAAAAGGAAAAAGAAAAAAACTCAATTTCTTCCGCGGAAGTTTCTTAAAAATCAAAAGTGGGAAAAGAATTCCTCATATATTGAATTCTCTTCTCCATAAGTACCTGGAAAGTTAGAATAGGAAAGAGAATAAATCCTGGATATTCTTCCTCGTCGATTTGATAAATCAAAAAGATAACATGAATTGTGTCTATGCCACGAACTCAAATTGTCTAATCCCTATATCTTTTCAACCTGAGGGTGTAAACCTTTCATATTAAAAACTTTGATTATTAGATCTAACATAATTCAAAGTTTTAAATATCTAAGGGTTGCGACATTGGGTTTAAAAGATACAGGGATTAGAAAATCAGAGTTTGTGACAAAGACTGAATTCCTTTAATTTTAAGTTTCTATGAAATGAACATACAGTTCATAAGATAAAGTTTTATCAATCAGGATTCATATCTTCGTTTAATTTTATTTTAAACTCGAATAAATATGTTAAAATTGCGGTTCACAAAAATCTTAGGATTTCTTTCATTAATAAGTCACCATATTGAACATGAAAATGTATAGCTTTCATGGGGATCTGGACTTTTAATTACAACACAGTTCTTTAAAACTTTTATTCACTATAATAGAACAATTGATCTACATCTACATGCGAAACCTATACCATTCGTACCTATTTTAGGTAAAAATAATAACCTCTTAGATTATTAGAAGGGTTCATAAATAAAAATGTGTTTAGTAAGGCAGAAATTTTTACGAATTGAAAGGAAACTGAAGTTTTTAATCTAAAATTCATAACCATCCCCATCTGTCACAGAATTCCCTTCTCTATTAAATATGGTCTTAGTCGGTCTAGTAGTTTTAAAAAGGTTTTTTGATTGTTTAGTTGAAACTTCCTGGCTTCCCATCTGGATCAACGGATATCTCCTCTGTAGGAAGGGGTGCGGTAGTAAGTTTAAGAATCCTGCACCCCTGGTCCGTCATGAAACCGTGTGCTCATGTCCTGAAGACCCCCTGGGTCTATCGAAACTATCTGTGAAGTCCCTGACAAAGTTAACTGGAAGAGGAAGACCATATGGTTGCCGTCGTCGAACAGGTTTTAGGTCTGCTGGTTTACTACAGAAACGTTCTGATTCTCCGAATAAACCAATCAGTATTGCTCCTAAAAAAGTTCCTTTGCCACGACTGATTTCCAGGCCCAAAATGGAAGCTGATTCTAATGACGAGGACAGTTTGACGGAGGAAGATCCTCTCTTTAAGTCTGAGCCCCACGAAAGTTGAATTCTTAATGAAAATGTCAGTTTAATACAAACATTACGCGGCAGCTGATGGCTTGTGTATAATATAATTCTCAATAAAACATTAAATTTTATTACTTCTATTTGTGCTTTTTTATTATTGAATTTATTCTTCTTGGACGATCTGGACCTTGCAGATATACTTTAATTCCTTATTTAAAATTTGCTGTAAAACAGTAAACTTTGGTTTTCTTATGTCCTTAATTCCTTGAAACCCTCTTATCAAAGTAAACAATCACTCGGATAAAAGATATTTTTACTTTAGGTTAAGAATTATCAAATATAAATAAGGTAGAGGCTTTAAATCAACCCTTGTGCGTTTTCAGTTCCTTTCAAAGTGTACTAATCATGTAAATGTTCTCAAATTATATGCAGTATAGAGCACATTAATACAGTATGTTCCCTAGACTATTCATTTCAATTTCCAATTTTTTAAAGCTGTTAAATAAACTTTATAATGAATTAGGTGAATAAAAAACATCATTCGATTTATAGTTATAATGGAAAATCATCGTTTGTAAAGTGAAAGGCATAGAGTCTATGTGAAATGATCATTGGTCAATTATTTGGTTTTCTTTTAATATTAATTTTAGATTTTCTATAAAATGATATTCTAGGGCCCAAAAGGTTATATAGCATAAATATGTGAAGTACACCTGCAGTATGGAAACAGTACAACAAAATGGCCGTTTTACACTTTTCTAGTAAATTCCCCTCTAATATATAATCTATTCTCTTTGAATTTTAGCTTCCAAATATTACTATTACATGCTTATTCTACTGTTTTTGTTCTAATTTTTTTTATTGTTCAACCCCTAGCTGAGGGTGAATTTTTTTACAAGTTTTAATATCCAATTTCAACTGATTTAGATAAAAGGATAAAAAGACACAATGATGGATTTAGTTGCCTAGACTGTGGATTCTTCAGTAAGAAACTCTACAGTACAAGGTGAGGAGGAGGAGACTTAAAAAGGGACTGTTCGCGTAATTTCAAGTGACCCTATTTTCAAAGAGGGTAATAACTGATAAATACAGCGGTACCCTTTCGCTTTAAACCTTTGTCTGTTCTTCGAGTACAGAGATATCTGTGTTTAAATCTATTGAAAACCACATCATTCCTGTAAAACCCGGTGTACGCTGCACTATGAACTCAATACAGCTGATCCGTTACACGTGCTGTTTGTCCCTTAAAATTAAGGAATATTTTATGTAGAAAGTGAATTTTAAAAACTCGTCAGAAAATATTTATTTTCTGGCACGTTTAGAAAGTTAACAAATTGTTCAACAATTAAAATCATTTCTGCAGATTAATAAGAATAAGTTCAACAACCTTGATCAGACAAAGGTTTAAAAGGTTCTGTTGTGAAACGGACTCATCAGTTCTACATATCCTTGGTCACTGGAAATTACGCCTACAGTCCCTTCACGTTTCCTCAAAAGCATGAAAGTTGTAAAGGGGTAAGCTAGGCAAAGGATGAGACTTAATTTTTAATATAAATTTTGTTCATTATTTCATCATTACAGTATAATAATGATAAGGCGAAGTAGTGCAGCGAGACATAAAATTCAAATATTGAGAAAAATCGGTGTAGATTCTACTGGAGTCTCATACTAAGGGGATAACCCTATAAGTGATATTTAAGTTAATAAATAGCCTAACTTGTAAAAAAAAATAGCTAGTTTTATAATTCCTAAATTTTAAATCGTATCAGATTTGCACTGTACAATGTGAACCAGAAAACTGTTTAATTAATGTTTTTGATATTATTACTAAGCAAATAACTTAGTAACTTAGTAATTAGTAACTTAGTAAATCACTTATTGAGTGAAATGGGCTTGTTTACACTGTAAAATTTCTGTGTCTCGTGTTTATTGGACTATTTAAAGTTACAACATGCGTCTTAAAGTTGTCTTCCTATTCCAGAGCTTTCTGGTTCTCACTGTAGTGTATTTCTTTTATTCAGGGGATGGAAAATTATTTTTCAAAATGGTTATTTTCTTACAATTCTCTAAAAACAGCAATCATTTATGCTAAAAGTCATGCATAAGTTTATTTCCTTTGTCTCCCATTGTATTTGTATGTATTATGTATGTAGACGGCACTGGGATTCTAAGCATGGCGAAGAGGGACCTCTCTCTTGTGATATCTGCGGTAAACTCTGTGCATCAAGAAATGCGTTGGGAACACACATGAGCAGATATCACAGGCGTCAAGATGTATTTCAATAAATAATTTATCTGTCAACTTTTTTTCTTATTTTTAATGTATTTCTTTTATATGTATTAACAACAATTAACAAGAACTCCCAGCTGAAAAACTTGAATTGAAAAGAAGATGAGTTGGCTTGGCAATTCTGAAAAGGTAAGATTTATTCTTTTAACCTCTACATGTATTAAGGGGCGGATCCAGCTATTTGATATGGGGGGTCAAACCGAGCGAAACTTGTGACCGAGGTGGGAGTGGTTGCAGGAGGGTGGAGCCCTCCGGAATTTTTTTTTTAAATTCACATTGAGAGGATTGAGTGAGTATTTTAAGTGCTCAAAATCAAATTACTCTTAAAATCGTTAAAAATATTGCCACCTTAGAACCGTACTTTCAAATTTTTCGCTCAGGCAAGAAAAGTATTGACATATAAATGGATAGCAAGTAAATAAGGTCGAGCATATCTCATTTTAGAAGAAAGAAAAACTTTTACATCATAATAATATCATTTAGGGGTTTGCAATTTTGTGAAATTTTTCTTAAATCATTTTACAGAAGAAAAATTGTATTCTTCTTGGAACGTTAAGGCATAATTTTAAAATGCATTCTTCTTGGAACTTTAAGGCATAATTTTAAAATTGTATTCTTCTTGGAACTTTAAGGCATAATTTTAAAATGCATTCTTTTCAAAAAATGGGTATCCAAAAAAAATGGGCAATTATGTTCTAAATATTTTTTGGTACTACAAAAATGTTTTTTTTATTGAATTCGGTCAATTTTCAATATTTTTATACTCTGTTATTTGATTCGAATTCGGGAAAACAACTCAGTTTCTAAAATACCCAGGTATTGAATTGAATGTCTGTTTAAAATTAAAATTTGTATTTGTATTAGTGTTTTTATACATTTTTATTCATTACACTCATTTCAGGGATCCATTTCAGATTTTTTAATTCATTTCATTTTTAAAACATGCCAATAACAATTCCAAGTAGAGCATAATTTTGCTTCTGTTAAATTTCTGAAAAATGTCACAAAATTTCGTTTTGGTGCCGCTGTAATGTTACTAAAAACTATATTATGTTTTAATGCTGGAACTTAATTTTTAAGATTAGAAAGAATCATATTCAATTAATTACAGCATTGGTTAAAATAAAACTTAAAATCTAATTAGACAGTCTTTTGAAAAGGGGGGATCAAAAGATGCTCTTGACCCCCCCCCCCCCTTTATCCGAACCTGCACATAGATACTACAGAGTGTCCCAATAAACATGGGAATTCAGTGACGAATTCGATATTGTCTTTTTAAATAATTCTTTGAATTAGCATAGTGATTCCTACTGAGAAAATTGTAATCTGTAAGAGTTTTGTCTGCTATGTTCACATTTTGTTTGTTTTTGTTTTGACTGCATACGGTTGTACTTAGTAATACAAGAAAATTGCAGTATACAAACAGAGAAAACTTGTCTGTCTTCACTGTTCATCTTGCAGAGACATTATAGACACATCTTACAGTCTTTTACCCTTTTCATAAAATAATCTCTAGCAGACATAATAATATAATGGCTTTTGAAATTAGGTATTACAATGCTAATTCATAACAAAGACGATATACAATTCGTCACTGAATTCCCATGTTTTTTGGGACACCCTGTATAAGCTTGATATAATGATATTCATTCATAGCGACGTTTCTTGATTAAAGAAAGAAAGAGGATGGTAGCCAAGTCGAATTGACGTAGAGGATTTTTAAACTACAGCAATAACCAGAAAACTCTGAAATAGTTAGACGACTTTAAGACGCAAGTTTGACTTTAAATAGTCCAAGGAGCATGGCACATATTAATTTTGTTGTCTAAACAGGCCCATTTCACTTAATTGGCGTTTTAAAAAGTGTTTTCTAAAAATACTTGCTTTATAAAGTCGTCTTCCTATTTTTGAGGTTTAGTTATTACTGTAAATAATTTTCTTAGGGGACAATTTAGGTTCGGTACATCATAAATGTAATCTTGATGATTTTATTACAGGTTTGTCCACAAAGGATGAGAATGAATGGCGAGCTAAACTCTGATGGTCATCTTTTATAAGTATGCTATAATGGCGATTTGGTAAATAAAGATGCAAGATACTAGAATCCAAGTCTTATCCTTTGATAAGTCTGAAAATTTGCACGGTGAGCATGCACATTTTGTTGGTTGGTTTATTTGATGAACGATCAAATTTATGACGCGTTAGGAAGCTCGTCAGCAGATTAAAAAAATATCAAATTTTTTATAAGACTAAATTTATTCAAGTCATACATTAATTGCAAAAAATAGATTGAAAGAACCTTCTGAAAAGACGACATTTTTTATTTTCGCATTGTAAGGTTTAGATTAAACAAATGAGGCTGAGGTAGGTTCTGACTCTTCTATTTTGTTGATGAGGAGACTCAGCTCGGACAAATTCATCTCAACCTGAATCAACTACAGGGTGTCCCAGTAAATTTGGGAATTATATGAAGAATTCTATATCGTCTTTGTGATAGTTTTTCTTAAATATAATTTACTGTTAAACATCTAACACCGAAACTAGTAGTCTCGGGATTTTCAAAATGTGGTCTTCCATTTTTTCACCTTCAAAATTAACGGAGATATTAGGAAATGTATCCAGATTCCAGTCAGTCAAAAATTAACAAAACTGTTTAAATTGCTAATACCTCCGTAAATTTTAAAGAGGCAAAGAATGGATAGCTCATTAGACGTTCAATATTTTTTGATGCACTTCGTGTCTTTTATCAATTATTGGAATTCAAAGACGATATTCAAGTCGTCTCTCTATCCCCAAGTTTATGGGACAGCCCGATAAGAATGGAAATTGAATTTTTTTATCCGTCATGCAATGCAGTATTTACAGAGATTTCTACTGAAAACAGTAAATATTGAAAAATCCTACAGTCTCGGCCCTCGGGATTTTCAAAATGATGCCTGTCCTTTTTATATTAAGAAATTATACCAGATTCCAAATTATTATTGTCAGGGTGTACACAGGGTTACCCTGAAAAGATGAGACTTTTACGTCGATATAAAACTCTTTGAATAGAACATATCTTAATTTTGATTTCAGTGTTGTGGCTTAATAATAGTCTTTAATGGGCATAAAATGATTTGTGATTTGTAAGAAAGAAGATGGAAAAATTCTCTGAAGTCTCATCTATTGTTATTAATATCTCTGTTCGTTTTAAAAATGCAAAGACATTATAGACTTTCTTAAATCCTCATGGGTTTATGAGACACCCTTCATACCTGAATACCCAGCCAGAAAAACTTATGTAAAGGAATTGAGTTTTTGCCACGGAATTCAAATTTTCTAATCTCTATATCTGTGCAACCTGATAGTTTAAAAGGCTAAATTTCTTACAGGGTAAAATTAAGTGAGAACCTATGTGTCTCATAAGTCCGAACTTTTCTTATGTAAATTTTACTTCTAATCACATGTTGTAGAAAAAAAGGTGAAACCTAACCCAAGTTCATAGTTTTAAGACTTTTACTACTGTTTGCATAGATACGTTGTACTTAAAAAGCCAGAAATGCCAGAAATATTTATTTTCTTCGATTGTATTTTTTCTGTTTATGATAAAAAAATGAAAAGAACTAACCTTAAAAATCCCCTCGTCTGTAGTTAATGTTAGAGATATAAGCGGGGTGCTCTGAAAAACGCAGTTATAAATAAATTTTAAAAAAGCAAATCTAATTCTTAACCCTATCCCCGCTGGGGTACTTGAAAACCAGGATACGCTGGGGGGGGGGGTCAATTTGACCCCCCCCTCTAAATCCCATGTTTTATGTCCAAATATGACAAATGATACATCATTAGAAAGCTCTTCTGCTCTACTTTTAGAATCTGCAAACAAATTTGCAAATTTGCGAAAATTGAATTTTTTATCGCAAAATCCAGTTTTATAGTAAAAATGTTTGCAAAAAAAATTTGTCCAAAAAATGACAAATTATACATTTTTGTAAAGCCCTTGACCATGCCATTTCAAATATGCAAAAAGTTTTGCAAAATTTTAAATAACCTGATTTTTAACCAAGAAAAACTAAAAATGTGCAAATTTCCTTTGACAGGTTGTTTGCAAAAAATGTGCAATTTTTTTTTCGCAAAACTTGTGCAATCCGTTTCCTTATGTCATAGGCTTTCCAAAAAGCTAAAAATCTGACAAGTGAAAGTGGGTCAAAACAAAGATTTAGTTTGCTACAGGCAAAAGCAGTCATTCAGGCAGTGTGCCTGAGGACTCAGGCAGTTAGTATTAAAGCCCGGTTTTAGGCCTAAAGGGAGGGCTTTGGGTATGTAAGAAAAGTCAGAAAATTTCAACAGCCTCAGACCAATACTGTTTGAGTTATTTAAAAAAAAACTACAGGGGAGGGGGTCAAATTGACCCCCCCCCCCCCAGCGGGAATAGGGTTAAGGAAATGGCATGCCTGAGATAGAAATTACAAATAAGAATAAATAGACTGAGTTGCAAATACAAACGTGAAAAGTGAAAACCTTCAAAATTTGGGCAGAGCTTATGATATTTGTGAAACTGTACAATGAAAAAACAAGAATTACTAAAAAAATTCCGTACAGTCGTTTTCTAGATATATTCCTTTGTAAATCCCTGTAGACATGTATACTAAATTTTGAAAAAGTTAATTGATGAAATTAGTTACCTGTTTGGCCAAAAATTTTGAATCCAGAACAACCGAGGCTTCCCAATCGAAATCTGTTAAAACTGAGTAGGAGGACATAATATTTTTATCAAAAACCAGCTTGGATACCCAGCTTTGTCTGGAATTCCAAGATCATATGATTTAGTATATATATTAATGACCTCACATTTTAACATTTTAACTTTATATTGGAAACTTTTTGATATATAGCATTCTTTCAAGTTTTAATGGATTAATCATATGGTTGGTGTATATGAAAAGGACATCGAAAAATCATTGCGGGAAACCAAATTTTTTTCTTTTTGTATAATCTTTAAAGTTTCGCCAATGAAAAGTCTTATAAACTATGAAACTATTTACTAAATTGCTTAAACTGCTTGGCAGTGTGCTTAACAGAATGAAGAATATTATCTTTGTGGTTTAAGGGTGTTTGCATTATTAAGTTTACAAAAACAAATTAAACCTTATCAATACATTAGATTCTTACTAGATATTTTTATATTTAATCTTTTACTTTTAATTACGGACGGAAATTTTTTGGTAGTCACTGAAAGCACCAGTTCATTTTAAGCAAAGATGGTCTAATAATAGAAAATAATGCATCAGGAATGTATCCATAGAGTAATAAAACGAAGAGGTAAAGGTAACCTCAGATGTACACAACCAAATCCCTAATAATTTATTAATAAAGTGGTCGGTTGTGTACATCACGATATGTTTACGTATCTAACACTGTACACGTGTATAGAACATTGAAAAAAAAAACAATCCAAAATCTTTATTTTGGGGTCAAATTTTTTATTTAAGGGCATTTACAAATATTTAGAGATAAAAAAATTAAATATTGTTGAAAAATTGAAAATATTTGGTGGCATTCTAAAACACTAAGGGTTACATTTAAGTCTGGTTGGGCAAGTTGAATAATAATGTGTGAGTGTAATTTTGAAAATCAAATTCGGAAGTATTTTTTACTAAGAAAGTAAGTGATTATTTATTTAAGAAAATTTAACTAAAACATACAAAATTAAGTGTTTCAGGAGAAAAATATTTAACATAGAGGTTGTGGGAATATTTCCCCCCAATTATAGAAAAATTACGAAGGAAAGGAAAGGAAAAGAAAATTACATTACATTTGATAAAACTGGTGGTGGATTTTTAGTATTTTTAAACGATGAACTAACAACTTTTAGACAAAAAATTATAGATTTATTTGTAATCTTCAAAAAATGAAAAAGGCTTTATGGGTTGTAATTCACGCCGATTTTTGACATCCTTTATGTTTGATTATATCTTTTACTCTTTTCAATCTTTTTAGTCTTTTCTTTGTAAAATCGTCGTTGCTCTATTGGATTCCATTGCAAACATATAGCATGTGTTAGAATTAAAACATTGGTAAAGAAAGGGACAGGGGCGGATACAGGATTTAAGTGAGGGGGGGGGGGCAAGATTTTTTAGGAACCAAAAAATTAATAATTAGGAACAAAAAATCGTGCCGCAAATTTATTTTGACTTAAAAGACTCAAAAAGAGTCAAAATTAATGACTAACGACAAAAAAACTAGATTTTTAAATTTTAGGAACAAAATTAAAGGATTAGAACAGGAATTTAGGAACAATTAAAAGATTGTTCAGGAATTAGGAACAAAAATAAAGGATTCGGACAGGGATTTAGAAACAATTAAAAGATTGTTCAGGAATAAGGAACAAAAATAAAGGATTAGGACAGGGATTTAAGGTGGGTCGGACACAGGAACAGGAACAATAATAGGAACATTAGCAATTTAAGAACAAAAAGTAATTACTAGTTGTATTTCAATGCATGAAAATTAGGAACAATATTACAATTTTGATAAATGAGTATTGATTAAGGAACATTACTAGATATGAACAATATTATAACTTAACTTACAAATTTCTAATTCTAAATTTATCGTTAACAATAACATTTATCAAATTGGGAAAATTTTTTGCCTCGAAATCTCAGGGGGGGGCGAATGTCCCCCCGCCCAACTCTTGTATCCGCCCCTGGAAAGGGAGCAAAAATAAAAAGAATCTGAGCTTATATTGAAGAATCTGAGCTTATATTGAAAAATGTTACAGTGGAATTTGAGTTTGCTTTAAGAGTTGGGGGGCATAAATAATTGTATGTTTTTTTTAAATTACTGTGGGGGCATATTTTTTTAATTTTTGAGAAAATTAGCTATGTTGGGAACTACATTGCCCCCTTTTAAGGACTATTTGCCCTCCCCCCTCTTGGGGGACAGGCCTTCTTAAGTGGCTGGGCTTGCTTCCCCCCTTAATCATGCTAGGGGGTGTCTTGCCCCAATTGCCCCCCCTAGTTGCGCGCCTGCTCATCCTCACCAGCATATATCCAGCAAGTGCGTCTCACCCCCTATACAAAGGTGAATATGCTCGAACGAAAAAGTCGAGCAGTATTTGTCCGATACCTCCTTTCAAATTTAATCTAGAAACAACCGCCTTGCAATTTTAAAATGAATATTTTTAGGTTTACAAAAATGTGTAAGTGAGTTGGTGATGTAAACCCAAAGGCCACGGGGTTGCAACACTTTAAAGTCGATGCTGTCTAAAAATTGATGAATATACTTCAGTGCTCCGTGTTTCCTTGTTCCTTATGGATGAAGGAGATGAAGTAGAGCAGGCATAAAAAAGGATTGTGAATGCTTTAAAAAGATTAAATTATGTATTTGTCATTACATTAAGCTAACTAAGCATCTTCCTTCCATATTGGACAATATCTAAGTCAGACACCATTTAATATTTCCTTAATTAGCTATAATAGCAAAAAGTTTAGGTCTACTGCAGGTTACCGGAACTTTTTATTAGCTTAAATATAAATGGATAGGCTTCTTCGGGATTCAATGATAAACCCTTGGGCTGTTCCCTCGGGTTTATCATAGAATCCCTCGGAGACTTAAATTTTCATTGATTCTAATTTGTCTGAGAGTAAAAAATAACAAATTATTTTTATTATTTATTATTATTTTTAAAATGGGCGGGATTAAATGAAAATTGTTGCATACCAAAAAACCAGCTTTTTATAAAGGAATGATTATACCTTAAAAGGGGGGGGGGGGGTTGTTAATGGATATAATAAACCAAACCCAGCAGTCGAAGCTTTGAAGCTTTCTTAGTTAGGCAATTATTAAACACGCAACCCCACCCCTCGTGAATGATGAATAATATACATGTATACATTGTATTTGTACATACATATGTTCCTTGATATACATGCGTATTCTTTATGGTTTATGCCTGGGGGTAATTAACCCCCCCCCCCTTGAATCTTGGTGTTGATTACCCCCCTCCCCCTAGAATCTTAGAGGTAGTTACCCCTGAATTATTCAGGCCCTGAATAGCAGGGATTACTCAACTTACTGCCCCTACAAGTTAGAAATGTTTTGATTTTGATTTGATAAGCTTTAAAATCTGTTCAAAATTTAAACAAAAAATAGAAACGGAACTTATGTATATTGATAATTAGGTTGCTAACATGGCTGCGAAACACAATGAAGACGGAAAGGATATCTAGCCTTGCCCTGATGTACTCCCATCCTAGTAGAGTGAAAACAATAAAACCTGAAGATATTCTTAAATTTTTTTTGAGCGCAAAGCTGCGACGGCTTTTTCATGGAGAAAAGAGTTGTTACTTTTTTTTTTAAAGGTTGATTTTAAAATTGAATATCTTTAAAATTTGCACGAAAATTATTTAAATGTGCAGATACTTCAGATATTTTAAATTTTAAGTCAACATATTCTAAATAATTCTAAATTCTAAAGTAAAAGTCAATGTCATTACAATTAGATGTTTTTTAATAGAAAAAAGGGTATGGGAAATGAAGAACACATTATTACTTCTAAATAATGTCATTTCCGTATTAAATTTATTTAATATCTTAACATACATACATTGACGACAAGAAAATCTTAGAAATTAGAAATAAGAATATAAACAAAGACAATATTTTTTTCAAAGTTTTGCTGAGTATCTTTTATAAATACTTATAAAAGTAACATCTTTTTCCTTTTAGAGTAAAACTATTATTTTTTATTTTACTTAAATTAAATTCAGTTTTTTTACAGATGTTTGTAGTTAATGTAAAATGAATGACTTTAATGAAGGGTATAAATCAAGGTGAAAGCTGAAAGGTAGGAAATGAAGCTTTCATTTGATGGAGTTTGTAAATGCAAGAAATGAGTGGAAAATGCAAATCAAACCCAACTATAACCAATAATTTGATATACATCATGATATTTTTCTAGGGGGGGTAAAAAACATTAAAAACATTTACCCCCCCCCCCTACAGAATCTTTATTTACGCCCCTGGAAAGGGATTACGTATATTTGGCTTAATCTATACGTATACGGTACGAATGGTATAGGTTTCGCATGTAGATGTAGATCATTTATCAATTGTTCTAATATAGTGAATACAAGTTTTAAGGAACTGTGTTGTAATTAAAAGTCCAGATCCCCATGAAAGCTATACATTTCAATATGGTGACTTATTAATGAAAGAAATCCTAAGATTTTTGTGAACCGCAATTTTAACATATTTATTCGAGTTTAAAATAAAATTAAACGAAGATATGAATCCTAATTAATAAAACTTTATTTTATGAACTGTGAGTACAAGTTCATTTCATAGAAACTTATAATTAAAGGACCTCAGGTTTTGCCTCAAACTGTGATTTTCAGATCCCTATATCTTTTCTAACTATGCATTCTGTTTTTATAAATAATCTAAGCATAAGATTGCAAAGATATAGGGATTAGAAAATTTGAGTTTGCGCACTATTAATTACGAAATCGGCAGTTTTAACTTTTACTGCCAAATAAGCGATTTGTTGTCGCATTATTGGCAGCAATCCAACTTTTACTGCCAAGAAGCGATTTTTTATATTTCGTAATTTAGAGTGCGGCAAAGACTCATTTCCTGATAACTGATGAATATCTATATTTTAAATCAGAAAAATCATATTGCTCAGAGGAATTTTATCGGAAAAACATTACGATTTGTTAAAAAGATTGTTAGATAAAATTAAAAATTGCAGAACATAAAAAGACGACTGATCTACGATTGAAAATAATTCTGCACTACCCTGTTAGTTTAAAAAAAACTGATTACTCTCTCTATATCGTTGCAACCTGATGTCGTAGACCTTTGATAGTGATTTTAAACTTAGAATTATGTTAAATAAAACAGTTTAAGTTTAACAATCATAGGTTTGCAAGAATACAGGGACTAGACAATTAGATGATTGGGTGAGTAATGAGTTCCTTTCCTTAAATTAAATGATATTATTATATTATAATATGAGTTTTTTATCTATCTATCTTAGTAGATGACATTTTCCGTACATTCGAGAGCATCGAGAGAAACCAACCTTATTATAAAACCTTGTTCATGGCAGAGAAAATTTGAAAAATGTTGGAAATTTAGTTTTTTTTAAAAACACGATACTCTACTTTTAACACTATTTAACTAAAGGATTCTTTATTACACCGAACTCTGTTGTAAAAACTCATGACATTCATTCTACATTCTTTATATTTTTATTATTATTTTTAGGTCTACAACTTATACCAAGAACCTCAAAACCTCTGTGGTACAGAATCCAACAAGAAAAATGCATGTTATTTGTCTGTTTTGGGGTTATTTAAAAGGAAATATATATATATATAAAATAATAAAAAATTCAGCTTTAAAAGTTTAAAGGTTTTGCTCATCCTTGGACCAAGTTATTTTTAAAAGAGGCGATTATAATTTTACCTCATTTTCATCTTATTTTTATCTCACTAAAAAACTGTATGTTTTTTTTCTATTAACTTTTCGGAATAAATTTTCTAGTTTCAGTGTTCAAGGGAACTGTAAACATAATTTTAAGTCACTCTCGATGTAAAGATAGAAATGCCTGATTTACAACGGTACCCTTGAAACCTTAATCTGATCGAAGTTGTTTTTCTGAAGAGTGTTTATTTCTGTGAGTTTCTCGATTTAAACAAGAAATGCGCTAGTCACTTCTGCTGAGAAACTGCAAATGAAAATAAACATTTTAAGAAACACAAAAATAGAAATCTAATTCATACTTGATCTGACAAAGCTTTCAAAGACACCGTTCTAAATCAGGTGTTTCCATCTGTACAGGGAGGGTCACTTAGAATAACGCTTACAGTCCCTTTAAGTACTTACCTGATAGACTATAAGGGGATAATACGAGAGTTACAAAATTCATTTGAATCTAATAATGTCAATTCAGAGAAGACGGATTCGGTTACAATTTATTACTATAAGTTTGAAGGATACAGAACTGTATTTGAAAAATTTTAATTTTATCATTTGTTTGTCATCCAACGCAATTAATTAAACACAAATTTTGAAATTATTGCAATTTTAATAGTTGTCAGGATCAAGTTTCCGCCCTACCGAAGAAACAACAAAAGTTGGTCAATTCCTCTCCGCAGACTGAATGTTCGGAGGAGGGTTACAGTTGGTTTTATTTCTCCGGGATATAAAGGAAGTAGAAGAGAACAAGAAATCATTTACATCCTGGCTTCTCACCTGCGAACAGAGCACATCTTCAGCTAAATTATTTCTTTTTTAATTCAACGTTATAACGTCTATATAAAAATAACTTTACTGCTAAGTGTTTCCTGACTATATTAAATCTAATTTTTTTTATGTTTCTATGTAAATTTTGTATTTTATCACTATTTGAAAAGGTTCTCAAAGAAATTGCAGACATTTTTAGGAATACAATTTTTAACTTCGACTTTAATTCTAAATTATGCCCATCCACCTATTTGTCGTATATGAAAAATGGCTTTAAGAATATTTTTTTAATTAGTGTAATTTTGTAAAAAATCTTAAGGGAAAGTAATATTACTACATATTTAGTGACTCTCTAAAAGCTTATTTACATATCGATTTTTGCATCATCAATAAATTTTTCAAATTCGAGTATAACCGTTGAGTCCAAATGCCAGAAGACAAAAATAAAAACAAAATTCAGGAAAGTGTTTTCAAGCATATCAAAAAAATACAGATACAATTTATTAAGAATGTGGAAAAATACATTTTTACTTTTACTCCCATAAATGAAATTGAATTAGAAAATTCGTAAAATTCGCAACAATAAACAGAAGAGCTCTTCTTGCTAATTTTAGGACCAATCTTTAAAATGTTAATAAAAAAGAGCCGAGTTTCATCCACACAAACGAAAATTATTTAATCCTGATATCTTTCGAACCCAATGTCGTAGACCTTTGATATTTCAAACTTTGAGTTCTGTCAGATAAAGTAAACTTAGTTTAAAATATCAAAGCTTTGCATCATCAGGTTGCAAAGATAGAAGAACTAGAAAATTGGAGTTTGTGGCAAAAACTCAGTTCCTTTGAAGAAATGTTTAGGATGCTTTTTTCAGTGTACTTATTAAAACCTTGCAAAAACAGTTAATGCAAAAGATAGAATAAAAATCCTTCAGCCGTAAAACAATAGAATGTAACTATTTACATAAACTGATTTGATTCCAGATCCTAACTAGGCAGACAGAAGGGGATATTCTTGATTTATTGATTACACTATGCGAGGTTCATCATTCCTTAATCTTGGAATTATTTACATACATCTTAACCTTCTAATTATCTCAGGTAATTCATGTTTACTGTAAAATAACCCTAGGTTTACTGTTATATCCTTTAATAGCTCAAGGTTCACTGTTATGTCCTTTACTAACCCTAGGTTTACTGTAATATCCTTTAATAACTCAAGGTTCACTGTTATGTCCTTTACTAACCCTAGGTTTACTGTAATATCCTTTAATAACTCAAGGTTCACTATTATGTCCTTTACTAACCCTAGGTTAACTGTAATATCCTTTAATAACTCAAGGTTTACTGTAATATCCTCTAATAACTCAAGGTTTACAGTAATATCCTTAAATACTCTAAGGTTTACTGTAATATCCTGTTGTATCCCCTTCTTACTCCTGGACCGAATTTAATGAATTTGAACTGCCTACCGCCGGTTCAATTTAGAATCACCGATTCAAACCCTTCCTTAATCATAAACTGCCGGTTCAAATTTGAGCCGGCATTAGGTAGTCCAGCGACTTTTTTTTATTAAATTTGGTCTCTGGTTACTTTATTATTCTGTATCCATCAAGGTATCCTTTAGTTTATCCTTTCTTTAGTTTTTTTTTGTAGTTTACGGGAAGGATACAAACCATCGGGTTTTCTTCCTATCTCGGGATCTACAGAGCCCTTATGGTCGGGATTCAAGAGGTTTAATACCCTTCCCTCGAAGTGGAAGATCTGGCAACTCATGGGATCTTCAGGATCAAGGTTAAAAAAAAGAAACATTTTAGTTTCAAATTTGAACTCACTTCAGAGTTTAAGAGAGATATAAAGAGATTGTCACTGTGTTTAAAACAATTATTTATGATTTTATTAACTCAATTAGTTTGATAATTATGCTATATTGTTTAATTATCTTTAGTTTGTAGACTATTAATTACAAATTTTATTTAGAAGTGATTGATCAGAATCCCGCACCCGGAGATGTTAAGAGCAAGAAAGCCGGTGAACCTTCGTCATCGTACAACAGAAGGTTGATCCGGAGCCAGGACGCATTTGCTAGAAGATTACTTCGCTCCAATCCTCCTTCAAGATGGCTCCGCTCCAGTCCTTCGGAGTCATTTTCAAGACGACTTATTAGATCCAGTCCTTCAGGAGCGTTTAATAGACGACTGCTCCGGTCTACAGATGCTTATGCCAGACGTCTTCTCAGATCTGATGCGTCAACTTCATTCAACCGTAGACTTCTTCGATCAGATCCTTATGATGCATTCAAACGACGTATTTTCAAGAAATCAGCCGATGCTCCGATGGAAAAGAGACAATCCCTGATTCCATTCCCTAGGACGGGTAAGCGCGCGAGTGCTCCAGTAGCCGGGAGTAGCGGAGATGAATCTGAACCTGAAATACTGTTCCCAGTTTACCAGCAGATGAGCAGGTTTAATCTTCATGATACTCAAGAAGATCCTGAATATGTTCTGGAAGACGATGAGGACGAGGAACCTGATCACGAAGACGACATTGAAGAGGAAATTAATGAAGGTATTTAAAAATCTGGTGTAAAACTGATCTTTAACTTATTTAGAATGTTTTTTGTTTGTATTACATTCAAAAATTGAACACTTATGATAAGTTTATTGTTTGTAAAAAAAAAAATTCATTTTCAAAGAAAGAAGAATATTTCGATATGATAATATTTATGTGTATGAAATCTAATTTTTTTTCAGCCATGTAAAGTTGATTAGACAAGAAACGATTAAGGTAATCATTATTACCAATTATCAAGATTATTATTATGATAATTATTATTATTATTATTTTTATTTCAATATCATAATTTCTATTCTTATTTTTTATTATTATTATCATCATCATTATAATCCATATCAGTGAATTTTATAATGATTTTTTTCAGTATATACCTTACAGGGACTGTAAGCATAATTTCAAGCCAACCTCCATGCAAAGATGGCAATGCCCGATTCACAACGGTACCCTGAGAAACTTTGTCTGATCAAGATATTATTTATTAATCAATGTTTATCATTTTGAAAACTCATTTTTCTTACTTGTGGTTTCTCTCCGAAAGTGATACAGGTTCTTAGGTACCATTGAGAATCGGGCTTTGCCTACTTTAGATTAAGAGTCGCATGAAATTGCACTAACAGTCCCTTTAATGAGTTTTTATCCCAGGATACTCAATGAGATGAAGGAAAAGAGGCTGATTTTTCCTATTTGCTGCACAGTACACACTCAACACATATTTTAATAATGAGAGAACAATTAATTGACAATGTAAAGTTTATTTGTAGCTTTAATTTTTTATTGTAATTTATAAATTGTACTTAAACTATGCAGACCTAATCTTTGGAGGATATTAAACTTATAAAGATTAATAAATAATTAATTGAATTGATGTATATATAAAAAAATATAATCATCTAAACCGTGTTATTTATTATATCTTTTTTATTTCTAACAATAATTATTTTGCATTAAAGTATTTATTACAATGGAACAAAATTTTACACGTAGGGTGTCCCAAACAAACTAGCTTCACAGTTGAAAAATAACGAACTGATTTTACTTGATCCTGGCTTTCTGAATATAAAACGTGCCAAAAAACTGTTTGTTTTAGTGAATATTAGATTGACAAGGTTTACAATTAAATGCTACAAGATAAAATATGATTTCTAATTAATTTGCATGTTTAATAAGACTCATTGTACACACTCAACTAGCTCTTAAATTAGAGAACAAATCAGATTTCAATCATACATAAAATTTACTTTAGTCTAAAATCGACCAATCTATCTTGAAGCCGAAGCAGTTCTGTTTCTCAATTGATGACCTCGAGATATATCTCTTGACGAATTTCTACCCATTGTTTTAGTTCTGTTTAGCTCAAAACTTGAGTCAAACCTATTGATGGGTTCTCTTGAACAGCTCAAAAAACTTCTAAACAAAAATTACATAAAATTAGAAAATTCAACATAGATGATTATTCTCCGTATCTATTTTATTGCATGTCAAAATAATGGTGTAAACTTAGATTTTTTGATTTAAAGGATTTAAAGTTTGAAATATCGAAGGTTACGAATCCGGGAAGCATAGATATAGGAATTAGAAAATCTGAGTTTGTGGCAAAAGCTCAATTTCTTTATAAGTTTTCATAGTGGATATCGAGATCAAGCATTGAAGATCTCATTGAAAAATGTTGACCACCGGTCAAAGAAATGAAAGCTGTGTGGATTATATGAATTATTCAGGAAAAAATGTCGGAAGAAATTTCAGATTGTCTGAGAAACCAAACTATGAAACTGTTTTGCTGTAAGAAAGAAAAAACAGATTGTCATTATCTAAAGATGCAAATCCTAGAGAAACTGTTTTCTATGCAAAAATATCAGAATATCAAATACCAAATGATCAAAAATCTTTATATGATCAAAAAGATGTACGCTGAACAGTTGTGACAACTATTTTTTTTCAAAAATATCATAATAGCAATTTTACAATAAAGTTAATTTTAAAGTTTAAGGGATATTCTTAAACATATTTTTATGATAAAACCATAGAGAATAGAATATATAGAGAGGAATTTACTAGAAAAAAGTGTAAAACGGCCATTTTGTTGTACTGTTTCCATACTGCAGGTGTACTTCACATATTTATGCTATATAACCTGTTGGGCCCTGGAATATCATTTAATAGAAAATCTAAAATTAATATTAATATAAAACCAAATTATGAAATAGGCTGGTTTCATAATGATAATGATCATTTCACATAGACTCTATGCCTTCCACTTTACAAACGATGATTTTCCGTTATAACTATAAATCAAATGATGTTTTTATTCACCTAATTCATTATAAAGTTTATTTAACAGTTTAAAAAATTCGAAATTGAAATGGATAGTCTAGGGAACATACTGTATTAATGTACTCTACTCTGCATATAATTTGTGAACATTTACATGATTTGTACACTTTGAACTCCCTTTCAGGCTGAAAGGGACTGAACAAATCCATACCGAGAGATTCTTTTAATTCCTCTCTATATATTCTATTCTCTATGGATAAAACGTCTGTAAAATGCTCTCTCTTTCACACAATCTATTTTTTCTTCTCTTTTTTCTTATCTTTTCTTTTCTTCTCTTCTCTACTCTTCTGTTCTCTTATCTTTTTTCTTCTCTTCTCTTATCTCTTATCGTTTCGTTTTTGTTTAATCTTTGTTGTTGACATTTAACCGGTTTTGAGATGAACAATGCAGTACGATCCGTTGTTATGATTTTTCTCTGATTTGTTTACATTTCTAGCTTGTAGACCGAATTGAAACGTACTGCGTTTGTACTGTATAATTCGGTATTTGATCATTTGGCATTTGATCTTTTATTATTTTTGCTTTTCTGTACCTGTCCGGCACAAAATCATCATCCATTGAACAATGAAGAACTGGATCTCGTTTCCTTCTTAATTCATTCTCAGGAATCTATAAGTAATAAATTTGCCTCCCAAAAAATCCTTTTTATAATGACAATAATCTTTTAGGGAAAATATATGTTTTTAATCTTCAAAGAATCATAGTGACGAATAAAAGATGAAACTTAGAATTAGGTCTCATAAAAACAATTGTCTTCAAATGTTTTTACTTTTAAACATTGACGTTTTTTGCAGAATGGCAAGGGCATTTTTGAGATAATTCATCTACTAGTTTTCATATTTATCGATTGCTTTAAAGTCGAAAATATCAAGGATTTTTAAATCTTGATTTAAAAAATCAATGTTGATAACTTTTACTTTTACTTTGCTTGTCTGTCTGTCTGTCTGTCTGTGTCCAATAAACGTCGAAGGCTGAACCGATCGGGCCCAAATTTTGTGTGGGATCTCGCATGACCGCAGGGAAGGTTTATGGAAGATCGAAGTTTCAAAAATTTGCCTCTAACAAATTTCGATTTTTGAAAATTTTGAAAATCCACCATTTTTTTTATAAAATCCGCGAAATTTTTTGCTTTTTTTGTGAAAGCCTAGTCTATATATAAATTTAGCTTGTCTGTTTGTTTGTATCCAATAAACGTAAAAACGGCTGAACCGATCAAGCCAAAATTTTGTGTTGGACCTCACATGGCCCCAGGGAAAGTTTATGAATGATCAAAATTTCAAATATTTGTCCCCATCAAAATTCGATTTTCATTTAATTTTTAAAAATTTTGAAAATCCACAACATTTTTTGTCAAAATCCTTGAACTTTTTTTGTTTTGCTTTTACGATGTACACAAAGATAACCATGTTCACAATTAAAATAGAATACGGCCGCGAAGCGCTCTAAAAGGCTAGTATATATATACTTTGCTAGTCTATCTGTCTGTTTGTTTGTTTCAAATAAATAGCTGAACCGATCGGGCCCAAATTTTGTGTGGGATCTTGCTTGACCCCAGGGAAGGTTTGTGGATGATCAAATTTTCAAATATTTGCCTCCAACAAAATTCGACTTAGTTAAATAGTAAAAATTCCACGATTTTTAAAAAAAAAGCCTATGAAAGCCTAGTAATTTTAAAATTAATTCAAATTCGATTAATAAGTTTTTGAGAGAAAAATTATCTCATTAATTACCTCTGGTTCCCAGTCCCACCAGTTCTTTTTTCCTCCCAAAGGTTCGGATCCGCAACCTATAAAGGATCCTGAAACCTCTTCTCCTTCCTCCCAACCCCGCCAACTTTTCCATTTTTCCGCTCCTGAAAACAATAAAATGTAGAAATTTAGAATAACTAGCCTTAGAGGGCGCTTCGCGCCCATCTTCTAAATTAATTGTGAACATGTTCTCTTTGTGTACATCGTAAAACAAAACAAAAATAATTCGCGGATTTTCACAAAAAATTTCGTGGATTTTCAAAATTTTAAAAAATTTAATGAAGATCGAATTTTGATGGAGACAAATGTTTGAAATTTTGATCATTCATAAACCTTCCCTGGGGTCCCTAGATGTCCCAAAAAAAATTTGGGCCCGATCGGTTCAGCCGTTTTGACGTTTATTGGATACAAACAAACAAACAGACAAACAAACAGACAAGCCAAATTTATATATAGATAAGCTTTTCAGGGCACTGTACTGTACTGTACTGTACTGTACTGTACTGTACTGTACTGTGCACCAATCTTCTAATTCAATTTTAATTGATGCACTGTGTGCGTTTTCTCTTTGTACAATAAAAAAACAAATTTTCCAAATTTTACGAAAATCAAAATATTTTTTGGGGTAATTTTATACATTTTGACATTCCCTGGGGTCAGGAGAGGTCCCACACATAATTTGGGCTCAATTGGTTCAACCGTATTAACAGACAGACCCACAAGCAAAGTTTATATATCAGATTCAGAAAAGTTTTGGTCGTAATATTCATACCTGTTTTTTCGTTGAGTTTTCCCCCCTGAACAGTTTCATTTAAATTGAGTTGGTTTGGGTTGGATTGAGCTGATGGAATCTCTAGGTTGGATTGAATACTTGAGTTTTCAGGGATAGGTTTAGGATCTGATTGATTCTGCATGTTTACCAGGCTAAGATTAATACTGGAATTGATGTTGTTGATTATCTCTGTTGTAAGATATTGATCACCAGGAGTGGTGTTGTTGATGTTGGTCATGTTGATGTTGTTGCTGAGATTATTAACCAGTAAGCTACTGTTGCTGAGGAAAAAATAAATATCACTTTTGGGCTAAATAAATATCTAAAAATATTGCCAATGCGAAAATTTAAATTAAATTAAATCATTTTCCCATTCCTAAATCTCGTAACTCCATCTATTTCAGCACTTCGTTTAGCAAGCTCTTCAGTCTAGTTCAATAAAAGATATAAAGTGACCAACTTGTAGCACTTTAAACCATTTGTAGTTTATGTACAGAGACAATCTCATCTTGATTTGGATGAATCTATGCAAGAAAGTTCCGTGAAAAAAAGTTTATGGAAAAAAAACCTGGAAATAAAACTTTGGAAAAAAATCCGAATTTTCTCAAGTCCTTGGAAAAAATGTCACTGGAAATAAAGTCCTGTGTTTTGGATTCCTGGGACTTTTTTCCTAAAATAGTATGGGGGCTTCTAATAAAGTCTCAGGAAATAAGATCTCAGGAAAAAAAGTCCTGAAGAAAATAAATCCGAGGGAAAGAAAAACCTAGAAAAAAAGTCCTAGAAAATAAAGTCTCGAATTGGTAGGACTTTATTTCCGGAGACTTTTTAATAAAAGGACTTTTTTCCACAGGACTTTTTTAGTGTGAAATTTTAGGATTTTTTTCCGGAAACTTTTTTTCCAATGACTTTTTTGGCGGTTACCGATTTGGATATTTATAATGATTAAAGAGATACATAAGTTGTAGATACTGAAGACTAAATAGTAAGACATTTTTAATTAATCTATTTTAATAAGGAAAGGGAGGACCATGAGTTTGTGGTTGTAAACAGAATGTAAATCTTTACATCTCTTGTGTAACCTATATAAACAATGTTCTCTGAAATGTAATCAATAAAGAGGATTTATAGGATCCATTCAAGGATAAATATATGAACGGTCGAAAAGTAATTATAAATTAAAATCATTATAAATCAATACAAGCTACCATAGGCGGCCTCAGGGAGGTGGTGGCAGTCCATTACCCCTCCTGAGTGAAATTATGGGGGGTGTACCCCCCCCTGGATTTTACAAATTCAGTACTCCGAAGGCTTTTGACCTGGAACAGGTCATCTATGACCACCAACAGGTTGGTCAAGCTGGAAAGAATGGCGATGAACCCAAAGAGGCTTGCCTTAATTTCGGACAACAGTGTTATAAATACCTTTATTTCAAGCGGCCCTAGAAAACTAAATTATCGTAGATTTGGAAGAAGGGAGGATGTTTTTTTTATTTTGAATTAAAATTCCTTTTTTTACTTTAAGCTTTCTTACGGTATACTTTTATTTTTAACTTTAAAAATTAACATAGAAACTAATGCAGTCTCCTGCAAGAAAAATTGGCATGATTTAAGACGCATTATTTAATAAAAGATCAATAATAATAGCAGGAAAAATAAAAAATAATTCTCCCTTGATTAGAATAATATGATATTCTATGTATAATGTTAATGTTTAAGGTTCAATCCATAATACTTAAATGTAAAAGAAACTGTAATATTAGTATGGTAAATAGTACTTTATATCAATAGAAGGGAGGTCATTTTATTATAAGATTACTTTATATCAATAGAAGGGAGGTCATTTTATTATAAGATTACAGAGGGAGGTAAAACTAATATAGGGGGGGGGGGGAATCTTTTACCCCCTTGTATTAAATTCTGAAGCCGCCCTTGCAAGCTACACTTGATACAATGTGTGTAAATACAAAGATTTCAGAATGTATTTATATTGTCAATTCTCATCATGAAACACAAGTCATGATCCATTTTAAGAGAAGTATTGTGACAAAAACCAGTCCCCCCCCTGACTGACCTGACCCCCTTAAAATACCCCAATGTTCCCCTCTCCACACATTCCATTCGTTATATAATATACCTGAACACTAACTGTAGAAGTTAGATTTCTTCTTCTTTTCTCCTTTTTCTTCTGATTCCTCTCTCTTCTATTCTCCTCTACTCTTCTTCTCTCCTCTTCCTCCAACCTTTCTCTTAGATCTTCTTCTGCTTTCAGCTGCCGTCTTGTCTTACACCCCTTATATGTTTATTGTTCATACTAATTAATATACAACCAATATATCAATTCAAATTAAATATGGAGGTAAATAATTTTCAAGCAACTGAAATGAAATATTTTACGTAGATCATAATCATAAAAATCTTTATTTTCTGTGCACATACAGTGAAAGCCAGAAAACTCTGAAATAGAAAGACGAGTTTTAGAATCAAGGTATAACTTTAAAAAATTCCAAGGAACATGAGACACAGAAATTATTTAGTGGAAACAGACCCATTTCAGAAAATTAGTTATTTAATAAGTGTCTAATAAAACTATTTGCTTTGTAACAACATCAAATACACTTAAGTAGTTCTATAATGTCGTCTTCTTATTCCATTGTTTTCTGGTTGTTTTTGTGTAATAAATTTTGATTTATAAGCTTATTTTACCAAATTTTTACTTTTTAATACCTCCTTCGATAATTATTATCTGAAAATTTTTTCTGCTACTTTTCTTTTAACCCTTTTACTTTGTTTTTCTGACTGTTCTTATTTTAAGGAACTGAAAACTTGCAACGATAACGATTTTCTAGTCCCTATATCTTTAATATCCGACGATGAAAACGTTATCCAACATAAGTTGAACAGGCAGGTTGCAAAAATTATAGAAATTAGAAAATTTGAGGAAATTTGACTTCATGTTTAATTTTTTTGTTCTCTTCTCTGATTCATTAGATTATTTATTTACCTGAGTAGGTTTGGACCCGGTGTTTCCGAAGGGCATAAAGAAACCTCCGTCACGGTTAAATACTGCTCCATCCTTGGGATCCGGAGCACTAACCTAAACAAAGTAACTTACATTTTGGTTAAATACTGCTCCGTCCGTTCAGGGCAAAAACAATTTTATGTATAAAAGTGTTGGCCCCCCCCCCCCACAGTATAATTCGTATCTATGTGGTTCAAGTAGATATGTTCCATATAGATGATCATACCTTAGATTCTCTTCTCAACCCTGTTCCTGAAATAGATCCTCGTCTACTCCACGTATAGGTCTCAACACCCTTTAGGATAATAATAATAATAAAAATAATAATAATAATAATGATAATAATAATAATAATAATGATATATTTATATATGTATGTTTGTCGAAATAGACGGATTATAACACAAAAGTATTTGAAATGTCATCTTATTTATCCTACTTTGAAAGTTGAGTTTAGAAAAAAATTAATCAAACTTTTTAAATTGAAGGATCATAGTTGGTCTGATTAGCTCCGTCAGATTCTATTAAATAAATGTCTGAGAATAAATAAAGTAAATTTTTAAAATAAATTACCTCTGAAATATTTGTATTGCTTCTATATAGAGTTCCATCCTAATAGTTAAAAAAGATACATTCACATGGCTCCAATTGTTACGTATGTCTTAACTCAACACGGTGCACACTTGAATTTTTATCAAATTAAGGGTACCGTTGTAATCTTGCTTTGCATGGAGGATCACTTGAAGGTGTTCTTTCAGCACCTTTTAAGAGGAAGAACTCAACTTCTTCACGTGTTTTTTTTAAATTGCCATAATTTTATGCATCAAGTTTTATCGGTATTTTTGTACTATTTCATCAATTAATCAATTAATTAATCAATTAATCAATATCGGTTGAATACACCTGTGTAAAGGCAAAACAAGGTCTACAAATATTTTAAAAGATACCTTACTCAATGATTTGTTTCTATTTAGATTGGTGTCAGGTCCAGGTTCCTGAAAACAAATTTAATTGTTCTAGATTGATTAAAATTAATAAAGCTTTGAGAAAAACTTTTGAGTTTTTAAATCATTTTTAATCATCTTGTTGGCAAGCATGTGTAACTAAATATGCTTTAATTAAATCTAAATTTCTGATAACTATCAATAAAATTGACCTTGGAACTGAAATGATTAACCTGAGCTAAAGATATATATTCCTGACTGCTATAGCGGGAAAGGTTGGGAACTAAACTATCTCTAAAATATTTCAACAAAATTATTAAATAAATCTTAATCGCACAAGAATGTTTCATCAGGGGGGATAGGGAGAAAAATTTGCTTCCTACCCTTTTAACATCTTTCAATTAAATTGCATCGCAAGCAAGGTTGTATATTAAGGTTAGATTCTCTGGATGTGCTCGAATGTACGGAAAATGTCGTCTTCATGGCAATTGGTGGAGGATAAAGTCACAGCGTTATTAGTGAGAGGGGGAAGGATTTTCTCCGCGTTTTACAGCTGAAAGCTAAGAAAATCCTTCCCACTCTCACCAACAACGTTGTCACTTCATCTTCCGCCAATAAGCAATTACAATGTTATGAGGATGTTTGTCCACTGTCCATTGCTATAAAGACGACATTGGAGGGCATCCAGAGAATCTTACCTTAATAAACAACCTTGATCACGAGAGATCAAACAAGTTTTTCATGAAAAAGAAAATATTTTTCCAAGTATACCTGGGAGGAATAAAATCATGCTGCCTAGTTCTATGCTTCGGATCCTGGTCGAGTCCAAGGAAACTGAAGATTATAGGTTTCTTTTCAGGATCGACAGAAGACGATCGGAGATCTCTAGCCTCCTTCCAGGTATTAGTATTATTACCATTGCTGTGACAAACACTACTTCGTCGCACTTTTCTTGAAGATTCCTCTATAATTAATTTGAGTTTAAAAAAAAATTGGTATCTTTCAAAAATATTATGAATATCAAAATAAATGTTGTGGGACAGTTCCACACTTGAGGGGGGTTTCGGGGTCCTGGGACAGGGGGGGGGTGTTCTGGGTCCTGGGTTCCCCCTCCCACCCCTGCAGACGGGGGGGGGGGTGTTCTGGGGTCCCAAGAATCCCAATATCGGAATACTGTTATACTATTAAAATAATCTTACAATTTTGTATTTATCTTTCAAAAAAACTTTTATAAATAGAAATTGTTATAATAATATTATAAATTAACCTTGTGATGTTGACCAAGTCTTTAATGCCTGAAAAACATTATTTCAATTTTTTTTTTAGAATAAATCATGAATAATTAAAATTATTGGTACTTACATTATTACTCTGTTCTGAAGACGAATCTACGCTTATAACAGAATTTCTTCTATTATTAACAGGAAAGCTTGAAAGTAGCAATGAACTGGATTTTCCAAAAGGTTCAATATTTTCTAAACTTATTTCATTCAACACTTTCTTCTTCCTAGCTGATGAAATATAAGACTGAGGATCCTTATTTTCTTGAGCAAAACCATTTCCAGGATTCAGGGTTGGTTCCATCAAAGACCTGGTTATTGTTTCATATTTTTTTGCTTGAAACTCTTGGTTTATAGTGCTTGTAAAATTACAATAATTCTGTGTGCTGGTATTCTGGATTAATGACTCTGAGTTGGTTTTCGAGCTATTGAGCATTGAACCATTTCCGTGAAGAAAAGTTTGACTGTGTATATTACTAGAAGCCTGATGAATAGAATCCTCGGTTATGCCACAACTTCTTGGCTGAGTCTCTAGCCAATCTGTAATTTTCTTATTTTCCCTAAAAATTAAATTTTTTTATTTTTATTTTTTATTTCGAGTAACCTTCCAGCACAGAAATCTATGAAATAAATGCATTAAAACCGTGTCGCAACGTCTTGACCTTTGGGTTTACCTCTGATACTTTATTGCAGTGAACTTTAGCTTTAGTTTGAGTAATTGTCAAAATCATGATCAAATGTTGCGTTCACAATGGTGCCATGAAATTTTAAGAGATACATGACATGACTGATTCACAACACTACCCTCTAAACCTATATCTAAGCCATAAATTGGAAAATATATCTCTTCTGCCTAAATCTACAAGTCACTTGGATATACAAGCCATTGCACAAGGTTACCGGCTTTTTACTCGACCAGATGTGAAGACTGGACTGCTATGGAAGATTCCTCTCAAGAGAGCTTTCAGGGATCACAACTCCCCATTTTCCATAAGGGGTGCAAGTTATGGGTTTTCCTTAATTTCCCTAGCTGGGAAACAGTATAAAATGGAGGAACACAGGGAGAAATCCCCTATACCCTTCTTCCTATAAATCTACTAATCTCTCTTCTCTACCTTTTCCACAACTCGGATGTTAAAAGGACTATTTAGAAAGGTCTTAAAGTGCAGAAAAGAGATAAACTAGAAAAAAGAAGAAAATAAAGAAAGGGGTGTTTTCAGCTTTACACTTTTTTTACCGATAGAGAATGAAGACAAAAACAGGATGGGAGACATCCTACCCCCTCTCTTCAAAAAATCTTATTGAAGTTAAATGATCTAAAAAATGTGTAAAGCCGACCCTAGCAAACATGTGCAAGCAATACAGAGCTGACATTGAAATACTACAAATTGCCTGGTAAGCTTTCCAAGAAAAGAAAACCAGACAGTTCACTCAAAATGAATTTCAGAAAAAAAACAAGATCTTTTTAAAGATAATTCTGCTAGTGAAAGTGTATAATTTACAAGAACATCCCTTTTTTTCTTTTTTCAAAATTAGCCGATATATGATTGAAAGATGTATAAAAGATGAACAAGAATAAAGCGAAGAAGAAATATCAAAATATTTTCATCTGATATCATATAAATATTAAAAATATTGTAAAATTTAAAAGAAATAAATCATTAAGATTAAAAACAAGTCACTTGTATAAAGAAACCATAATTGCAAATTATCATAAAGGATTACTTGAAATTACGTTTACAGTCCCTTTAAATATATTTTCAATTACCATTGTTTTGTTGTATTATTATGAGACTTGATTTTCTCTACAACTATAGACGAGATGACCCAGCTACCTCGCCTAAATACTGATGGTAAGTACTGAGGGATAAAAAAAAACGTAGTTTAAAGGGACTCTAATCCTAATTTCATGTGACCCACCATGCAAAGATCGCAATGCCTGATTTACAACGGTACCCTTAAAAGTATGAATTAGATATAAATGTTTTAGTTTCTCTAAACTGTTTATTTGGTGTCTCTGCAAAAGTGACTTTCGCGTTTCTTTTTTTTAAAAAACTCACAGAAATAAACACTTTTTGGCTAAGAAAAATGATTGTATCTTCCACATTTTTATCAGAGTTAGGTTTCAAAGGTACCTTTGTAAGTCGGGCATTGTCATCTTTGCTTAGAGGGTCACTAAATTACGGTTACAGTCCCTTTAAGTTATTCTTGTACAGTAGATCAATACGTTCTTAGGCTAATCATTTTCTTTTGACAAATCCCATTATTCAAAGTCTAAAAGAACTTGATCATTTCGTTTATTTATCTAGCTATTAAACCAATCACAATCTAGAATCTCCGTAGAAAGGATTGATTCAATTGGTGTACCGTCCCTTTTTACCTTATAGTCAGTATATGTACTGTACAGTTTGCTCTAACTGATCTATGAACCGGAATCCAGATATCACGGAGTTTAGAAAACAAACATTACCAATATTAATACAAATGTTAACCTTGGTTTTGCAGGTTTATATTCATCATCAGGATTATCTTCAAGATCTTCATCTCCAGGATTAATAAAACCTGGACAATCAAGTTTTCTTAATAAGAGTCAACTTATTGTAAGAAACCAAGAAAAACACATTCCCGTGGTTCTCCCGAGATCCCCAATCAAAATTTGAGGCAAATAGGGCAAGGGGTTGCTGAGTTATTATCGGACATTCAAACAAACAGAGATTACAACTTTATATGGATACCTGGTTGATACTGACCAAGCAGTGATCTAGTTTCATCCTCTCGACTTGAGATACTGGGGTCATATTCACTCTTCTCAGGGTTAACTTGGACTTTCGTTTGAGGTTTCCAAACCAAATCTGGAGTCTTGGAAACCGGTTTGGTGTTGTTGTCAAATTCATGCATTTCAAACTGGTTTATTTCTAGATTATCTTGGTTTTGAACTGTTTCATTCTCCAGAGCTGTCTCTGTCTCTAGGTGTAGAGGTTCGCTGAACACAGGAGGATACATCTTTATTTTTGAAATGGATATATTCATATCCATGTTTAATTTGGATATATCCATCTCCGTCTTTTCATTTCCGTACACTAATTTGGTTTTCCTGGCAGGTTTCTTTGGGGGCTCAGGGTTCCTTGGTCTATCTGCTTCATAATCCATTTTTTTCTTAAAATTAATTTTTTCGGCATTTAAAATTATTAATAAAGTTAATTTACAAGGAATCATGTCAAGCTCATGCCGTTTTTAAAATCGATAAAAAAATTTATTCAGCAGTCTGAACAAAAGGCACTGAACACTCACCAGAAATTATTTTCTAATTCCTATATCTTTGCAACATGATTTTTGAACCTTTGATATTTCAAACAGTGAATTGTGTTATTTAAAATAGTTTGACATATCAAAGGTTCACACAATCAGGTTACAAAGAAATATGGGTTAAAAGTTAGAGTTTGTGGCTTGTGATCTATTCCTTTACATTATTCAAATTCCGAGTTACATTTTCGAACCAAAAATTTTAATAATTTTAATTAATGACTAAAAAGTTACATAGATGAATATATCTAGAAACAAGTTATTAAAAAGCTTTAAATCCTCTAGGAAATATTAATATCACTGGTTTAACTTTGATCTATATAGTTGGCAAAATAATATTTTCTTCTTTAAACATTTCTTATCTTAATCTTTCTTATTTTTGTCTCAAAATGTAAAGATAATCAAAATCTAAACTTAGAAAATTTTATGTTTTGAATTTCCAGACCGGGAGCGTACTGATCCATTTTAAGCTTACTAAGCAAGTTTGTCCCCTAACGATGAATTACTGGCAAAATATAAATATTTAAATCTAGAAATTTTTAACTTGCTTAGTTTTTTTGAGCAGGAAAGCAAATCTGATTTAAGATGAATTGTGCTAGAATAAAACAAAGACCGGATTGAACTAAGAAAAAATGAAAAAATGCACCCAGGGACGGATTGGTATATTACAAATAAATTATGAACGAAAGTAAAATTAAAAATGAAAATAAATATATGGAAATTGAACTCGAACGGATTTTGCTAATATAAATGAAAGTGGAACTAGGACGGATTGGGATAATATAAGTTTTATTTGGACTAGGGTGGATTGGAATATTACAAATGAAAATGAAGCTAGTAAGTATTGGGTTATTATAAATGAAAATGAAGCTAGGAAGTATTGGGATATTATAATTGAAAATGGACTTATTGGGAAAATTTAAATGGATTAGGAAATTATAAATAGAAATTGAAATAGAATGGATTGGGATATTATAAATGGAAATTGAACCAGACTGGATTGGGATAATATAAATGTAAATTAAAATAGAACGAATTGAAAATGGAACTAGGACTGATTGGGATAATATAAATGTAAATTGAACTAGGACGGATTTGGATATTGTAAATGTAAATTGAAATAGGACGGATTGCGATATTATAAATAAAAATGGAGCTAGGACTGATTGGGATGATATAAATGTGAATTGAACTAGGACGGATTGGGATATTGTAAATGGAAATAGAACTAGAACAGATTGGTATATTATAAATGAAAATAGAACTAGGACGGATTGGGATAATATAAATGGAAATCGAACAAGGACGGATTGGGATAATACAAATAAAAATGAATAAGAATGGATTGGGATAGAATAAATGAAAAATAAACTAAGGACGGTTTGGACTAGTATAGATAAAGAATGAACCAAGGATGGGTTGGGCTAATTAAATGAAAAATGAACCAAAAACGAATTGAGCTAGTTTTATTGGAAAATTAACCAAGACGGATTAGGCAAGGATGGATTGGGCTTGTATAAATAAAAAGCGAAACAAGGACGTATCGTGCTAGTATAAATAAAAAGCGAAACAAGGATGGATTGAGCTAGTATAAATAAAAAGCGAAACAAGGATGGATTGTGCTAGTATGAATGAAAAATTAAACAAGGATGGATTGGGCTAGTATAAATGAAAAATTAAACATGAACGGATTGGACTAGTATTAATGAAATTAGAAACTAGGACGGATTGGGCTAGTATAAATGAAAAATGTTCGAAGGACAGATCGGGATAGTATAAAGGAGAAATGACCCAATGACGGATTGGGCTTGTTTTAATGAAAAATGAAACAAGGATGGATTAGGCTAGTATAAATGACAAATGAAACAAGGATGGATTGGTCTAGTATAAATGAAAAATGAAACAAGGACGGATTGGGCCAGTATAAATGAAAAATTAAACATGAACGGATTGGACTAGTATTAATGAAATTAGAAACTAGGACAGATTGGGCCGGATATTATGAATGAAAAAAGACTAAGATTGAAAGCAAATCTGATTTAGGACGAATTGGGCTAGTATAAGTGAAAAGGTGAACGGATTAGGTTAGTCTTATTTAAAAATCAAACAAGGACGGGTTGGGCTGGTGTAAATGAAAATAGAAACAAGGACGGATTGGACTATTATAAATGAAAATTTAACCAAGGACGGATTGGGCTATTATAAATGAAAAAAGAAATAAGTATTGATTGGGTTGGTATAATAGAAAAATCAAACAGGGATGGATTGGGTTAGTATAAATGGAAATGAAACAGGGATAGATTGATAAAAGCAGTTTAATTGGTATGGAATAAGGACTTGACAGGATAAAATCAATATATCCAGAAGAAGAATAATCACAAAAGGTTGCTATATTTGTTTACAATATGCATCTGACTTGATAAAATGGAACTGTCCTCAAGAAATAAATTGCTTCCTCATTACGAATAAATAATTCTATGTTCCATATTTATTTAGATCTTGATGTTCTTTAATTAGATTGTTATTTAATTAACAATATTCACATATCCTTTGTACGATTATTCAATTATATTCTTAATATATATTTGTCAATTACATGTGTAATGAAGGAACCTCTGGTAAACAATGGACTGGGAGCATGCATCTTTAATCCTAGAACACACTAGGGTCATATTTAATTAAATCTTTAATCAACATCATCAACATTCAACAAGATACAGCTAAACAATTATAGGAGAAGAGTAAAATTAAACGGACTGTAGGTGTAATTTTAACTGACCTTCTATGCGAAGATAACAATGCCCGATTTACCATGGTGCTCTTAAAACCTTAAAATGTGGAATACAAATGTGCAAGTCACATGAAATTACGCTTCTAGTCCCTTCAATATGTTTTATTCCAAGGAGAATACATGGAACCCATAGAGAATAGAATATATAGAGAGGAATTTACTAGAAAAAAGTGTAAAACGGCCATTTTGTTGTACTGCTTCCATACTGCAGGTGTACTTCACATATTTATGCCTTATAACCTGTTGGACCCTGGAATATCATTTTATAGAAAATCTATAAATTATTGTTAAAAGAAAACCAAATTATGAAATAGGCTGGTTTCCACTTTACAAACGATGATTTTCCGTTATAACTATAAATCAAATGATGTTTTTTATTCACCTAATTCATTATAAAGTTTTTTTAACAGTTTAAAAAATTCGAAGTTGAAATGGATAGTCTAGGGAACATACTGTATTAATGTACTCTACTGCATATAATTTGTAAACATTTACATGATTTGTACACTTTGAACTCCCTTTCAGGCTGAAAGGGACTGAAAAAATTCATACCGAGAGATTCTTTTAATTCCTCTCTATATATTCTATTCTCTATGATGGAACCCCAGAATCTTTGTTTGCATGGTAGTGTTATACTCCATATATTATTTTTAAAATAATTATTATTATTTTAAAGATTTATTCCCCTATAGTTTCAATAGAATTAGATATTTCCATTTACTCCGATTCAAGGATTCATATCTCTAATTGGATAATGAGACAGATAGAAAGATAGATGTTACCGACATGCAATTTCTATTAGTTCAGAATAGACTACAAACTCGTGACTGAACCCTGATTGGATCAGGCGCTAATGGACGCGGCAAACAGGAGTGATTCACACACAAAGATATAAATACATATATAAATGGTGTAGTTTAAATTCGTTTAATAATTTGAATATATAGTTTTACAAAAGAAAAAAATATGAAAAATTATGCACAAATAGGCGACATTGATCATTACTTATTACATACCATGTTTATCATTTCACTTATTACGTAATCATCGAATCCTTTAACATATAAATTATTCGTTCCTGTATTTAAAAGTTCTTGTAAAACCGGAACTTTCCATGCATGGTCCAATGGGACATCAAAATATTTCATTTGTTTCTTAACAAACATTTTACCAAGATCAGAAAGATTTACAGAACAATCATTTGCAATGGAAAATAAATTTCTGCCAAAAACTGTGTTAAGGTCATTTTTGCATAAATTAGAAAGAAATCTAATGCAAAGCTTAGAACTTGCTTCAATAGTCTCATAGAAAGACAGACATCTACTAGCAACATAGAAAAACGACGTTACCGGCCCTCCACAATCCACAATCCACAATCCATAATCCACAATCCACAATCCACAATCCACAATCCTCAATCTAGCTACAATCCACAATCCACAATCCACAATCCACAATCCACATTTAAATGGAAGGTATTGTTTGAATAAAACAGCAGGTATAGGTCACGCAGATTCGGTTCGGTCCTTATCCCAGAGAACCATGACTTTCGAACACAATTTGACCTATTAAACGCTTTCCCTCATCTATACTTTTTTGTACGAAAAAGTACAAAACGACAAATCAGTAACTCACCAAAGTATCATGTAATATTTATTTTCTTTAAATAAATTGAGTCTTAGCCAAAAAATCTTGGCAACCATGCATGGTAATAGAGACCTTAGCTATTTCAAACTTTGGATTCTCTTAGATAAAAAATCTATTGTTGAAATCAAAGGTTTACACCCTCAGATTTAGAAACCGGAGAATTAGAGTTTGTAGCACAGATTAAATTCCTTTTACGAGACATAGTAATTAATAAAAAGGCAGCTTTCTTGAATAGTTGCTTGGCTTCTTCATACATCAAAGTCAGTTTGAATAATTACATATAGATTATCTTCTCCATATTATTCTGCCAACCACTGTAAAAGAAGAGAATATGCTACAGAGTGTCCCAAAAAAACATGGTAATTAAGTGAAGACTTATATATCATCTTTTTTTGCTGCGTGGCACGTGATCACAATTTGTGTAGCATTCCAGTTGAACTGCAGTTAATAATCAAAGCTGGGAAATTCCAATATCTGGTTTGCCATATTTGCACCTTCAAAATTCACGGAGATGTTGAAAACTCTGTCCAGATTCTAAGTTATTAAATAACTACTAAATATTTTTAATTTTTAATTTAATTTCAAAAGCACATAAGACGTAAAATTTTTATTTCAATACACTTTTTGCCATTTATAAATTATCAATAATCGATGTCAACTTTCAACTCGTCTCCTAATTCCCATGTTTATTGGGACACCCTGTAGAAGAATTGAACTACTTGTCTCCCAGGTGGGTTATCTAGTGAATAGTATTCTGAAAACCTCTTTAAATCTGAGATATATGAGAGATGAAATTATGTATTCTTGGTTCATGTAAAGAACATTATTTATCTACATTTGAAATTACATCTAAAGCAAGAACTTTTGTGTCGTGAACAGGGGTGAATTGTTCACATAAAACCCCCTCACACCAGTCTAAAAGTTGCATGATCCGTGCCAATACCAACACGTACAGTATATACTGTCCAGTCTGGCTACACAGTGAGTCGACCCAGCACGTTTTATGCAACAAATGCAGCCTGTCTAGATCACAGTACCATGGAAACCATAGAATTCAATGATCTGAGTCCCAGTCCCCCCCCCTTAAAGGGAGTGTTCGCAAAAATGAAAGGGGGTGTAGGCTTAATACTATAAAAAGCGCTTTTGATCGCTACTAATCTTACTTCTATCTGTTGCGTCTTTAAGGAGAAAATTGTTAAAAACGACTAATACCGAAGAAAGTAGTGTCCATACAAATTCAGAAAGATGCAACATACGACTTAGATCGTAAAAAAATCTATTTAATTTCAAACAAATCATTCAGATATTACAATCTATGGTCATCGATTATCTTTCGCCACATTTGTTGATTTTTCATAATATGTTTTGATTTTATTTTTAAAAATAATATTTAGCGTACAACTTGTTTTCGAACATTCCTGGAAAATATGAAAATGTCGTCTTCATTACCAATAATCCTCGAAACAGGAATAAATGTTTTTAAAAGTAATTCTCAGATCATAACAATTAAAACATATTATGAAATATCAACTATACACAAATGTGGCGAAAGATAATCGATGACTATAGGTTGTAATATCTTAATGATTTGTTCGAAATTAAATTGATTTTTTTACGGTTTAAGTCGTATGTTGCATCTTTCTCAATTTGTATGGGCACTACGTTCTTCGGTATCAGTCGTTTTTAACAATTATCTCCTTATAGACGCAACAGATAGAAGTAAGATTAGTAGTTATCAAAAGCGCTTTTTTATCGCATTAAGCCTATACCCCCTTTCATTTTTCGCGAAAACTCCCTTTAAACACACTTCTGGTTGTGAGTCTAAGGATCAACTATTAATCTCCATCCTTCATTACATGGATCAAGCATTGATCCTCAAAATAAGGGCTTACATTGGAAATCGAAATCAAGTGTTCAAGATTAAAGTTCCGCCCTCTGTTTTATCTAACAATTTAAATTTACATTTTAGTGACATTCATTTTTAGAAGGAAGTGTGTTTTCCAGAGAGATGATTTTAATCAGTTTAAAGTATGCTAGGAAGAAATCTTATAAATGAGATAATGTAAACAGTTGAAGTTTATTTTATCAATGAGTTTATTATAGTTAAGTAATATTTACTATTAATCTAAATTATCTTTCTTTAGTGAGAAATATTTGTGATTTTTATGAAGCCTCGACTTTTTAAACTTTGTTTATCGTCCAATTCTGAACTCCGACAACATTAATCCATTTTCAGGTCTAATTTTAAATGTTTTGTTCGAGTGGGAAATCTCTATCCACCAAGTGAAATAATAAAACGGATATTTACAGAGCAAAATGAAAAACTAAAAATAATTTACCAATCATGAATCAAAATCTTAACCTGTCAGTTTGGATTTTACTAAGCATCAAGGTTACACAAGTTTAATTATACACCCCCTCCACCCCCTGGGTCCTTTCACATACCGCCGCTTGGCCCGTTCTCTTAAGCCTGGATAAACAAGAACTTCTCTCTGCTGTTCCAGTCGGATCGCTTCACGTCGGTCGAAAGGGTGCAATTTGAACAATTTAAATTGTCCATTTAAACCCAATGAAACAAATTTTTATCTTTATTTGAATAATCCTGACCAGGTTCAAACATTTATTAAAATATTTTTTATACATAAACAATAAACAATATATTCAGTTGTAAAACTCATAAAATAGACCAGAAACAGTTATCATCAAAAACATTAAAATTATGGGTTTTAAATATTTCATTCGTATTTGATAATATTAAAACAAATTTAGTTGTAAACTTGTTTAGTGTTGCTTAAATAACTAATGAAATGGAATGCCCGCGATATATTAATATTAGCTTGAATTATTCCCAGAACATGTTGATATAATAAAAAAGGGTATGCTTAAAAACAGAAAACAAAGAAGACATTTCCCAAATCCTCGTCTGACTAAACTTTATCACAGATGACCTCTACAATGGATGGTTCCATTAGTATAGGAGGTTGTTCGAGACTGCGTAGTAGAGCTGAGGACATTATCTCATCCAGAAGATGATAAACAACCGCCTAAAATATACATAAATTACTTACTAGCCTACAAAGAATGAGACTTCAGAGACGACTGTACGTAATTAATACTGTCTGTTTTCTTATATTCATGATTGTGTACAACTGTTAAATTGGTTATTTCTTTGTATTTTAATAAATAAGCCACTAAAAGACAAAATTCAAGACAAATTCTCCTTTATCTTTCTATGTACTTGTCATTTCCTTGAACATCTTTCCGTCCTTCCCTCGAAGAATATCCTTGTCATTTTTTCTGTCCCTATTCCCACACTTTCATTGGTTTCCGCGTTTTCATGCCCTTCTCCTTGTCTTTTCTCAGACCTATCCCTGGTCTTCTTCGCGTCAATCTCCCTTCCTTCCCCTTTCCTTCTCCATGTCTAATGTCCATGTCTATATCTTCTCATTCATTACCTTTCTTTCAGTATTTTCCTTGAAAACAAATCTTTCCTGTTCTTCTCCTCGTACTTTCTTGTCCTTCTCCTCCTACTTTCCTCTCCTTCTCCTCGTACTTTCCTGCCCTTCTCCTAGTACTTTCCTGTCCGTCTCCTCGTACTTTCCTATCCTTCTCCTAGTACTTTCTTGTCCTTCTCCTCGTACTTTCCTGTCCTTCTCCTCGTACTTTCCTGTCCTTCTCCTCGTACTTTCCTCTCCTCCTCGTACTTTCCTGTTCTCGTACTTTCTCTGTCCTTGTCCTGCCCATACCTTCTCCCCGTGTGTTTACCTCGTCTTCGACAAATCTCCACAAGTATAGCTGGAGATAATGACAATCCACCTGGATCTGCTGTAAACCAAACCGAGCAAACGTTTTCAATCTGAACATATTTATTTTTAATATCATCAACCAACGAAATTTTAAAAACATGAAGTCACACAAAACCAATGGTGAATACTATCAAGAATTACCACCTTCTCTAACAAATTTTTTTAAATATTTCGATAAAAAACTGAAAAGTGAGATTTTGAATTTCAAACCAGTTTCCTGTTTTGAAACCTTTTCATCCAGAATTCGATTATTTTACGTCACTTCCGCCCCCCTCCCTCCCAGTTAAAGGTCAGCAAGTAAACAACAAACCTGACGCACTCCAGCAGAGTTTTAAGTCCTAGTTTTATTATACAGGTCAGAACAGATATTTTGGCAGGACGGACTGCTGTGAAGAAATCTATTCTTTCAGAGAAGAGTTTCTGAATATTGGTCGCTAGACTCGACTCCATATTCCTTCCAGTTCCATAGCTGGAGAAAACAGATCTAGATCTAGCTCCAGTTCTCCTAAACATTTGTCAAGTTTATCTACAGTCTACACAATCTAGTAGAACTGATACCAATTGAAACTACAAGTTACCAATAATAGCTGGAACCTTGAACTATCTTCTATGGTACAACCTGAAACTATATTCTAAGCTGGAACCTTGAACTATCTTCCATGGTACAACCTGAAACTATATTCTAAGCTGAAACCTTGAACTATCTTCTATGCTACTACCTGAAACTATATTATAAGCTGGAACCTTGAACTATCTTATATGCTACAATCTGAAACTATATTCTAAGCTGGAACCTTGAACAATCTTCTATGCTACTATCTGAAACTATATTCAAAGCTGGAACCTTGAACTATCTTCTATGCTACTATCTGAAACTATAATCTAAGCTGGAACCTTGAACTATCTTCTATGCTACTATCTGAAACTATATTCTAAGCTGGAATCTTTAACTTATTATTATTATTATTACCAATCAACCTACAGGGTTATCACAAAGGATAAGACTGCAATGACGACCTGAATTTCATGCAATATGACGATCTAAAGATTGCAATTGATGTTTCCCCTTAAATATAGTCTTTCAGTGGTATATTTAATGATTTGGTCTAAAAATAAACATGTTTACGATTGCATGGGACTCATTCACCCATCAGTCGTCTTCAGTCTCATCCTTTGTGGGAAACCCTATATATGCTAAGCATCTCGAACCAAGATACTAATGCAAGGAAAGTTAATTACGGTCGCGTATACTCTGCGTAGTGCGTACATATTGAAACCAGTTCCCTCTGGGCGGACTTTGTAGACAAGAATAGATGCATCAATGTTCGTTTAGTATCCGAGGAGGTTAAAAGAATTTAATTTTGATAATTTTCAAAATTCACATAATAGATTCCTATGACCAGAATATTTTATAGATTATTTTTGTGAAAATGGATTCCATGTCAGGCCGGCTGTGACATCCGTCTTGTGTTTACTTTTCCGCCCAAAGACAGTACACTGCAGTACAAAAAATGCGTACGCCTCTGAAATAACTTTAGTACTTGCCTGGAATTATCTTTAGACAAAAAACCGTGAAATATCTAATTAGTTGGTACATCGAGCTGTTCATTTTAACTTAATGTCTTAATTTGCATTTGGAATTGTCATCTAAGCTAGTAGATATTGTGTGTAAGCTATTACCTTGAACTATCTGATGATCTTGCTTTCTTCTGACCGTCCTCATATAGCTGGCCTACTTGGGTGTCTGAATAAATAAAAGACTTTACATTAATAATTCTACATTAGACAATCCCTAGATATCTGACCTATTAGAGTTACGTCCTCCACTATCCTCTTCATAACAGCTCTAACACTACGAGGTTCTACAGTACTCAACCAATCTCTGGCCTCCACGCTCTTCCTCAAGAGTAAAGATAGATCTCCGGATTCTACTTGAACATACCTGAACATGGACAATGGTCAATATGATCTTGTAAATAAAAAAAAATGCTAAAGAAAACAAATTAAATACGTTTACTGCTACAAAGAATTATGCTTTTACTGATTAAAATCATGTTTAAGGGGTGGGTCTTTGGCTATGACAAGAAAAACATCTGGGACGGTTCAGCTAAGAGATCCAAAAAGGAGCAAGTTTAAGAAAATCAGACTTTCGGGAAACCAGGAAATAAGTAACCTGAATTAAAAAAGTCTTTATGCTGATAGATACCGTCATAATTTCGTAAATATTTGTTCTTTAGAGAATCGTGTTTAATCCTTAAGTTCAGAAAACTCAGGTATACCCAAAATAATAAGAAGAATCGTTAAATGAATGTATCTGAAAATGAATATAACCTGTCAAGTAGGTTCTGAGCTGTTGTAGCCAGAGCTAAACTGACAGGAGATATATTCGGTAAATCAGCAATCAGAAACTCATCCTTAAATTATATAAAAATATAAATAAGACATTTTTTTACAGATACTTCAATAAAATGAATAATCTCTTAAAATAATAATTAAAATGATAAGGTTAAGGGGGGAATTATTTTCATGTATAAGCGAAAAATCCATTTAAATGTTTGATATGTTTTAAACTTTGTCAAAGTTTTGAAGTGACCTGTTACAATTAGAATTTGTTCCCAAGGTTGGGAAAATTTATGAAATTAATAAAAATACGATACTGAAATCAACCTGTGTATAGAATGAAAGGTATGATACTGTGGATAAATGAACCTGTGTATAGAATGAAAGGTATGATACTGTAGATAAATGAACCTGTGTATAGGATGAAAGGTATGATACTGTAGATAAATGAACCTGTGTATAGGATGAAAGGTATGATACTGTGGATAAATGAACCTGTGTATAGAATGAAAGGTATGATACTGTGGATAAGTGAACCTGTGTATAGAATGAAAGGTATGATACTGTGGATAAGTGAACCTGTGTATAGGATGAAAGGTATGATACTGTGGATAAATGAACCTGTGTATAGAATGAAAGTTATGATACTGTGGATAAGTGAACCCGTGTATAGAATGAAAGGTATGATACTGTAGATAAATGAACCTGTGTATAGGATGAAAGGTATGATACTGTAGATAAATGAACCTATGTATAGGATGAAAGGTATGATACTGTAGTGATAAATGAACCTGTGTATAGGATGAAAGGTATGATACTGTGGATAAATGAACCTGTGTATAGGATGAAAAGTACGATACTGTGGATAAATGAACCTATGTATAGGATGAAAGGTATGATACTGTAGATAAATGAACCTATGTATAGGATGAAAGGTATGATACTGTAGTTAAATGAACCTGTGTATAGGATGAAAGGTATGATACTGTAGATAAATGAAGATCAAGACAGGTTCTGGAGAGAAGTAGTAGAAGACCAGGAGGTACTGATACATCTCCTAAAAATCCCAAAAACCAAATTATAAAAATCGAAAAATCGAAAAAACAACACATTTAGTTTTCAATTATAAATTAAATTGGCTTTTGCGGGAGATCATTAACGTTGGGAATAAAATTACAATAACTAGTCTTCATAAACGCAGCATTCATTTATAAACCTAATAATAATAAAAGCATCATTTCTGAATAAAACACTAAGAGTAAAGAAGAAAACAATAATTTTATTATTGAAGAATACAAAGAAAAAACAACTAATTTTTGAAATCTTCGGTGATTTCCAGTATTTGATGAATAGCCTACCAGTAAACTTGTTGCATGCATCCCTTGTAAACCAGAACTGATTAAAGAGAACAGAATGTAGAACTAGCTCCTTACTAAACCTAGATCTAAACCCGGGTTTAACACTGTACGCTAACTCGGGGTCTAGGAACCTGAAATAAAAAAAACTTCAGATTACAGCGATGGATTAATATTAATTATTTATTATCGGTATTTCCCGAATAAAAAATAAACCATTCAATTCAAAAGGTTCCATTAAGGATATCGAGTTATGAGCTAAAGTGGAAAGTGTGTGGGAGGGGGGCAATTTAAAAAAAGTACATAATTAAATTCTTACATTTTTAAAACTTTAAAAATCAAATCTGCATTTACGCCAAAAACATTATCATTGGGTTGCGGTCGTTAAGAATATATAAACTCTCTAGGTTACGTTTTAGATATTCTCATAGATTAAAATTTACAAATATATTTTAAGGACATTATTTACCATGCCCAGAAAATCCCATTTTTTTTAACTTTTCGACTTAAAACGTTATGTTAATGGATCTAATGATAATATTACTGATATAATAAACATATTTTGCACTGATTAAAATCTCATGAAATGTCATGTATATATTTGTAAGATTCTTTTATTTAATAAACATAATAATAATATGCAAACCTTTTTAGTCCCTTGAGAGCTGATTTTATAGAATCCACTATCCCTGAGAGTAAACTATTTGCAAGCTCTGAGAGTGGGGGTGTGGGGCTCTCGCCCCCATTTCGTCGGGGGGCAGCGATCACTTGTCTCACAGCAAGTAGGTTTTCTTGTAAGGAATTTTCAAGGCCCCTAAAATGCGAGTTCAAAAATTATATTTTCGGAAAAATCAAATACTTTTTTACGATACAAGGAAAAGCATCAAATCAATTAATTTAATTAATTTCTAATATGCAAAATGGAATCCTACCTTGCTATCGAGTTCACAAAAGAAGATGTTATATTTAAAACAACATCTAGAGCAGCAGTTCCTAGATTCAAACCTGGAAACATCAGCTCATTATTATCATCATTTTCATTATTTTCATTTTTTCATTTTTATCATCATTAGTATCAATATTATCAATATTATTATCATTATTATTATCATTGTGATTTTTATAATTTTTATTATTATTATTATCATCATTATAATTATAATGATTTTTCATTATTATTATCATTATTTATCATTATTTATCATTATTATCATGTGGGGTGGGGTGGAGAGTGTGTGACTCCAGTTCTCGTGTTCACACTTGTCCACGGCCATTAACTGGATTGGTGTCCAGACTGGTGTTCACGGGTTTGTTTCAAAAACAACTGCAGCCGACATATGGTTAAGCAGTTATGACCACCTGACGGATGTAAGAGGACAGAGGGGCGGCTGTCAAATACTCTCGCAGCGATAGGGTGCATGCGTTCTACTCAAAAAGAAAGAAGCTTTAAGTGAATGATGATGAAGAGAGGAATGGTGGACAAGCAGGGAGAGTCTATGGTTGCCAGCTATAGGTACCTGGGGGTATCCAATCCGGGCTTACAGATGTTACGGAGCAATGAGTGTGATGTTTCCTATCAGTATGGCACCCGGGCCTCATTCCAGTATATCAGAAGGATTCCTGCACTCTATATTCTCAGGTCTAAGAAGAATCTTAGGCAGCTGGAATCTTGTCAACCCTCTTCTCAGTTTGAATGAAGCGTGGATGGATGAATGTGCTGCCAGATTACAACCCCTGGTAGATCAATATAAAAACCCAGACAACACCAAACTTTCGCAATAGAAAAAATTCCGAGATTTGATCGTAACAACCCGATCATGTCCTGGGAACAAAAAATCTCTTATTATTATCATTACCTGCATCATTATTATCATTATTATTATTATTGTTGACCTGGAATAGTTCTGCCAGCAGCTAGAAGCTTCTTATAGAATCTATCAATAGCTCGGACAAGAATTACAGTTTCTCCTTCCTAAATACAGAGGGAATACGTTTTAAATACTCAAACTTGTACATAACTGCACGCACCCTGTATAATGGACACGGTCAGAGGCGGTCAGTCCGAGCTAGCTATGGAGGCTTAGACCCCCCTCCCCTAAATCGGGGAAATCCATGATTTTCAGGGGTTTTTGGGTTCCAACAGGTGCTAAGCCCCCCCCCCCCCGAACAAATTCCTGAATACGCCCCTGGGTCACACGGTTTCAAACTATTCCATCTGCATGTTAGTGATTAATGTCGGCACAAGTTCAAACTAGAAACAAAATGAGAGTTTTAGATAGGATCGATTCAATGTAATTAGAAATAAAGATTAGAAAGGAAATCGTACAAAATCCAAAAAATACAAAATTATCTGGAAAAGTTGATTTAATTGTAGAATTTTTTCTCTCACCTCCTTCTCCAATGATAATCTCCTCTGAACCAGATCCATGTATTGATCCAGGTATTCTTGGATCCAGGACATCAGTTGCTGGTTGGAACCTGAACAGTTATAACAGGGGTATATAATTCCAGGTATTACACGAGGGGGGAGCAGAGTGATTTTTGACATCAAAAGACAAAATTTTCATCCATTTTAAAACTTTTTATCCCAAAATTCATTTATTTCCCCTATTTAGAAATTATTTCTAGGGGAAAAAAGAAGACTTTTCAAGTAAATATAATAATAATAAATAACAAGATCTGAAAGTGAACCCGACGGCGCACATGGAACCCCCAGACCGCCATCAGGGAGCAGCACATTAACATACGGCCTGCTCTCCATCCGGGCTAACGCACAATATTTAACGTCCGTTAACTAGTGATAGATAGCTGGTTATCGATTCTACATTTTTTCTTATTAATATTAATATAAAATAATAATAATTATCCTAATCCTACTGTGGAATTTAAATCATTCTGATTAAACTTTTAATGTTCAGGATTTCTGAAAATCTGGAGAAGAATGTTGGATCCATGTTATGAGTGTGAAGAAATGTATACGGAGAAAGAAGAAACTGAAGTTACAAATGAAAACTTAGACTTTTCCCAAAGATTCTAAAACTTTCCATTCATTAGCTTTATGCACAAATCAAATCTTCGCCACAGTTTAAGAATTTTGATATTTGATTTTATGTTTGCAAAGCCATGAGAATGTAAATTGTGATCTTTTTATATCAATTCTTTATCTTATTCAGAATTTTTCGGAAAGAATAAAATTACTTAAAAAACTATAAATGTCGTCCTTTTCAGACGAAGAATGGGTTGATTTGAAATAGTAACCCCCTAAGTAGTCTCCAGGTCTCAGTCTTTTACGAGGTTTACAAAACATCGTTTAAAGCAATTTCCAGTTTTTACAAAAAAAGGACTCGAGTTAACTCAAATAGAACATTCTTTCAGACTCGCCAAGACTCTGATGAAGCATAAGATATCTCCTCGAAAACTGTAACTCATATTAAACTCCAGCCCGAGCAACTTTGTAAGTGTGTTTTTATATAATAGAACATTTCTACTTATCTGGTTTTCATTCTTGGAAAATTAAAGTTTATTTTTGAGACCTGGAGCAACATTTTGTAAATCAATAAAAATAAATATTTTGTTATCCTATTCTAATTAAATTTCATTTCAAAGTATGAGGAGTTGGCAATACCTACTTCAATAAAGCATATAGACTTATAAACCTCATGTATTAATGTGGTGCGCTGGTTATCAGGGAATACTCGCCCTGGATATGAGAGAACTTTTAAGTTTTTAAAGTCTGAAAAACGACGTTACGAGTACACCTACCTTCTGGATAATCTGTAAATACTGCGTTGAATGCTGATATGGTTGAAGATAGTTCTGCTAGGAATATATTGGAAGCATGATCAACAAATTCTAAACAATCCATCACAACAACACTCTCAGATACCTAAAATAGAACCGTTTACAAGTTAAGCAGGAAATTATTTTTCAACGGGTTGGAGAACATTCTTTTTTATTCAACTTATTGCTGTTATAAAAAACGTTTTCCAGAGAAACTTCAAATTGTTTAAATCAAGCTCTTCGATTATATAAATATATGTTAGATATAGCTGGTAAAACGGCTAGACCAAATTGGCTGAAATTTTTTGAGGGAAGCCGAGGGTGCCCGAGGGATGACCAATGCTATCTTTTTTTATGAAATTCCACGGGCAACACCAAGCACTTTATCTAATGCCAAGCGCGGTTAAATGGTAAGAGTAATTTTGACTGTGAACAATAACATAAACCTGGGCAGTGGCAATCCGGGTTCCCAAGTTAGTTCATAATATAATTAAGGGCAAAATAAAGGGGGTGTTTTACTGGTAATATTTACCCCTGTATTACCTTTGAGAGTTCCGGGTTGGTTATCATGGTGATCTGGTTTTCTAGCTCAGCTAAGGAACTTGTCAATTTAACAGCTTCGTGAGCCAGGTAGCTGTCAACCAAGCTGTCAGCAGGACTGCCCAACTGCTGTAACAGCTGGACTGCTTCGGAAAGCTGTTCTCCTGTACATTCAGGGTTCTAGAAGAAAAAATATCGATTTATTCCCATCCGTATTACAAATTTAAAGTTTATACAAAATTCTTCGGGGTGTATATTTTCTTGAAAAATCATCCCCCACTTCACAGATGTTAGGCATAAAACCAAATATTTTTTATTCACTTAAACGGGGTTTTAAAAATTGTTCTCGAGAAATCACCGCAGATTAATTTGGTTTAATTTTTATAAGTTGGCTAGAAAACGAAAAAATCTAAGCTAAATTTAATTAAAATTATATGTAAACCAAAAAAAATTCATTATTTATTTTTAGTGTTCAGTGTTCACCTTGAGCCTAAGCTGTAAATCATGATTCATCAGAGCTACAATCTCCTCACAATCTTCCTGTATACCAGAGAAACTAGGCATATCCCTAGAATACAATAATATTCAAGAAAACTACAATATATTACAATCCTCCTGTATACCAGAGAAACTAGGCATATCCCTAGAATACAATAATATTCAAGAAAACTACAATATATTACAATGCTCCTGGATACCAGAGAAACTAGGCATATCCCTAGAATACAATATATTATAATGCTCCTGGATTACCAGAGAAACTAGGCATATCCCTATAATACAATAATATTCAAGAAAACTACAACATATTACAATGCTCCTGTATACCAGAGAAATTAGGCATATCCCTAGAATACAATAATATTCAAGAAAACTACAATATATTACAATGCTCCTGGATACCAAAAGAACTAGGCATAACCCTAGGAAATAATAATAATCAAGAATAATGCATGGAGAAATATGAAAAAAGTAAAAATATCTTAAAGGGACAGTAAAGGAAAAATGAAAGGGGGTATAGGCTGAAAGCTAATCACTTTAGCTCTCGATCTCGACCCATGAAAGTCATATCTGATGTTCCTGTCTCGAGAAATTGATATAAAACTGTGTCAAATATATACGAAAATTAATATGTATACAATTTTGTATAAAAGTAGTAGGTTTAAACAGATCATATTCAGCAAATAAGCAACCAATCTGAAAACGATTATATCCCAGAGAAAGCTAATTGTAATTTAGGTTTACTTTTATAATTGTTGTTTCTATTTTCAATAGATTTCATTCATAATATTATTTTTACGTCCGTATTACTTGACCAGAAATTCCACCAATGGCAGTGCAGTAAAGTGGTCACGTGATACAGGCGGAGACACGTGACCAGTATACTGCTCTGCCATTGGTGATAGTTCTGGTCACGTGATTTAAGTTTCAGATTTTCAAAATTTTACATATATGAATTTTCGAATAATTTTAACACAGTTTTATATCAGTTTCTCGAGACAGGAACATCAGATAAAACTTTCATGGGTCGCGATCAAGAGCTAAAGTGATTAGCTTTCAGCCTATACCCCTTTTCATTTTTCCTTTACTGTCCCTTAAAGCGGATAGATTAGCACCTAGAAGAAAAAGTCGACACACATGAAAGTAAACATTTACAGAATTTTGATGAGAAACAAGGATTAGATTTAAATCAAATAATTTTAGTTAGGAATAAAGAGCATATACACATTGAACAGTTCTTGAAAGATTTAACCGTAGTTTTATCCTTTTTCATTTTTTTCCTTAGAAACTTAGACCTGTAATGCTCAAGAGCTGCACTAGCTTTGACCCAGTACTGTACAGCTTTCCTGTACTGCTCCTCCTTCAAGCACTCCTTGAGTTTGTCCGGTAGCTCCAGGACGAACTGGAGCTTCTGGAGGGTTGTGTGAGTAGCGGAGAGCTGAGCTACATCTTGTCTTCTAGTTCTTAGTTTATCAGAGATTTGGGAGGAAAAATTGGTAATACTACTCATACTTCCTTGAATAATAAAATATGAAATTTTACTTTTTAACATTTTACATTTTTATCTCATTTAATAACTCTTAGCCAAAAAAATCGTCAAAAACTAATAAAAGTTAATTTCAGATTAAATAAAATTCCAGGCAAATAAATCTTGTTTTTCTAACTTTAGATTTTAGAAGTTTATTGTCGGTCTATTTTTTTTCTTCATTGTTTGACAAAAATCTAAATTTTTCATTTTGCCTAATTAGTAATTACGATAAAAATCGAATTAAAGATTAGGATTTTAGAATTGTATAAATCCAGACTTCTCTCTAGCAAATCTTCTAAGCTTTATGGGAATTCTCTTTTCTAAATGTGTAATGTAATACCTGCCAACTGATCCATTTCCTCCTCCATGCTTTTAAAATCAACTCGCATTTTCCTTAACAAATTATTACTCTAAAGGGAGGGTTCATATAAATGAGACTTGGTACAGTCATTAACTACGTTATGAATCGATTGGCAATACTTTTTTTCTATCTTAGGTTTCTGTCTAATTCGAGTAAACAAATTGTTCCATAAACCCCTGTATGGCAGTTAAACCCCCAGATTTTATCTGGGGTAACTGCTTATAAGGTTGTACGATGTCAGCCACTTTTCAGAACATTTAAATCTACAAAAAAAATAATTTAAATCGAATCATAGCTTTTTATAGTTCAAATACTCTTTAACATTTGTAAACAACCAAGCGGCAATTTTCTTTTTTTCTTTAAAAGATAATCAAAATACCAAATTTAAACGATTTTAAAGGAACTGTAAAGGAAAAATTAAAGGGGGTATAGGATAAAACCTAAGCTCAGGCGTGAAACGATACATAAATAACATTTATCTGATGTTCCTGTCTCGAGAAATTGATATAAAACTGTGTCAAATATACGAAAATTCATATATATGCAATTTTGTATAAAAGTTGTAGTATTAAAACAGATGATTTCAATAATACGCAACCAATCTGAAAACGACGATATCCCACAGGAGCCTAAGAATCTCTGGTTTGCTCCTATTATAATTTTTAAATTTTTATTTTGCTTTTTTAATAGATATAATTGATAAAATAATTACATATATTCTGTATAGTCCGTATTACGTCAGCAGAACTTCAGCCAATGGCAGTGCAGTATCGTTGTTACGTGATACAGACGGAAATCACGTGACCAGTATACTGCACTGCCATTGGCTGAAGTTCTGGTGACGTAATACGGACTATAACGGACTATATGTAATAATATTATTAATTATATCTATTAAAAATGTAAAAAAAAATTAAAATAGGAGCAAACCTAAGATTCTTGGGTTCCTATGGGATATCGTCGTTTTTAGGTTGGTTGCGTATTTGTTGAATATGATCTGTTTAATATTACAACTTTTATACAAAATTGCATGTATATGAATTTTTGTATACATTTTTTATTTTATATAAATTTCTCGAGACAGAAACATCAGATAGATGTCTTACAGGTATCGTTCAACTCCCGAGATTCTCAGATTTAAGCCCCCCCTTTAATTTTTCCTTTACAGTCCCTTTAACACAATTTAACATGAATTTAACACCTCCCTGTTTGAGCCAAAACTTTATGATCCTGGAATATCTTGTATTCTTTTAAACATTCAATACAAATAACGAAATACTTAAGATTATTTCTATTTCTCGTAATAATTTATGACAAAAACTTTTCTTATTATCTATTCACTCGATTACCTGATTGTCTCCGTAGCAGCGATAAACTTATTGTAATTCTCGTAAACCAAGGTCTGCATATCAGAGTCTAATCCCTGAACAATAACTTGAAATGTAGTTTTAAAAATATCCCCCTCATAACCCTTCCATGTCTTTAAAAAAAATTCCAATCATTAAAATTTGATCTTGTGCAAAATGTTATCTTTTAAGGTTAAAAATTGATTGGACAAAAAATGTAACAAGGTCATCGTCAAGGGTTATGTATTTTCTTGAAAAATCCCCCTCAAATAGATAAAGCCGGCAGCCATCAGCATTCAGCAAATTGGAAAGTTTTTCTCTTGCAGAATTAAGAAAAGTCTTTGATTTTAAAGTCAAATAAAAAAAATTTTTGGGTAAAAATGTTAAAATATTCCCCAGAGGAGAAGGGAAGGGGGATTTTAAAAATATATATACCCCTGGGGCCGAATTTAAAGAATTTTGGCCGCAACTTAAATTTAAGCCGCAGCTCAAATATGGTTGGTTCCACTTAAAATTGTATTAAATTTTTCAAGATTTAAACCGTTTTTGGGGGTTTTGAGACGCGGCTTAAATTCATTAAATTCGGACGCTGGTTACCTTGATCTGTGAAACAATCTCCTTCTCCTGGTTCATGAGCTGGGATAAACTGGCCTCCTTCACCAGTTTATTAACGAACAGATCAGGATCAAAACCTTGACAAGGAAATATCAACTTTTTAGATATACCAATCTTGATCAATAACAACTATTTTACAATTTTTATTCTAAATTCATGTTAAGTTGAATTCTGAACATTTTTAGATTATAAAAATCATAAGACTAAATGAGGAAGAAATATTTGATAACCTCCAAAAAAAGAGGTTGTGAGAATATTTGCCCCCAATTAAAAAAAAGACAAAGGAAAAGGAAAGTTACATATATGTTGTTATCATTAAAATAACTGGTGGTGTATTGTTAGTACTAAAAAATTAACAGATATGTTTAGTGCTATACACTGATATTTTTTTAACTTGCATATTCTACGTTGGCAGAGTTACAAAGAAGAATCACGAAAGTAGCATTTTAGACGTACGTAACAATCCCTTTGGAAGAAAGTTCTGAAATTAAACTAATATTTTACATACCCGGTCCATTTATATCTAAAGGGTTGGTTTGTATTGGAGTATGCAGTTTACGCATGTGCTGAGAAGGTCGTCTCACATTCATATTCATCTTTCCTTCCGACTCAACCTTGGTCATACATTTCATATTCATCTTTCCTTCAGACTCAACCTTGGTCATACATTCCATATTCATCTTCCTTCCAACTCAACCTTGGTCATACATTTCATATTCATCTTTCCTTCCAACTCAACCTTGGTCATACATTTCATATTCATCTTTCTTTCAGACTCAACCTTGGTCATACATTTCATATTCATCTTTCCTTCCGACTCAACCTTGGTCATTCATTTTTTTTTATAACTTTTTTAAATGAAAAAGTAACTTGGAACACATTATGGGTTATCTTTAATAATTGGTCAATAAAGAATTTTAGGAGGAAAAATACAGAAGAAAATCGGGAAAAAGGAATCATTTTTGGTAATTATTTTTAATGAGATAATTCGTTTTTTAAGGAAATTATAGCGAAAGATGTAAAAACTAGAAAAAGAAATAAAATTATGAAGTATACATCAAGGAAAGTAAAGAAACATATTTTTAAGTAATCTTGAAATATTCGGGCAAAATCAAAGAATAAAATCACGCATATAAAAATAAAAGTATCTCACCGAACTATTATCTGAACTCAGACCGTAAAACTTGGAGAGTTTAGTTCTATTCTTCGAACCCTCCCCCTCCCCTCCCCTCCTACTCTTTTCATCTTCTTCTCGCATTTTGTTATATCTGAAAAAAATAAAATTATATTGATTTAATAATACAGAGCGTCCATATCATAATATTAGATTATCTCCGAGCTTTAACGTCAAAACAAACACATAATACTCGAAAAACCTAGCATTTTTTGAAAGAATATTTTTATATTAGCTTTATTTTATTTTCCAAAATGATTCAATCCTTAAATTTTCTAATTAGTCCATAAAATCGTTATTTTACACCCATTGACGATCAAACATGATGTGGGACACCCTGTATAATATGAATATATATAGAAATACTGGGTGTTCCATATAATTTTCTGCAATCTTTCACACGAATTTTCATATCTTAATGGACACTTAAGCAGAATGGAAATCGGTTGTTTAAAATTGTTAGACAAAAAAGTAAAACATAAACATTTTCAATAATTACTTTTGGGTTAGAAAAAACAACAACATATTACCATAGTTTTAACCGTCTCTATTTTAGTTTCATTGTGTTTAGAGAATGTTTAAGTATTGAGTTATGTTCAAGAATTGTAGAGTATGTTTATATACAGTCAGCTGATTTACACAGGTATACGTAAAGAAAGAGAGAGTATATACAGGGTGTCCCACGAAACATGAAATTTAATAAATCGTTATTTTTAGTTTAAAAAATTGTTTGCTTCATTATCTTTTTCTTTGATATCAATTTTAATTTAAAATGACTTCCATATAAAATTTGTATTGATCTTGGTATCAAACAACTTAACAAATTATGGAAAAAACATTCTAAACTATTTACCAACTGTCATGTTTGTGAGACACCATGAATAATAATACAGATTCTCTTTATATCTACCCTTGATTTATTCTGAGTATCAAATTTTTTTTCATCTATCAACAGAACATGAAAAGGATATTTTTCTAATTAAAAGATATTTTTCTAGGATCTTTGCACGTGTCAAAAGAAAAGTATATAATCTAGAAACCTTGATTTCTAGATCCACTGCTACAAATTTTAGGTGTCCAAAAAATTTGCTTGATCCTTCATTACAAGTCGTCTAAGCCATGCATGGGTTCCGAACTCTCAACCACAGGTTAACAAAGAGGAATTAATTTAATAAAAACCTTGAAAAAGCGAAAGATACGGATACAAACTCATCATCTTAGGATTCATCACACGGAAGTATTGATCACATATCTCTTATCCAACATTCCTTCTCAAATCATTATTTTATACTTTTTTTCATACATCTCTCCTCCCCTCATAATCTCGTGATCCTCACATTCTATTTTCTGTAAAAATATGCAACTTAATTCAGAGGCTTGGAAATGAGACTTCAGAGACGAATTATAAATTTGTCTTTTAGTTTTCAACCTACAGTTGTAGGTTTTCTAGTTGTTCAGTGTTCATCTATTTCTTTTATGTCAAACCAATCTGATATCATGGATACTTTGCACCGTCGATAACCATATAGGTCATCCTTGATAATTGATAAATACGACTTTTAAAACCTTGACATTTAAGACATGATCAAGTGTACATTTATTTGAAGTCAGAGAAAATATCTGAATTACACAATAATTGAAAATTTATTGAAAACAATATTAATTAACAATATTTACTACACACGCGACTTTCACAATATCTTAAAATTAAATTCCCTTAAAACTATAGATAACAGCCTTCTTCTGATTCTATGAGAGTTTAAATGGTTGAATTTTCAAACAATCTGAGCAAAATATAACATCTCATGGAATCGTTACTTAAGAAAATTACATAAACGTCTGAAATTTTATGGAACCACTTCAAATGTCACTGGTTTTAAAAAGATAAAAAAATTAAGTTATATAAGGGATCATATCAATTCAAAGGGTATATTATAAAGTAAAAAAGGAACTCGGATAAAATATTAAAAGTGGTTCCGAACATACATAGATTATTATTACGACTTACAGCCAGAAATTAAACTAAGTGTTAAAATATTATTTCGGAATTATTTCAGTCTTATTTTTAATCCTGGCGCTAGACATGTTAAATCTGTGGCCAGGAAGCAAGAAAACAAATATACTAATACGACGCGGGGGGAGCAATAATTTATCTCGCAATAATAGAAGAAAAAATATAATTTTCATAACTTAAATAATATTTTTTGTTCAATGATCATGATGGAAAGAATTTAAGCTACCCCTATTTCAGAATACAAGTTTATAATATATCTAATACGATTGAATACTATTTTTATTCATTATTAACAACTCTCCCTGTTGAAAAAAAAACATTATTCGGCAGGATTCAAGGAAAATTGTGGATTGAGCAGTGCTTAGGATTCGAGCACTGGAACTAAGGTTTAGGAATGATAAGGATAGAACGGAGATGAATAGAAAACCATGATGAAAATTGAGAACAAAGTTCTCGACAATAAAACTATAATTTTCCTAAATTTTATATTTTCTACTGAGGAGGACTCGTCATGCTCGCGTTCTGAACAGCAGTTGTAATCTTGGCCCAGAGTTCCTTCTTACAAGACTTGGTTCTTCTCAAGGAACTCAACAGGTTCTGGAACTCACTCTGTCCGTTACCAGTCCAAAGGAACGCCTAAAATATTGGTCAGTTTTCGGAGCATGGTCAGACAAAGAAACTCTCAGATTTTAAGGGTATCGTTTTGGCATAAGAGTTCGACCCTTTTTCCATTTTTCAGTCTTGGCCAAAAATGCTCTTTATGGAAAAAAAAATCTATGCATCGACACTATATATTTCTTTACGAGCTCGCCAAACACAATGTTCGAATAAAATCTGTACTAACCTTTCTAGCGTGAATGATGATAGCTGTAAAATCATCATATTCTCCTGGGGTGAGATGGTAAACCTTCTGATGGATGCATTGGTAATACGTCTAAATAAAATATCAATAAATCAATTATTAATCATACTAGATTTCTGAAAAAATTCGTATCATTTTCCAAACCAATTAACGACGGTTAAAGAGAGCATGATTTCAAGTGACCCTCCGTGCAAAGATGACAATGCCTGATTCACGATGGTACCATTGAAAGATTTGACTGATCAAGTATGAATTAGAACTTCATGTATTTGTTTTTGAAAACTGTTATTTTGATATGTGCTTTCTCAAGTGACTTGCGCATTTCTTGCTTATATGAAAGATTGGAATTTCTAAGTTAGAAAAACGACGGTATCTTCCATATTTTTTAATTGATTATAAATCTACATTCGTAGTCAGCCCTAGAATCAAAATTCATCTTCCATATTTTTTATCAGAATAAGGTTGCAAGGGAACACTTGTAAATCGGATATTGCCATCTTTGTTTGGAAGTGTTTCAAGGGTACCGTTGTAAATCGGGCATTGGGATTTATTTATGAAGGGGTTTCAAGGGTACCGTTGTAAATTGGGCATTGGGATTTTTTTATGGAGGGGTTTCAAGGGTACCGTTGTAAATTGGGCATTGGGATATTTGTATGGAGGGGTTTCAAGGGTACAGTTGTAAATCGGACATTGGGATCTTTGTATGGAGGGGTTTCAAGTGTACAGTTGTAAATCGGGTATTGGGATCTTTGTATGGAGAGGTTTCAAGGGTACCGTTGTAAATCGGGCATTGCTATCTTTGTATGGATAAGTTTGAAGGGTACAGTTGTAAATCGGGCCTTGGGATCTTTGTATGGAGGGGTTTCAAGTGTACAGTTGTAAATCGGGCATTGGGATCTTTGTATGGAGGGGTTTCAAGGGTACCGTTGTAAATCGGGCATTGGGAACTTTGTATGGATAAGTTTCAAGGGTACCGTTGTAAATCGGGCATTGGGATCTTTGTATGGATAAGTTTCAAGGGTACCGTTGTAAATCGGGCATTGGGATCTTTGTATGGAGGGGTTTCAAGGGTACCGTTGTAAATCGGGCATTGGGATCTTTGTATGGAGGGGTTTCAAGGGTACCGTTGTAAATCGGACATTGCCTTCTTTGTATGGATAAGTTTCAAGGGTACCGTTGTAAATCGGACATTGCCATCTTTGTTTGGAGGGTAACTTGAAATTATGCGTATACCGTCCCATGAATAGTTTAATGGTTTTAAAGGGGTCGCACAAAAAGTGCACATTGCGTTTTCTTAGCATTTAATATTCACTATACATACATACTATACAGGGTGAGTCAAAAAAGTGTCGCCTGGTGCAAAATTGTACTTTTTTGTGCAAATCTCCTGCATGGTGTTTTTATTATATATTCTCTGAAATTTTTCGTTTTTTTTGATATTCTAATGGCTTAAAAAAAATCCGCGAACCTTTTTTTCCTCTCAAATTAAAAAGTTTAGAGAAGCAAAAATGTGTACATAAATTATTACTATCATAATCTAAAATTTTATAAAGATTGAATCATAGAATCACAGAAAATTCGCAAAATTGTAAGAAGAAAATTTGCAATTTTCGGTTCTGGTCTAATTTTTAAGTTATATAAATTCTCTAGTTCCTTTCTTCTTAGTATGTTCTAAAGTTTTAAATATAAGATGTTCAGTTGAAACCTAAAGAGCAAACTACTTTTCCTTAAAATTAGGCTAGAACTGAAAATTGCAAATTTTCTCATTACAATTTTGCGAATTTTCTGTGATTCAATCTTTAAAAATTTTAGATTTCGATGGAAATAATTTATATACACATTTTTCTTTTCTGAACTTTTGATTTTGAGGAAAAAAAGGTTCTCGGATTTTTTTTGGCCAATGCAATACTAAAAAAAAATTTTTTTTTTTAAATATTGAAAAAACACCATACAGGAGAGTTGCACAAAAAAGGTACAATTTTGCACCAGGCGCCGCAAATCACTTTTTTTTTTGACTCACCCTGTTCAGTATACATATTTTGCCCCTATGCATCATGAAGTTATTTTGTTTTAACAATCATGTCAAATCTTTTAAATCAGACTTTTAGAGGAGCTTTAACAATTTTTTTAACACAGAAAAAAAACATACAAAAGTAATATGGGTTTTAAAGAAGATTGATTTATGAACCTTTTCTAATACCTGGTAACATTTCTGAGCTAAAGAGGTTAGATAAGGTTGAGTTCTAATCTGCTGAATAACGGCGTTAACAAAATGCTGCTGAGAACCTGCAGAGGTTCCTGGGGGAGCAGCTGCAAGGAAGCAGCCACACTCCCAAGTCAGATCCTGAAAAGAATTAGAGACTAATTGTCAGGTTTAGGATTTAGAATTAATAACATTTAGAGAAAAAAAATTTTTCGTGTGTGAACCTTGAAAGAATATTTGTCCATGAATTTTGTAAGGGGCGGCATTGTTATTATTAGGATCATTTAAGGACCATTTTTTTAAAAGATCCAATAATGACCAAGTTTCTTGATTAATCTTTACAACCCGTAAAAAAATCTGCATAAAATCACCTGTAGGAGATAAGGAGAAACCACGGTCGCCATGACACACATCAGAAAGTTTTGCAGATAAGGCAAACCAATTTTCTTTGCAACATTCAGCAACCACTTGACATCATCCGCGTAGCTAGGATTTCTAGTAAACTTGTTCTGAGGTCTATCCTCGGATACCCGTCTACCTAGAGTTTCAAGAGCCAGCATACCAACTCTAAAAGATGAGAGAAGATATCTTTGATAAACAACATTTCCTGTGACACCATGATGGTTTGCTGGAGAGGAGGGAGAGGGTACTCCTGGAGGTTGCATGGGAGATGATGCTGGAGCAGGATGAGGAAGAAGAGGGACTCCCTGCTGTATATGCTGGGAGGTGGGTGGGGTAGGGAGAAGCGGCATTGACATCCCCTGGAGGTTCGGCAGCGCCAGTTGGAACAGAGGACCTCCTGCCATATTAAACCTGGGACCTCCATCCGGCATGTTAGGGAACATCTGTAGACCTGGTAGGTTGGCTAATCCAGGCCCTAGGCCGGGAAACTGAGCGTATCCTCCCTGGGGAGTAGATACAGGTATACCAGACAACATATGATGATGGGGCGGACCCACGTACATCTGCATCTGCAGAGGTATCTGTGGAGGCAAGGAGTTGGGATAACCCTGGATCAGGGAGTAGATTGGGAACTGCATCCCTACTTGCATATGGTTTCCTGCAATGGGTAGACCAGGAATCTGGTGTCCAGCCATCTGTTGTTGTTGCTGTTGTAGTTGCTGCTGTTGATGTTGTTGTTGTGAGAGATGAAGTTGATTGTTCATATTTTGAACACACTCTGCTCCGGAGGTCGGAGGATGTCTTCCGTCATTATCCTCCTGTCTTGTTCCAGGGGTTCGCGTCTTCCACAACTCATACCAATGCCGAGCTACGGTAAACATAACTTCAGGATAAACTCCTCCACCTCGTGCAGCCTCTTCTACGGCCAGGCAAGCCTTCTCCAACATAAGATCACTCTGCTCCTTACACTGAAGGATAGCCCGAGCTATCTCGTTAGGGTTTAAAGCATGCGCCTGACTCAGGCAAGAAAGAGCAAGCTCTGCAGCAGAAGTTACTATTCCTGCGTCACGACCTCTGCTTGCCCTGTCTGCTATACTTGCAGCCTCCGGAGGAGTAAGATGACCCTCCCATGTCCCGATTAGGAACCGTATTGCTGTAGCTCCGATCTCCATAGCCTGTCCAGTGATCCATGACACATGGCTTGAATATGTTCTTGAAATCCAGTTGGGGCTCACACGGTTGTGCAGACCCAGAGCATAAAGTCCAATCTGAAATGCGCACATGTGCAGGGCCCGTTGGGGTCCTCGAGGGTTCTGATTTGAAGTATTTTCTGTAAACAAGGAGGTGGTGGAGGTACCCCCAGCTTTTGTTAAAACTGTCTTTGCCAATTCAAACATAAAATGCGCGCTTGCCTCACTTGGCTGATTGGGAACTGAAGGATAAGCACGCTTACCCTTGAATCTTGTAACCTTTATGTTAGGTAGAGTGGTTCTTGTTAGGTTTGTCATCTCCATCATCGAGACTGCAGGTCCAGGCATTGGATAGTTGACAAAACTTTGCTCTGTTCTGTTAGGTTGAACCTGAGGTGGTGGTACTATTCCTTGACTCGGAGACTCAATCCGAGGTCTACCTAACCTTGATCCACTGCTGTCACTGGAGTTTCCGCTACTGCCGCTATCTGATGGAGGAGGGCGGAACCGTCTAACCATCGTTGGAGAATTGTCAGAGCTTGCTGTCTCCGGTGCCGAGCTGTCAATACTGGCCATGTGGTGTCCTGGAGTTCTTGGTTTGTTAGTTCTAAGGTTTGTGCATCTAAACTTAGCCTCCCAGGCCTTGTAACTATCCCAATCCGGTGGAGAAGCTCCCTCGGGTCTCCTAACCCCAGCAGCTCCATCCTGCTGATTCTCTCGAGATGCTCGTCTAACCCTGTCCCTAGGCCGGGCACCAAGATGAAGGTTTACCATTTCATTAGCCAGGTTCTGCTGAGGCGGTGGTTGGTTGGGATTGTTGGCAGGATAACCAGGTGGAGGTACATTAACGGACATCTGTTGCTGTGCATTAGTTCCTGATCTACAAGTATAGTAATTGGGAAGTAGGGGAGATTTGCACATCTGATGAATATCCTTATCCAACAGTTTATCCATTATTTTTGCTAATTTTTCCGGGTCGTCCTTGTAGTTGACCAGGAGCATGAGAGCAAGATCTCCTCGCTGTCTCCGGGTACCTTCACACAACAAAGGATGGTCAGCTTCACTGACATTTGCTTTAAGTCCTATCGCCGCTACAGCCGCTTCAAATCCTAGAATTTCATCTCCAGAAACTCTTGAACTGGTAAAGTTATTCTTGCTCCCAGAAGTTAACACTAAAGATTCAAAAATAAAGCTTGACAACATCATTGGAAGAAGAGCTTCTCCGCGAGATCTTAAACTTCCTTCCCGTAGCTGAATAGCACGCTCCCTTACAATTGCAAGTTCTGCTTGACCAAGGGGTAAACGCTTTAGCAGAGCAACTAACTCTGACTCCTGGTGCGCCAGTTTAACTTCCATTGGTTTAGTGGAGGCTGGAGGGCGGGCCATCTCTAGTCCAAACATTCCTATTTGAAAAGCCAGGTAGAGATGGTTGGGGGTTTGTGCGGTCTCGCTGAGTACAGTACAGATAAAGGCGCAGTGAGTAAGTGTGGTGGAGGCAGTGTGAGTTATTTGATGAGACGCCGCACATGCACGCCGTTTCTTGCCCTTAAAGGAGATCGGCGGCGCATCTGTAATGAGATCTGGCGGATTTTTCAGCATATCTAAAGCAAGTCTAACCGCCATCTCGCAAGCATGCGAGTGGTAACCATGCGCGTGAATGCCTTCTGCGCGCATGAACAGAATTTCCCAAGAATCTTCGATTTTTCTCAGGTTTTTGAATATATCAACTTCTTCCTTGCTCCCATCCTCGTTCTGTGTTGAAACTGGAACTTTGGGATCATAAAAGTAGACTCTATAATCCTGTGGATCAGAGGCAGGTATTGGAGCAGGAAGTTCAGGTTCTCTAGTTTCTTCAATCCTCTGTTGAGCTTCACTCTGTCCGCTGGACCAGTCGGATTCCATATCTCTTTCTGGAGAGGATTCATCTCCAAGTTTTTCTCCATCCTTCAGAGCTTTGGATTTTTGTGCAGCTATAGCAGAGGCTCCGATAAATTCCGGAAATTTGTCGTCTCCTCCTTCTGCTCCCTCTCCCTCCGACTGTGACGGAGCTTCTTCTACTCCCTCATCGGAGGGCATCTCCTCACTGCTCAATGAAGACCTTACAAGAGCCTCCCCAATCCTTCCAAGGGTTTCACTCTGTGTCCTAGGTCTGTGCTCGTGTCCTGATCTAGGTCTGTGAGTTCCTACACCAGGAAACTCGCAGCGTAGAACAGCTTGGCTTGAGTTGACCTGACCACAACCAGCTCGTCCTGACCCGTCCTCTGTATCAGAAGGATGTTTGAACACAGTAAACGGGCACAGATATTTAGGGTTCCTACCAAACGTTACTCCAGGAATAGGGTAGTCCTCCCAGTCCATAAAGCAAGCTTCAATGGCAGGTTTAAACCCTGTGAATATTTCTACATCACTTAATTTTCCGGTCTTCTGAGTTCCTTTATTTCCCGCTGTCATGTTTCCTTGGTTGGTTTCAACCTAAAAATAAACTAAATTGATAAAAAATATATTTCTATAAATTGGTAAAGGGATAGTTCAAGGGATAGTCCACAGAAACAAAACTGTACCGTTTAAAAATCTTCTTCACAGTAATGGTGACAATAATGGTTTAGATTGTTTTATATTTAATTTCAAAAATAATAAGTAAAAGGCTCATTAAAATATAACTAGAAAGGTCTATATATAATTGGGTCTCAGACATAAGTTATGAAGAATATATTGCATTATTAAAATAAGAGGTAATGTGAGGAGTACAATGACGATTTCTTTAATAAATCCAAGATTAAAATTGTGCAGCTGTTTCCTACCTTATCTACTACTGTTGTATGATAATGGATGAGTCTCTTCTTCAAGGTTTCCCTCTCTACTGGAGATATACAAGGGTTGAGCGCTGCCAGCTTCCAAAGTGTAACTATCTCGTCGCACATACTGCTGCAAGCGTTCTGAGACGCCTGAGAGTTACTGTTAACATTATGTTTGCTCTGGCCGGCCTGCTGGAACGCAACCTTAGTGTTAAACCACCAGATCATCATCTGAGCAGTCTCAAGGCATTGTATTGTGACAATCTCGAGCAAAGGAAGAGAGTTCCTGTCGTTACGTTTATACATCTCACGAACTATAGACAAGAGGTTCCACATTCCTTCAGGTTCTCGACCTAACAAAATTAAAAAAAAATAATTTCTATCTGATATGTTGCATGTTTGTATTTTGTCCCAAGTATTTTCTACACACTAAACAAAAACATCGAAATTGGATATATTCAAAATGAAAAATATTAGTTATCCAAAATTTTAAATTGAGCCAATCGTTCGTTGTGTCCTCTCATCAATTAGGACGGTTATACAACATTTTGGAACTCTGTTTTTCATGAACATACGTGAAAATATGATCGGAAGAAGTTTCTTATAACTTATATCCCCCCCTCATTCCCCTTGCTTCTTTTATCCAAGTGCCAAGCTGTGGTAGATAAGACAAACAATTCCTTTGCGCTCATCAAACAACTAAATTTATGCATTATAAATTAAGTAAAGAATAAATGACACGAAGAAAGGTTCGGATACAGGAGTGAGCCTAGCAGCAATGGTTCACCCCTAGTAAATTCATGTAAACGCCCTTGCGCGCGGATTAAATGTTTACCTCTGAGAGGACGGAGAAAAGACGACCATTCCTGCGCACTTGGAGGAGCTGTAGTAGATAGATAGTTTACATCAGAGAATACTATCGGAGCAGGCATACAAAACTAAATTTTTGATTTTCATCAGTATTTCGAGGAGATATTGTTGAAAATTATAAAGCTTCTTTATATATTTGAAGTAGTCAAATTGTTTAAGAAAGATAATCTGGATTCTTGAATTTACCTTGATGAGTATTTTTTTAATATTATCCCGTAGATTTTTAGAATCCAGACACCAGGCAGATAGTTCTCCAACAGATCCTCCAGCAGTTGGGTCCGGTGCGCCGGGTTCAGCGTTGATATCCAGGGTTTGAGCACCCGAGAGAAGATCATCGAGTAACCGCTGTGCTGTTGGTAATATCTGCTGGTACAGCTCCGATATCAAATACTAAACATAGTGTGCTGAAACTTAGAATTTCAAGTATTTCTTACACTAGAATTAGATGTTGAGGGAATTACGTTTAATATCCAGGACGGATTGATAGAGAAAGAGATTTCCAAATTATGAAGGATGGACACAAAACTAGAGCACATTGATAAAGTACTAGGACGGATAGAAGATCGTAAGAACAGGACGGATATCAGATGTAACAACAGGACAGATAGAAGATGTAAGAACAGGAAAGATAGAAGATCGTAAGAACAGGACGGATATAAGATGTAAGAACAGGACGGACAGAAGATGTAAGAACAGGAATGGATAGAAAATGTACAAACAGGACGGATGAGAGGCGTTTGAACAGGGCGGATAGAAGATGTAAGAACAGGACGGATAGAAAATGTACGAACACGACAGATAGAAGATGTAAGAACAGGAAAGATAGAAGATGTAAGACCAGGACGGATAGAAGATGTAAGAACAGGAATGGATAGAAAATGTACAAACAGGACAAATGAGAGGCGTACGAACAGGCCGAATAGAAGATTTAAGAACAGGACGGATAGAAGATGTAAGAACAGGAATGGAAAGAAAATGTACAAACAGGACGGATGATAGGTGTTTGAACAGGACGGATAGAATATGTAAGAACAGGACGATAGAAGATGTTTGTTGTACAAACAAGGCAGGACGGATGAGAAGGGTTTTTGAACAGGACGGATAGAAGATGTAAGACCAGGACAGATAGAAGATTTAAGAACAGAACAGATTGAAAATGAACCAACAAAGTAGAACGTATGAGAGTTGTACGACAAATATCGGATGTTAAAGGGCTGGGGACAAATATAAGATCAAAAAGGAACTAAGAGGACTGACACCGGATAAAAAAAATAACGACAATGAAGAACACATTACATGTTAGTAGGACTAATGGGAGACTGCTAAAAAGGACAACTATTACCTGAGCAAACTTCTGGAGCTGATCTCTATTGAGCCTGGAGAGTGATTCACTAACCGGAGCACGGAGTTTAACACTCTCAGCTAGATGTATCCTGACAAAGAAAAGAGATTTAAAAATTAAAAACAGAAATTAAAAACGCAAATCTTTCATGTATTTAAGAGAGTTTCGTTTGATCCCTTTGCTCGGCCTCTAGAACCTAACTTAAATCATTGGATAACAATAAAATCATTAAGAAAAACTAAAAAGCATAAATTTGATGTACCTATGAAGACAGAGAGCGACAAGATGACAACACCACTCAGCACTAGAACCACAACTACACTGCACAGAAACTATTTTCTTCCTGTCAAAGGTTACACTGGTAGAATGGGAAGGTTTCCCACTACCAGGACTCCCGTTAGAAACTGTAGCAGAGAGATGGAATCCAATCTGTAGAGGCTCTTTCACAGCCTATACATAAATTTACTAGTATTTATTTAGTTTTATTCTAATAAAGTAATGGAAAAATATGGAACCTTAATCTTATCAAAACTCCGAAGAAACTTTCTTTATCAATCCACATTTTCTTTTTACAAAAATGATTTTTCCCCAAAGAAAAATGATTAAAATTATTTGAAAGGATCTAAATACCTTGTTTTTAAAAAGGTTTTCTCCCCGTGTGAATTCATCTGCTGACCCATGAGCTAGACAAGAGTAAAGACGGATATCCTCCTCCAGGTCTGGGAAACTATAGAACGCTATCCTCAGCTGTAGAGGTTCAGGGACAGGAGGAAACACCTGCTCCACGGCCTCGAAGGGTATAGAGCTCGCGACCTCTCTCGCAGCCAGTTCGGTCAGAGAAAGGACGTTTCCGTCCTTGTCCTGGTGACGTGAGAAGAAATTCCGTCCAATGAATGAACTTTGTTTTCTCCATCCTCTCCAGTTGTTGACCACACTTTCAGGTTCAGATATCCAAGAGCAAAGAGAATCCTGAAACAATACAATTCATAAATATCATCATTGCTTATTTTAATTTTTTTTTTGTAAAACTGTATTAAGTACATTATCCAAGTAAAACTGTATAAAATATATTATTAGTGTTATTATTATTGCTTAGTTTAATTCGTCTTTTATATAACTGAATTTAATACATAAATATTATTATTGCTTATTTAAATTTATCTTTATGTATAAATGTATTAAATACATAAAAAAATTTATCATGGCTCATTTTGATATCTTTTGTATAACTGTATTAAATACATTAATATTATTGCTTATTTTAATTTACTTATTGTAAAACCCGTATTAGTTATGTTAATATTTCTTTTATTGCTTATTTTGATACATCTTTTGTATAAACTGTATTAAATACATTCATAATGGCGTATTTTGATTTATCTTCGGTACAATTGTATTAAATCATTATTATTATTATGGCTTATTTTGATTTATCTTTTGTATAATTGTATTAATTACATTAATATTATTATTATAAATGCTTATTTTGATTCATCTTTTGTAAATAACTGTAATAAATACATAAATATTATAATTATTATTATTGATCATTTTAATATATCTTTTGTATTAAATATATTATTATTGATTATTTTAATATCTTTAGTATAACTGTATAAAACACATTAATATCATTTTTTTGCCTCTTTTAATTCACTTTCAGAGGAACCTTATGGTAAACCCATTAAAGATTTATTATCATACATGGGTTTTACTACGGCTGCATATTTTTAATATGAAAATATAAATAATTGGAGGCATCCTTTTTTCATCATATCTACACAATATAAAATGTACAGTTCGACCCATTTGGTTAGATGGTTAATATGGTTTTTAAATTTATAAGTTAATACATCTGATGAGTAAAACACGGATTATTTTTCCATATTATTGGTGTACTAATTGTTGAACACTCCCCAGTAGCATGAGTTAGATTGAAAAACTCTGTAAGTTAAAATATAAACTTTATTGTTTGATGAGCGTAAAGGAAGAAAATACATATTTGTTTGTCTTATCTACAGCTTTTATCTACCACAGCTTGTCACGTGAATAAAAGTAGGGAGGGTATGGGGGGAAGGGGGGGGGGGTGTTTAAGTTGTAGCATATTTTCACGTAAAAAAAAAAAAATTTAAAAAAGTTTAAAACTCACAGACACAAAGAACAAGGAAGCTAATTAATTAACCCATTACACAACCAAAATATTGTTTTATTAGCATTATTATTTACAAGAAAAATCGAAAATCGATTTAAAACTTTTGTTAATAACTAATGCTCGAAATCCCGATAAAAACATTTCAACATAATATAAAGTTTTTGAAAAAATACATTGAAAATGTTAAACATGCATATAAAATGTTTTTAGTTTTATATCCCGTGTAGGTTTCAAGCTCTCGAAGTGTCAAAATGAGAACTCTTTCTTTGTTCTTTATAACTTCGGAGTCTGAACTACTTTAAGGCCATTCTTTTTATCCTCCTCCCTCTGAACCACGTTATTAAAATATAATTAAAAATAAAATCAAAATCGAGGCAAACGACAAAAACAACCAATTTGAAATAATTTAATTTTTTTTAATTTGTTATCTTTTAATATTAGTTATGAGTATTTTTACCTCTTCGAATCTTTCTGAATCCTCGAATGAGAATCGATCTTGCTCCTCCCACTCGAACATTTTAGATCGATCAATCAACACTTTCGAATCCCAGCCTCTTAAAGAGGGGGCGGGCTTTAACTGCCCCGCCTACCCCTGCACTAATAGATATACAGGATGCTGAAGTCAAAACGAAGCTAAATCTGAAATCTAAAAAGCTAATTATAAATAAAGAAAAACAAATGTTCAGTGAGCAGAGAAATGAAAGGTTAGATGGATGGTTTTCATTTCAAAAATTCACCTCAATGAGAAAAATTTGGAACAACTTTTATTTAAAAAAAAATAAGTGTACTAGTAAGCGTTCGTTTACAGATCCATGCAGAGTTCACTTTTTCGATCATAGCCTCTAAATATTAGCTAATTATGTTTATAGAAGTAAAATATCAACAAACATGGCCGATCTGCACAAAGACTTACAGCGCCATCTGTACACAGTGAATGTGTGACGCTATATCAGCTGAGTGAGAATACTCTCTCTCTCCTCCCCTCCCCTTCCCTTCCCAACCTTAACTCCTGCCCTTCCCCCCCCTTCTTCACGTAAAGTGTACTTATCATATATTCCCCCCCCCCATTCTCCCTGGTACACAGTGGTTTCAACAAACTGGTACTAAATATAAATTCAACGAAAAAATGTAAGTTAATTTCTCTTAAAAACTAAATTCTTAATTTTTTTTTTTTTAACTTAATGAGAAAATTTGGCCCAGTGTGCAAGGCCTGCCTGGCAGTCTATTGGCTGGTGAATGAGGGGGGGAGGGGAGGGGTCTTTATTTAAAAGGAATTGAGGGGTTAGCGGTCTGAATCGTCGGCTTTGTTTAGAAGTAGGCACTGTGGGCAGTTTGAGGTCTAACGGCCTAAGTACAATCTTTTCTGCCTGACAACTATTGAAATAGAACCATTGAGCCGGGAACTTATAAAGGGGGGGGGGGCTACAGGGTGCACCCCCCCAGACCAGTGAAATCTACGGATTTCAGGAAGTTTTCAGGTTCCAACGGATACTAAGCCCCCCCCCCCCCCACTGGGAAAGAAAAACAATTTTAAGCCCTGAACAAATTCCTGACTACGCCCCTGGGGAGTGGCGCCTATGGGTAAGGGTGGGGGCTAGTCTCTGGACATAAGAAAATCATTATTCGGTATTCCCTGTCCTTTCTTTGAAATTTCCTGTTTCAACAAAATGTGATCTCAGTTAAAAGTCATGTTAATGAAATGTCCTGCTTTATGAAATATTGATCCAAATAAAATGTTCTTTGTACAGGGTGTCCCATATCATATTAGATCTTTTTAGATCGAATTTATTGCGATTTTCGAGACAAATCAGAAGATTTAAAAAGATTGCAGGCTAGATAAAAAAATGTGCATGCAGAAAGTACTATTTTTTCAAATATTATGTGCGTATTTTGGATTAAAGCTTGGTGATAATCCGATATGATGATGGTAGATTTATGAAATGTTCTAAATATGAAATGCCCTGTCCAAATCGTTCATAATATAACCCTGCTCACCCTGTTGAAATATATACAGTATTCAGAGGCGTATTCCCGGGCTATAGGAGCTCAGCTCCCCCTGCACCAGTGAATTCTATGGATTTCAGGGGGTTTTCAGGCCCCAACGGGTGCTAAGCCCCGCCCCCTGTAAGGTAAAAAGTTTAAGCCCCCCACCTAACTTGATCTCAATGAAAGTATTGCCGCCATCTCTGCGGTTTGAGATAAAAATACATTATTCCATTTTTCTTCTTCAATAGTTTAACATCTTACATTGTTTTTCGGTGTATATGAAAATGTAGCAAAGCATATATTGAGATGGAAACGCAACAGTTATATTTTATACACAGGATTACTCACAAAGGATAAGACTGTTAAGACGGCCCAAAACTCTCAAAATGTGACGATAGTGACGATCCTAAGGTTAATTTATGTAATCTGCCTTAGTTATAGTTATCTAATGGCTTATTTAATGCAAATTGACAAAGAAAAAAAAAGTTTAGAAGTTAACCGAAATCGTGAATACAAGGAAATAGACAGTATAAATTCCTTACAATCGTCTCTGAAGTCTCAGCTTTTGTGGGTAACCCTGTATAATTATTTTAGGCCAATGTCTTTTGTATTTTCTCTTTCAACTTCTTTATTATTAAATTTAAAAGGAAAAGTTCACGAGACCATATTGTATCTTCAGAAATTGGGTCTAAAGAAATTTAGACAGCCATTAAGGACTCCTATGAGATGAATTACAAATGGCATTAAAAAAAATTGCAACGCATTAATTTTACTATCAAAGAATAATTACCTCGATTTTGGTTTGAAACATCTCAAAGTGACCATTGAGGGTTAGAAATTTGTTTTTAACTTTACATCTTTGTGACGAATTTGAATGAATATTTAAAACTCAATTTAACGATAATATTCATCCGATTGTTATGAAATATGCATGCATGCATTGACAATCAATTAATAGATATTAAGACTTAACCCACTATTCGTAATTTTTAGTTCAATACAATATAAGAGTTACTAATTAATTATCAGCAAATAAATTCGATTGTTTTGAAAATACATTTATTCTAACAATAACAAGTTTATCACAGATTTACGATTAAGCATTAATAAACTACGGATTAAGATAATTCTCAATTCATATTTAGATTGAGGACTTAGAAAAGTACAAAATTTTGACAATATATTCTAAAGATCCTAGACCTGTAGATGAATAAACATTAAAAAGTAAAAAAAGTACTATAATTTTGTATTTTTGTTAAACTAATTAGACTTGTGACATTGTGGAATATTAAGGTAATTTTCAGAAGAATATCCGCGACCTAAGGTCAATACTCTGTGATATCTGATAAATGATTGACCGAAAGCGTATTCTAGTTCTGGTTGGTTCCTCGGAACACAAAAAATAAAGATAAATTATTTCTCACAAGATTATAAGAACATAAGTTCCCATGTCTATAAATATGTGGTTTCACTTCAATCATGATAAAATATTTAACAGATGAAAAGTAAATTCATTAACTCCTAAGCTGATGTACAAATGAACATTATTCAAAACCCTACAAGCAAAATGCTTTAATCCTGTTGATTGCGGAGTTCAAAACTTTTGTGTGAATAAGCGCTCTTCCAAAACTTGATCTCGATATCTATTGACAACTTTTAAATTTCAGAATTCTTTGCTTGATCCTTAGATTACTAAACGTGATCCCTTGATTACCGTACTTGATTCCTCGATTTTAGTTTTCCCTATCTTGAGTTCCGACCAAAGAATATCCAGGAGGAATTAATTTAATCCTTGAAAAGACCAAAGATACGGATAACTTAATGATCCCCGGAAATAAAACAGAATATTTTCGACCTCCATTGAACACTTTTAAACGCATTATCGAACTATATCACATTACAACAAAATCACAACGTATATCTTTATACGAACGTAATTTGGTTGGTATTAAAGGCGACATTTATACATCAAAGAACTAACGTTTAGAACGTAAGGACATAATGTTCTTTTAAATATTACAGAAAAACTTCTATGATAATCATAATAATATTTCGAATAATCGGCCAAAGCAGCTGAATTCTGGATTCTTCGTTTTTCTCTCTTTGTTTCTCCGAGTCGCTCCAGTATGAGTTATCTACCGGATCTCCGGATTGAAGAAATGGATCATCATCTTCATCTACTCCAAGTGTGACCTCCATAGTGTACTCGGAGACAGGGAACCTAGGATGTCCGTATATAGCTATATGAACAGGACGGAGAGCGTAGGACGATATCTCAATTTTATCCTCTCCACATGTTGCTGAACTCAAATTATGCTCCTCAAACCTATAGCTGGGTTTGGCAATCTCCGAGGATACATAAATATCCGCATCCCCCAGGGTAGAGGATAGGACCAGGATAATATTGCCAGGTTGGTTTAAAGTATAATAGTTGTATTCTCCTCCCTCAACCTACACAATAAGATAAAATTATTATAAGAGAAAACTGAACAGGATAAAATGAACAAAACTTCAGTGTGCTACAACGCTACAATACTTGATCTCGATATCTCGACAATTTTTAAGGTTTAAGGATAAGTTCTTTGTTCTTTAATTTGCTGGTATCCTTGCTGAAGCAACTAAGGTCCTAAAGGAATGTATTAATCCTTCAGAAGACGAGAGGGAGCCTTATTTCTTGAAAAATCATTCTTCCCACACCTGTTTGAAAATAATTGCGTGAAGCGGTAAAATTTTATTTAAGGGTTTATTTTGCTGAATTGGGGGAAATAAATGTTTTTAAGGAAAAAAATAAATTTTTTTAGATAGAGTATGGAGAAAAAGATTTGCCTTACGATGTCCAATTTTTCATCCTCACCCCTTGATACGGACAACCCCGTAATCTATAAATTAGAAATTTCTAATTTGATTTGTTTCCTGTTAGAACTATTGCACTAAACATGTATTTCACCCTAAAACCCCAGAATGCCTTGAAAATTATCAGAGATGATAATTTGTATCTACTAATTAACCGATGTTATTAAAGACGCTGTTAGCATAATTTCAAGTGACCCTCCATGCAAAGAGGACAATACCCGATTTACAACGGTAACCTTTAAACCTTTGACTGTTCATAGAGTAGAGAGCACTCTGAGAGTATCAAGAAAACCACTTGAATCCTTGTAAAATGCGGGGTACTCTGTGTAACTCAAAACGCAGCTGTTGCGTTACTTGTGTAACTTGACATTGACATAACCAAATATTTTACTTTAAAGTGGTTTACAAGAATTAAAAAGAACACATTTTTGAGAGGCTTACAAAGTGAATATTGATAGTTTTAACCTTGCAAGCAAAGTGGAAACAACTAAAAGCGTTTGTGTCGAATATTGGAAATAAGTCTGACAACCTTGAACTGATTAAGGTTTTAAGGACACCATTGTGAATCGTGATTTGCCATCTTTGCATGGAGGCTTACTTGAGCTTGAAATCACGCTTACAGTCCCTTTAATCGTGTTTGTACCCGCAAAATGTTAATTTAACATGAATGTACCTTATCTTGAACAGATTCCACCACATATTCTCCTTTAACACAAGCAGAACCTAAACATATTCATTCATTCATTTAATATTATTTCCAAAATTTCAAACCTGTATTTTTTTATAGTTTGCTTTTATAAAACTTTGCAATATCCTTATTCTAATAAAAATGGAAAACCGATCGAAAACGATCGTTAAAATTCATTCGTTTTTGGATCAATTTTTCATATATTTTCTGTCAGGGTCAAAAATTTACTTAGTGTAGGAAAAGCAATTGATAAGAATAATTTTTTTTAAACATTGGTTTTTCTTATATTTTGCCACATTTTGAGCCTGAAAGATAATCTGTGCAAAAAACGAACCAACTGAACATATTTAACTGGTTAGGATCTAATTCATCATTTCTAAAAAGGAGTTGGTTTTTTTGAAAATCTTAGTGAACTTTATCCCAACATTTTTTTAACCACTTTTTCGATTATTTGACCAAGAACATCGGTTTAACAAAACCGGATTCGTTTATTTTCTTGATCTCTAAATTCTAAAATAAAGTTGTGAAAAAAATTGCCACGTCAGAAGATAAAACAATTTAGTGATATATTGAAAAATGGGATTCTCTTTCCAAAGATGGAAAAAAGTTGAAGAAAAAAGAAAATCATTATTAAATCGTTAAACACACCTATCCAGAGGAGAGTCACGAGTATACTACTGCAGATTTTCATCTTTTCTCAACATTGTTTTGTCTGAAAATACCAATAACATGTTTTAAAAATACTGAATTTACTGAAAGTAGCAAACTAAATTAATGTTTTAAAAATACTGAATTTTTCACAAATCAAAATCATGTTATAATTGTTTATTTTTCCTGCAAAATCTTAGATAAAATTTTTCGATTAAATATTCTAAAATTAACACCTTTACAATTATTCAAAGTTAATTTTGTTCCAGTCGCCCAGTAAATTAAATGTTTAAAATTATTTAGTTGAAAGCCTGTTCAGATGGAAAAATTTTTTTTGGTGAAATAACAAAAAAATCACGGGTTATCACAATATATCAATTTTGGATTCGCATATTATCAAAATTACTAAATAAAAACACATTTCCAATGCATCCTATAAAAATAAAATATATCATATACGCAGGATATCTAATATTGGATATACAATATACAATATACATCATGTAAATATTGATGTTTAAGATGTCCAGTAAACTACAAGACAGGATGATAAGGTGACAGGGGAATTGGTGGGAGATAATGAAGTAGGGTCTAATGGAGATGGAAGGCAGAAAAAGGAGATGTGCAAGGTTCGAGGAAAGGAGTAGGATGAGGAGCAGAAGGGGTGTGTAGATGCTACGACGGAGTAAGGATGAGGCCTTTGTTAGTAGGAACTGGAGTTCTGATTAGCTATCTATCCATCTATAGCTGGAGTCTCAGTAGTAGTTACAACCTCAGGAGCACTGCTTCCTCTACAAATAAATAGTTAATAATATTCTTCGGTTTATACAATAGGTCAAGAGCTGTAAACTTTTAAATTGTGGATATGGAGATCAATGCATGATCTTCTTTTTTTATTAACCTAAAGTTTAATTTAATCTTTCACTAATTTTCGGTATTGTTACATCGTCTATACGCAACATCCCCCCCACTGAACTTCTGACCTACTAACTTTCCGACCTACTGCAATATCGGACCTACGCCAGCTGTTTATTTTTGTATTATTTGAGGGTTAGGTTAGGTTAAGAAAATTCTAGGGGGCCGAGCGCCGCGCCTAGGACAGGCTAGGGGGCCGGCCGCTGCGGCCACAAGTCCATATAGGAGCTGTAAAACCACGTGCTAGTAGGTCGGATGTGAAGTATTGCGGATTTGGCGTAGGTCGAAAGATACACCATCTAACATATGCACTCTCTAACTTCTTTTGAAAAACAAGTTTTTAATTTGTCTGTATTTGTGGTGTCATGTGAATTGGACTAATGATCGATTGAGACGTATTGTCAACGGAATTGAGCGAAATGATTCTGATTAATTATTAGGAAAATATATTTAAGGGACTTAAAGCACAATTTCGAGCAGGCCCGTAACCAGGATTTCCCCAAGGGGGGATGCAAAGAGGGGTGTTGTAGTATGGATGGGCCTAGGAGCAACTAGTGAAACGAAGTGAACGAGGCGGGAGGATGCAGGGGGGGCAGAGCCTCTCTGCATAGAAAATTTTTGTGTAAAATCGAGTAATTTTAGCTAGAATTTTATGTTATGCAAGAAGTTTTCTAATCTGACAACACTAGGTATAATTTAAGCTTGAACAGAATGTTGCGGTGAAAATTCAGTTTTACCTGAATTTGATGTTTTGCATGATATGGCACAAGGAAAATTTTTAAAATATAGTTTTTAGTTCAAATTTTACAATATTGTATAACAGAAAATGTTGGTAATTTTGATATTACGTTCACTGATTTTGAACTGTCTGGACAAAATATTGAAACTGAGGCAAAAGTTTCTGCAAAATTTAAAATAATTGAATTTTATGATAATACTGGAACATATTTAGTACTTTTTATGTGTGTATATCTATGCGAAAGAACAACATCAGTTCAATCAGAAAATCTTACCTCAGGACAAATCTTTTTTAAAGAATATTTAATTTGGTTGGTCCGAAGGGACAGCTTTAGTAAAGAATTGTTCCGACATAGCATTAACACAATACGAGAATACGAGAAAACTTTTAATGCTAATATCTCAATTTTTCAAGAAAAGATTATACCAAACAGCCTATCTAAAAGGGGGGCTGCAAATTCGTCATTGCACCCCCTGGTAACGGCCCAATTTCAAGTTACCTTCCATCCCGGATTCACAACGGTACGCTTTAAACCAGTGCTTTGGATCCGGATCCGCAAGATTTTTACTTCCTGGATCCGGATCCGCAAAAATATACGGATCCACGGATCCGGATCCAAGGGGTAAAATATCAACCAAACACTGCAAAAAAACTTTTTTACTCCAAAACCCAAATATGAACTGAAAAAAGAGAGATATTCTCATTTCTGAATGGTTCATCAAGAGTATAAAAATAAGCGAGAAAAAAAATAAGACAAAAAACTTGAAATTATTATGTTAAAAAAATTCCGTAAATCTTAAAGAAATGACCTGGATCCGGATCCGCATCAAAATTAAATGGATCCTAAGCACTTGACTGATCATGAATGTTAGATAGATCACTATTAATCTACTGAAACACTTTTAGTTAATGGACACTTTGTTTGCAGGCTGTTCTATATTTAAGAAATGTCAATAGGTCCTTTCTTTAAGTGAAAAAAATACTTTTGAATGTTTGAAAACGCTATTATGGTAAAACAAGTCGATCTACTTTCGAGTTACGCAAGTAACAGATCAACTGTTTGAGTTCTGACTGAACGAACTGAACTTGAACACAGCGTACAGTCGCGTTTTAGAGGAATTCAAGCCGCAGGTTTCGATATGTTTAAAAAGATATCCCTACAAGACGAACAGTCAAAGGTTTCAAGGATACCGTAGTGAATGACATTGTCCTCTTTGCATAAAGGGTCACTTGTAATTACGCTTACAGTCCCTTTAAATATTTTGCGTTGGTCCAATCTACAGAAATTCTTTGAAACATGCAAAAAATTCATAGCAAAACCGGCGTTGAAAAAAAAATATTTCACGGAGAGTTATAACTTCTAAGAAGTAGAAAAATCTGAAATACCCGGTCGAGGCGTAGATGATGATGATGAGCAGGATGACCGCTACGATGACCCCGATGATGATCATCATCTTGATGTTCTGCCACCAGTACTTCCTCTTCAGTTTAGTAGCCTGGACAGGAAAATGAATATCACATCCCCTCATTGAATATTATTCTTCAATATAAAGCGAGGCGGTAAAATAATTATTTTAAGCTATTAACATTCAACAAGCTCAAAACATAAATAATATACCAAAGCCTAGTTTAGCAACAAAAAAAAAGGCACTTAAGACACGTCTATACTCAACAATTTGTAAATATAGGAAAATAATTTATAAAAGATTATACTATCAGGAATTTTTCTTCATTTTTTCTGCTAGTGTTACTGATAACGAATTTCGAATGTATACAGATAAAAAAACGTTTCAATAAAAATTCATCAATTTTCAATATTCGTTTATCTTTTCTTTAATAATTTTTGTTCGAATTATCATACATTTATTCATTATTAACGAGTGCAAGAAAAGAAAACATTGGTATTCTATATATAAAAAATTGGCTTGTCTGTCGGTTTGTATCCAATAAACGTCAAAACGGCTGAACCGATCGGGCCCAATTTTTTTGTGGGATCTCGCGTGACCCCAGGTTTTATGAATGATAAAATTAAAAAAATTCGTGCTTAAAAGTTAGCCTTGTCTATATAAATTTAGCTTTTTGTCTGGGTGTTTGTCTGTATCCAATAAACGTCAAAACAGCTGAACCTATCGGGCTCAAATTTTGTGTGGGACCTCACGTTACCCCAGGGAAGGTTCATGTAAGATCAAAATTTTAAAAATTTGTGCTTAAAAGATTTTTATTTTTGTATAATATTGAAAATGCGCAAAAAAATATTATGAAATCCACAAACTTTTTTGTTTTTGTTTTACACTAAAGGGAAGATGCTCAGTGCTCACAGATAAAGCCACAATTAAAAGTTGAAATAGAAGATAGCCTAGTTTAAATAAAAGGCAAAAGTTAAGGTGATGGGTGAACACTTGTTCTTTATAAATCCCAAGATCTATTAATGGCAGAAAGTATGTGAAAAAGTTCTATATGATTTTCCCTAAACTAGACTATGAGAAATAAAACTACACTAGCTACTTAAAATAAAAGAGAAGAATGTAAAGCAAACGAAAAACACTTAACTAAATACGATACATTTTTTTTTAAACGCCAAGGTCTAGATCGGCAGTGAAAAAAAGAGATCAGATATCTACTATCTAATTTTTTTTTTAGAATAACCTCACTAATTGAATAATACAATACAAGAATATTAAAAAAAAAAATACAGTTTTAATAGTGCGGTTATTTTAAAAACTGATATTATCTCTAAGATCTTACCTTGACCATGTTAATTCTGTGAAATAAAAAAGTTTTAAAGCCAATTTTAGTTTTTATAGTTAATTTATGAACATTTATAAAAGTTTAATTTGTAACTGACAAAATCCTAAAAGACAAATAAAAATCAAGTATTTGCATTTTTCTATGTTCCAGGTTGGGTTAGACCTTTTTAAAAGCCGCAGACTGCAGGGGAGACGAGTGCTGCGGCTAGGAAAAGCTAGGGAGTAGGGAGGATGAGCACTNATTTCAGGAACTTTCCTTTTCAGGACGTTATACTTTAAGGACTTCTTAGGAATTAGCAATATCGTGTTTGGGATAAATTATCTAAGAACCTGAGTTTGGAACTGACTAGCACCCTCCTGCAGAGTATCCGCTCTCTGGTCCAACTCGGAAAGTTTAGAATCCCTCTCTAAAACCTAAATTTACAAAATGCTTAATTATATTTCAACCATTTTCTACCCCCCCCCCTGATTTTTAGTCATAAATACTTTCTCAAAAAAGACCGAAATGTCAACCAAGTTTACCTTCTCTACGTTGACCCGCATGATGTCAACGACTTCCCCAACCTGCTGCTGGGCCTGCTGGAGTCTTCTGCCACTGTTATCATCAGCCATTTTTATTTCTGAAACCAGGTCAAGGTTCAGAACCACTTCAACAAGGAAAAAATGTATCGATCTCAATATTAGTTAGCCAAAAAAAGTTCCGATTTCATAATAAATCCCGGCCCTTCTACGCTAAAATATTTGGATAAGCAGAGATTTTTCGCTAACTGGTTAATTTTGGGTTGATAGCTCTAAAAAAGCTGGTTTGCACTTTTCAGGGATTTGTGAAATCATATGAGCCCGCTTGCATTTGTTGTGTTTAAACTGTATGTATTCTACATATACTGTTCTTGACTCTGAGCAGATAAATCTAGTAATCTCCAGGCTGCTCGAGGGTTTAGTTCAGTCTGATCCCGACACATTACCCACACATAGGTTACCCGCATTACCTACAATAAATAAAGTTGTGATAGACTTTTTTGTAAATTTTATTGATTTGAAGGGTTTAATAGTTGGTATCTGCAGTTTCTTATGTAATAGCATAGATTAACGAAAAATTATAGATCAGTGTGTGATTAAAATCAAAAGCCTTACAACAATCCGTTCCAAAATAAAAATAAAACGCTCATAAATATAACATCAATCAAATCAAACAAAAAATTTGGAGAACAACTTTCAAGTTTTGATGTGATTTCCATGTGAACATTTTCCGTTACTTTCACATTAACACCGACATATTTATATATTACATCAAACATTAATAATACATTGATTTAATAATTTTATAAAAATTAATGTTCTAAGTTCATGTGTACCCATACCAAATTATTTACGACGTCCATCTACTATACTTGGTTATCAATATAAAGTACCTGGACACAATACAGGGGGGATATACTTGGTTATCAATATCAAGTACCTGGACACAATACAGGGGGATATACTTGGTTATCATTATCAAGTACCTGGACACAATACAGGGGGGATATACTTGGTTATCAATATCAAGTACCTGGACACAATACAGGGGGATATACTTGGTTATCAATATCAAGTACCTGAACACAATACAGTGGGAAAAAGTTGCGTGTAAAAATCTCATGGATATAAAAATGACAACAGTAACCTTCAAATTTAGTCTGATCAAGAATGAATGAGAGATCCTTATTATTCTATCTGAAAATTGATCCTTTTCATTTTAGTTTCTCGGTAAAATTGACTTTGGGATCTATGCTGCAGCGACAATGAGGAAATGTAAAAATTTTACACTTTTCGATGGAAAAGCCAAAACCTTCCTATTGTTACTCAAAAAGATGTTTAAAGGGTACCACCGAGAATCAAACATGCTACTCATTTTAAAAGGAGGTTCACTTAAAATGATGTCATGTCAAGAAAATTATGTTGGAAAATTATCAGTAAACACAATGCAATGTTACATTAGATTTAGTTATCACTTAATAAATTAAATAGCAAACTAGAAATATAATTGTTAATAAAACCTTTAAGATTTAAGTTTGATATTACAAGTTATCTTGGAAAATTAAACCCTGGGATTGATTTTAAAGCACCAACGCTACATTTACAGGGTGGCCAAAACTTTTTTGAACACATCCGTAAAAAAATCCGTACATTTTCAGAAGAAATCCGTACAATCCGTACAATTTTCGAAAAACAATCCGTACAATCCGTACAATTTTTTTTAAAAAATCCGTACAATCCGTACATTTTTTTAAACCAATCCGTACATTTTTTTAAAAATCCGTACATTTTTTTAAAAATCTGTACAATCAGTACAGTTTTCGAAAAAAATCCCATTTTTGAAAAAAACACATTAAAATTCAATTTTTCATTCATTGTCTTTTGTGTTCAGTTGATGTAAGAGGGTTTAAACTTCTTCAGCAAGAATCAATCTGTAAAAAATTGGCTTTATACATATATACAAACTAAATACTGGGTACATGATACTAGGTGCATGATACTGGATACTGGATACATGATACAGGGTACATGATACAGGATACAGGATACTGGATACTGGATACTGGGTACATGATACTGGGTACATGATACTGGGTACATGATACTGGGTACATGATACTGGGTACATGATACTGGGTACATGATACTGGGTACATGATACTGGGTACATGATACTGGGTACATGATACTGGGTACATGATACTGGGTACATGATACTGGGTACATGATACTGGGTACATGATACTGGGTACATGATACTGGGTACATGATACTGGGTACATGATACTGGGTACATGATACTGGGTACATGATACTGGGTACATGATACTGGGTACATGATACTGGGTACATGATACTGGGTACATGATACTGGGTACATGATACTGGGTACATGATACTGGGTACATGATACTGGGTACATGATACTGGGTACATGATACTGGGTACATGATACTGGGTACATGATACTGGGTACATGATACTGGGTACATGATACTGGGTACATGATACTGGGTACATGATACTGGGTACATGATACTGGGTACATGATACTGGGTACATGATACTGGGTACATGATACTGGGTACATGATACTGGGTACATGATACTGGGTACATGATACTGGGTACATGATACTGGGTACATGATACTGGGTACATGATACTGGGTACATGATACTGGGTACATGATACTGGGTACATGATACTGGGTACATGATACTGGGTACATGATACTGGGTACATGATACTGGGTACATGATACTGGGTACATGATACTGGGTACATGATACTGGGTACATGATACTGGGTACATGATACTGGGTACATGATACTGGGTACATGATACTGGGTACATGATACTGGGTACATGATACTGGGTACATGATACTGGGTACATGATACTGGGTACATGATACTGGGTACATGATACTGGGTACAGGATACTGGGTACAGGATACTGGGTACAGGATACTGGGAACAGGATACTGGGTACAGGATACTGGGTACAGGATACTGGAACATCTTCTTGAATAAGCAATCAAATAAGTACTTATGGAACATATTCTCAAATAAACACTTCTTGGACATATCTCGAAAATTATAAATGAATTTTGATTGTCAAATGAAACATTTAGCAATCTAACATTATTTAGAATGCAGAAAATAAGTTAAACTAACTTCATTTTGACGATTTTTTTTTTATTTTCATGAAAAATTTGCTGAAATGAGTGAAAATTTAAAAAAACGGTGTATTTTCCAGGATAAAAATCCGTACAATCCGTACAATTTGAAAACAAATCCGTACAATCCGTACAATTTTAGGGTTAAAAAAAAAATCAATCTGTACAATCCGTACAATCCGTACATTTTGGCCACCCTGCATTTATGCTCATCATCTAAGGTGTTATCTCTCATTTACACCTTCTCCTAAATTGAGTTTATCCTGGAATATTTCCTTTTTAAAAATTACCTTAGATGAAATCATGTATCCCATCTGTTTAGCTTGTCGTATTGGTGTAGCTAGGATATTAAAAGGGGCCTCGTAACACCAGTCCTCCAGAACCTCGAGGTCACCTCGTGTCATGGCCTCCAGAATATTAGGGATAAAATCGTTCTCACAATCCTTTAGAAACTGTTCCTTGTCAAAGTTTGGATCCATTTTAACGATCTCTGTGAGGACCTCGGAGAGTTCCGTCCTGGTGAAGATGAACCCGAACATGTCCTGAACCTTGTCTGTGAGAAGACGAGCTGATCGGACAATAGCATTGTCACTCTCCTCAAACCGAACTCTAAAATATAATATTTTTTAAAAATTATACAACAGATAGAATGTCTGGGATAAAGATCAGGTTGAATATATAAGATAAACTAAGAGGGAGGAAAAATTGTGAAAAAATGTATTCACTTAAAATCATTTTTTTTCACTATCAGTGAGTAATGATTTTTTAAGGGGGGTCGAGTATTTGACAAACCATATCATAAACCCCATGATGAGAAGAAAACTTCTGTTATGAATGTTTTTCTGCATCATACCTGTAATCCACAAACTTGTTCACCATCGGATTTTTATCCTTAAAGTTCTGCCAGCTCTGTGAGAACCTGGAGTCCTTGTGAAGTTCAACTCCAATGGTTTCGGAATCCGCTTCAATTGGTTTATCGTCTTTAGAGTACTCCCATTCATTACGTTTTCTAAAAATAAATTTATAAATATTTTGGCATGAACGTTAATAAAGCGGAACCATAATAGGACTTGATCGGTTTTAGGGACTTAAGAATCTCCATATTGCTGGTTTTGTCGAATCGAATCGAATATTATAGTGAACTAATAGTTCTGGAAATATAAAAAAATCCTATAAATTAGATAATTCCATCCATTCACTAGAAGTTAGGAAGTTGATACATTCATTATTTTATCGCCATATAATTATTTGTTGAGAAAAGTAAAAACTAACATTTAGCTGTGAACACGATTTGTAACAGCTTCGTTAAAATGCTTTGAACGTTAAAAAGATGAAGAACATTTGATGTTATGATTCTAAATCTTCTCTCTACTTTAAATATGACCCTGATGAAGGATGAGGCAGACATGTTTTGAGAATACGCCCTATATAGTATATATTTATTATATTTAAATAGTTAGAATGGGTACTGAACTGGTAAATATGTAAAAAAAAATATTAAACATTTGAGTATTGCAAAACTATCTCTGAAGAATCTTTGTTGGTTAGTGGTTAGAAATCAAGTTTATAACTTGTATAGATGACAGGCTGCTTTCATCTTAAATTGATTAGTTGATTAATTCATGGATTATTAGAATAAAAGTCGTCTTCATTCTTCCGTTTAATAAGGAAATTTCACTTGAATTTTGTTAATTTGTAATCGTTATTACTGATATATCTCAAAATTTGTTTACCATTTTTGAAGTCAATTGCTTGTAAATAATAAAATTCTGGCTACCACTGTATTAGGAAAATGTTCATAAGAGAAAATATACATTTAAGACTTAATTTCTTAAAACATTTGCCATTTGGCAAAAAAAATAGTTAGTAAATGATCATTTAAAAATGTATTGACCAAATAATTGTTTTGGACTTGAAGCAGTGGGCGGAAACGTCATAATTGTGTGACCTAAAAATTTTGCGTCTGTTAAGACTTGATATATAACCGATAAGGAGCCAAATATTTATACTGCACTGCATTTGTAAAGTCTATGAGGGAACATTTGTGTATTGATAATTGTTTAATAAAAAAAGTTTAATATATATGTATATATATTGAAGCCAACACTATAAGTGAAATTTTAAAGCACAAAATACCATCTATAAATAAATTTGGCTTGTCTGTCTGTTTGTATCCAATAAACGTCAAAACGGCTGAACCGATCGGGCCCAAATTTTTTGTGGGATATCTAGGGACTCCATGGAAGGTTTATGAATGATTGAAATTTTAAATATTTGTCTCAATCAAAATTCAATCTTCATTAAATTTGTTAAAATTTTGAAAATCCACGAAATTTTTTGTGAAAATCCGCGAATTATTTNATATTTTCCTATTTTTGGATCATACTTTCCAGAAAATCAGCCTTAATAATAATTTTTCTTAAATACAAGCTTTTAGGTTAAAGATACAGATTTCATTTAAATACCCCCCCCCCCCTCCTCCTCCTAGCTTACCTAGTAGTTGGGATATCTGGGTTGAGAAGAATATTGAGTAGTTTGAGTAAAATTTATAATAAACTATTCGTGATTCGAGCTTAATTTTGAATAACGACATTGTTCTGCTTTTTCTTTGACTAGGTTTTAAATAGCTGAGTGATCGTGAGCATGCCCTACAATAGAGAACCCGTCTATCAAGAATAGGGACTGGCTTTCTCATGCCAGATCAGTGCCATTTCTATTCCTTTTATTTCAATTCCATGACTTGTAGTTGTTGATTACCTTAATACAGCTGGAGCTCTATATACACGACCTCCAAGAGATTGTCCTTCCAACTCCTCCCTACAAAACAAAACATGCGTTTTTTCATAGAAATTAAGACAATTGGTAAAAATAAGTTCTATTTTTTATTATTTACCCCAACTCTCCCAATTAAAAGGTCCAATTTTTAATTTCCAACCAAAACTTTAATCTGAAGATTCATTATTATTTTATAATTTAATAATTAAAGAAAAAAGAAAATCATTATTAAATCGTTAAACANATCAAATAAAACAATTTTTGATTGAAAAAATCTTTATTATTTAAAGATAAACTTACTTTAAGTTAGAAGCAGCTGAAGTAGCGGTTTTAAATGCATTTGATCTGCTCAAATTTTCTGCAGCTTTGCCTAGGCTCTCTCCTGCTTTAGTTGTACTCTTACCCAAATTCTCGGTAAACTCAGACGCTTTCTTCCAGGCTTCATTTTTGGATAAATCATCAACAGAACCCTTGATTTTACCAGATAAATCAGTTATCTGGTCCCTACATACAATTCAATCTTAAATTTCATAAAAAGAACTTTTTCGATTTGATAATTCAATTTAGGCGAGAGTGAAAAAGTTTTATCATAAATCAATACTATTGTCAGTTTGAACTTTCCTAAAAACATTCTTAGATTTAGCTGTCTCTCCCTCAATATTCATAAATTTTCTCCGCGCTTCCTTTAATGCATCCGATTCTTCTAATTTCTTTGCTTCTTCTCGAAACTTTTCTAAACTTTCTTTCATTTCTTTACTTTTAGAGTATTCTTGCTTTAAATTGTCCAGTAAGGATTCAAAAAACCCCGGTCTTCGATTAGGATCTGTTGCATAATGATTGACAAGTGCAGGATGAGGGTAGACTGGACTGTACAGAAGCTCAGATTGTTTAAGGACCGGTATGAACGGGGTTGTACGATGACTACAAAGTAGTTTATGCGCCGCACGATACATTATTTCTGAAATTCAATAATTATTGATTAACGGCGTTAAGATTTTTAATCTGCGCTTTATACTTGGCGTCATCGATAAGATCGTGGTGAACAGAAAATTTGCTTTTAAGATATCCGTCCATGTAGAACTGAACTCGAGTAATAAATCCTCCGGAACGTTTGGGAGCAGATTCTCTCAAAGACTCGAGAATATTCGTAAAGTTTTCGAAAATTTGATCGTCCGGCATTCCCAGACGTCCAACCTGTGCCTCGCAATATCCAAAGGCAGGATCGTCATTATATCCCAGAGTAGACTTTGGTTTCTTAACCTCGACCAACTGTCCATTCTTGAAGGTTTTCACCATTTTCTCCAAATCTGTCCCGATGGTTCCAAGCGTTTTCTTTGGAAACTTTTCCCTCAGAACTCCCAAAAGAGGTCTCAATTCAAGCGAGATATCGTCGTGAGCTAAGAAATAGTCATAATCGATCACTTCAACTTTTCCCTAAAATAAATCTAAATTCATATTTGAAAGGCGTTTATAATTTTTTTATTCCTTACCTTAGAAATATCTTCGATTAGATCTAATCCTCCAACCTTCGTTGCTCCAGCATTTCGAGCAGCATCCAGTGATTCTTCGTTCTTGGCAAACGCTAAAATCATTTTTTCCGAAACTCCTCGCTCGAAGGCGTTGTAAAGAGGAACCATCTTGGTAAACGCCTCGATATATCTAGAAAATAAAAGCGTGTTATTAAATATCTTAAAAAGTAGATTAACTGACAAAATAATTTCCATCAAAAATACTTACTTTTCTTTCCTTGAGGCGGACATATCAATTTCTATGCGAGCGAGCACGATACCATTAGGATTATCTAACTGGGTTGGATGGTAGTGTTCGCGTAAACAGCTTAGAGCCTTGAAAAGAAAATAAATATTTACTTGGTTAAAAATATTTGACGATGTCACAGATTTTTTTGAGAATTTTGTTATTCCTTTAATTCTAGCAAAACTTAACAACTCTAAGAAAAGATGAGTTTAAAAAAATTGATCATTAGATACCAGACTAGAAAACTTGATCTTTCGGATTTTCTGTTAAACCCACGAAAGTGAAAAAGGTTTAACGAATTGTTTGCAGATTAAGATATCGTTTATTGGAGGAGGATTTGAAACTGGTTTGTTTAACCTAGAAGAAAATTCAAGATGTAATAAAAAATAGTGTTTTTATTTTTCGTTCTTCATGCAAGTAAAAATGGCCGGTATTTTTTTTAAATAACAAAATATAATTTAGTAAAATATACCTCTGGAACAGAAAGACGTCTCCAAGTAAACCATTGTTCATCCCAAGTATCATCAAAGGGGAAAGGTTTCTCATCCCTCGCTCTCCAATCAATTGGCTTAGAACCAAATCCTTTAGCTTTCAACATAAGCTGAACTTTATGAGGTATTGGTGGGGGGTTCTTTCTCAATCTTTCCTCTTTCTTTTTCTTATTATCCATATAAACCTTCCTTTTCCTTAATCTGGTGGACTGCCTAGCTCTCTCCACTACTGCTGAAGTGTGAAGGGGTAGGATAGATATTAAACCTTGGACAGGAAAGGGTTGGATTTGCTGGAAAATTATTGAAGATTTATGATGTAAACCGACCCTGATGGGTCTAATCATTTGACGAACAAGACTGGACATTTTTCTGTTCAATTGGACTTCATTCTCACTCTCTGCCCGAGATAAGGCGAAGGTGAGACATTGAGGGAGAGACGCGGCAATATGTCTTATCACATCTTTCTATAGGGATGTTCAAATTTACTAGTAAAACTCACGAAGAATAGGGCGTTTCAAGATATACTGTACAGAGCGTCCCATATCATATTAGATTATTTCCAAGTTTCAACACCAAAATAAACCCATAATACTCGAAAAACCTATCATTTTCCTCAAGAAAATTCTTATATTAACCTTATTCAATTTTTCAAAATGATTCATTCTTCTTAAATTTTCCGATTAGTCCCAAAAATCGTAATTTAGACCGATTGACGATCTAATATGATGTGGGACACCCTGTATATCGTCGACATTTTCTTCAACAAGAACTCTTAGCAAGACTAAAAAGTTGTAAAACCATTAAAGGCGCTATCGAGGAAGGCCCCCACCCCCTCCCCGGAAAACAGTGAAGTGGACCATGGCCAATTTAGTGCAAATTAAGACACCCCTCCCCCTCCCCCTGGACTTGTCCACTGGATTATCTTTCTGTACACGCCAAATGCCCTTATATAGTATAAGTAGCTTTTAAACAAACAAATTTGTTTTTAAAAAAATATATTTATTTACAACATAAAGCTAATTCTTGTGACTGGTAGAACATCTAATTTTCCTCCGTTTACTAACAAAGATTGCTTTAACATTAAACGATGAAAAAAGTCATATTGAAAAATTTGAAGCTTTTGTGAAAAAATAATTGGTCTAAAATGCGAGAGAAAAATTTACATGATAAATGCTTCTTTTATGAGAGGAAATTTAAATAATAAAATAAATCTGATAGAAAATTCTTCAAAATAAAAAGAAATCTTGCATTTTATAGTTTTAATTTGATAATAATTCTCTTCTCCGTTTTGGTGAGAATACTCAAATAAATAAGCCACGAATATAATCAACAAACTCAAACATGAAAAATAAATTCTTGAATCAAATAACTGTTTTAATGTTTTGTAATTTGTACAAAATATTGTCAAATAATTGTGTTGAGGATATATGAGAAGGGTGAATAAATTAATACAATGAACCGAAACCGGGAGTGAATCAAACTTCGACTCATTCGTTCTGATGCTAACCGTTCAATATTGATTAATCAATTGTCTGTATCCGGATTTCTTCGGAATCTTCTTTGGAGTTGAACGCAATTCAATAAATAACAGATCGCAATTGATAAACCAGCAATGAAGAAAATTAATTCAGATTTGGGAATGATTCGCTGGAAAAATTAATTGAAAAATATTAGAAAAAACTTTTCACCCTTCTGTATGTCAGGTTAACAATTCATATAACACAACTATCTCGGTGCCCCCTAGCTCCGTTCAACTATGCTTCTTCCCTTTCAACTCATCAATTTTAGACTTCAGATCATCAGCATCATCTCCAGTCTTCACCCTGTAATAATTCATTATTTAGCTTCAAAATTCGGTGATGATAATGGACAAAACATCTGTAGAGTAAAAAAAGTAGATGTTAGTTCCACATTTTATTGAAAATATAATTAGGTCTGGGTGGACCCTCATCAGTTCTTGAGATTGTTTTTTATCATGAAGATTATAAAACATTATTTAGCTATTATCGAGTTTAAAATACAGTGGAAACCAGAAAACTGTGGAATTAGGAAGACGACATTAAGGCAATACAAGTTTATTTGATGTTTTACAAAGCAAATATTTTACCACTGATTTAATCACTTTTCCAGGGAAATGGGTCTGTTTACACTGCACAATTGCTGTGTTTCATATTCATTTGACTATTTGAAGTCGTCTTCCAATTCCAGGGTTTTGTGGTTTTTACTATACTTTATTTTTCCTCTGGAATCCGTAACAGTGCACTGAGCATTATGTTACGACAAAATTTCTCGTGACTTATATTAGACGAAAAGTCTTATTTCTTTTCTAGAGACCAAATCTAATAAAAATTGCTTCTAGTAATGTTTACACCAGATTTGTTTTATCATTATTGATCCCGTAAACCTTTAAAAAGAGAGTTTATCCGCAATATTTTTTTACTTTTGGGTTCTGATCAACGGACGGTTTGGCAGGTCCTTCTAAGTGGATCCAGGTAATGAAAAAATAGGTATGAAGCAAATCAAGTGTTAACGATCTGTCTTTCGATAATCGATATTTACCAAATAATCTGTGTAATATCGATATAATGTGCGAAAAAAAAGAAAAAAAAGGGGGGGGGGTTAGTCTAATAAATTGACATTTTTGCAACTTAATCTCAATTTTTATCGGATCCATGCATCAAAAACATATGATCCCTCTGAACAACTCAACATTCCGATGTGTGTACGTTGAATTGAATAGATTGTAAATGAAATTTAAAAATCATAAATAAACTTTAAATTGATTATCTCAAAGCTTAGAAGTTAGAACAATTCTTAACCGATCTTCCACATGATAAAAGTTGACTTTAGTCATCCATTCGAAAATTGTCAGCATTAGTTACTTCTAGATATACCTGATGAGCATGGGGACTGGAACACTTGATGGATTCTTAGTGTCAATGGGAGGATTTGGTACACACACCAACATCACGTTGTTCTTACCAACCCTAGGAATGAAATGAAATGAAATGAAATGAAATGAAATGAAATGAAATGAAATGAAATGAAATCCAACCCAACCCAACCCAACCCAAACAACCCAAATCGAATCGTAGATTTAGGAAAGTCCTATTCGTACCTCTTAATCGAGAAAAGACAATACTAAATCATGATTGAAAGCTTATAAATAAAAAAACTATTTAAGTTTGGACACTTTTGGTGTTCGTTTTTAAGCATTTCAAGCTTTAAGGCTTAATATCCATGTTTCGTAATTATTAATTTTGCAAGCTTAATAAAATATGATACATTTTACCATGAAAAATTTCTCAATGGTATAACATAAAAGGAAAAGATGAACGATAAATATTTTCCTATTTTTGGATCATACTTTCCAGAAAATCAGCCTTAATAATAATTTTTCTTAAATACAAGCTTTTAGGTTAAAGATACAGATTTCATTTAAATACCCCCCCCCCCCTCCTCCTCCTAGCTTACCTAGTAGTTGGGATATCTGGGTTGAGAAGAATATTGAGAAGAATATTCCCCAGGTTAGTATCTGCTCTCACCAACAGCTGAGTTTTACCATTATCTGCAGATTTGAGATGAAGCATCCCAACTCCTTTATCCATATACTCATCACCTTTCTTGTAGAACAGTTTACATTTACGAGAATACAGTGCATCGTCCTCAACAACCTGAAGTGTTAACAATTGTAATAAAAAATTTCTTCATTTCAAAATTGACAGCTTTAATCTATTTTGACAAGAAGTTTTAATTTGGTTTTAAAACTTTGAAAATTTCATAAAGCATCATTCATCAAAACGAAGGCAGTATAAATTTTAAATATTTCTATCTACCTGTTTTACTTCTACAACCGGCGGAGAATCCACATCTTCCTCCTCCTGAGTGGCGGAAACCGGCTGGGATGGGGCAGGGGTCGCAAATCCTCCGCCGCCACCAGAACCGAATGAAAACCCTTCCCCAGCAGGTTTCGAGGCCAAACCAAATGAAAATCCAGATGAAGCGTGTCCCTGTTTAGTTACTGCTCCTGAACCGAAAGCAAATTTGGCTGGTTCTGTTTTGTTTTCTGAATTCGCTGCGAACGAGAATGGTTTAATGGACTCTGAAGGTTTCACTGGACTTTTAACACTCGGGGAAATTTGAAAACTGGTTGTACCCGAGGATTTTTCCTTGGCAGGAGTTTTTGTTTGATATTTTTCAGAGATTACCTTAAGATGTTTTTCATAATCTAGAAACACCGGAGACAGAAGAACTAATGGATTTTCTTCAACATGGCGCTTAATCCATTCCGTAACTTGAAGATTCAAAGCTTTCAAATGAGCCAAATAATCTTCATTATATTCATTACTTTCTACACCGTCCTTTGAACTTGAATTTCCAAACGAGCTTTCAGTCGATTTTGCAGACCCTAAAATAGGGGTTGAAGAGACACTTTCTCCAAATTCGGACGATTTTCCGTTTAAATTGACGGTGGCGCCACTTTCTGAAGACTTTGATCCAAAACTAAACTCAGCTTTAGAGGACTTGGGTTCTGTAGTATCCTTACAATTAGACATAAAAGCAAACCCAACAGGTTTGCTAACTTTTTCAGAGCTCGGGGTAGAAGAACCACTTCCGAACGAAAATGACGAGGATTTGGCAGATGATTCGTTCGCTCCAAAAGCGGGAGCGTCAGCAGGTTTAGGATTAGAATTTGATCCGAAAGCAAACACGGAACTTGTTGATTTTTCAGTGGCCGGAGCACCAAAAACAAAACCTGACGAAGATGTGTCCTTGCTTTTCTCGGCGCTTCCAAAACTAAACCCTCCAGCTGGCTTGGGACTTTCCTTCTCACTATCCTTCACAGCGGAAGATCCAAACTTAAATCCAGATGATGGTGCATCAGAGGATGCGCTTGAACCGAAAGATGTTCCGAATCCAGTTCCTCCGGTTTCTCCAGACTTTGTTCCAAAAACGGCCGGGCTAGATTCTGAATGTCCGCTTCCAAACTTAAACCCTCCGGAGTCACCAAAACTAGATTTGGAGCTGTTTGATTCTGGCTGCTTTGCTCCAGGTTTTGGAGTTTCGCAAGCAGCACATTTAATCTTATCTGCAGGGTTCGAGATCATACAAACATCACAAGACCAGGAACCGGACTTAGCTTTAAACATGTCCAATAAATCATTCTTCGGCTCAGCTGGCTTCTTCTCCGACGATGTAAAGGTCGAACTTAATGGTTTCTCCTCATGCGAGCTTTTACCAAATGAAAACTGACCGAAGGCTGGTTTGGTGGGCTCCGCTGCATTGCCCGATCCGAATAAGAACGGAGAAGCAGAATCTTTTTTATTAGCGGATCCAAATACAGCAGCATTGGCGTCAGTTTTAGGCAAATCAGTTGCTTCGGGTTTAGCTAAAAAACTGAACGAGTTCGTGGTAGCCGGAGTGGATGCAGAAAATCCACCGAATCCTGCGAAAACGTTCTTTTTCTCCCCTCCGTCGACAGCATTTCTCCTTCGGGCCGTTTTGATCACGCGACCCATTAACTCCTTATCATTGGCCTACAGAAAAATGGATATATAAAATTAAATCTAATTGACGCTATCATTATTGGCTTATTAGTGGCAATGATAGACTCGCAGATATTCTCAATATACTCCTAATTGGGGTCTAGAGATTAACTCACCAAATAACCAAGCCATAAACAATAACCTAGCTCGCCTCCTGATTTGAATTTAAGGTGCACAATTCTGAATATACTCCAAACTTGTAAGATTGTTAAAAAAAGTACTTATGGACACCCTCCCCCCTTTACACTAAGTCACCGGAAAGGAGGTTGTTTAATGTTTATAGAAAAGAGAAAAGTCGGAGAAATTAAAAGAAAGCGAAATACGGGAAAATCAAATGAAAGAAAAATCAGTAAGATACACCCCGGGGTATATATTTATAAGAGTTAAACCCTTTTCATCCATTTTCATACTTGGAGGTGTTTGGGGTGGGGGGGTGTTAATAATTAAGAATTGGACATGAAAGGCAACTTTTTCTTTCCTCATGTTGTTACTCCTAAATATTATCCTTATAAATAATTCAGTTTCTCAAATTCAGCGAATAAAACCTTAAAAACTGCACCGCTCCACGTAAACATACCCAACTTCTAGGGGGATAAGGAGTGGGAGGGGGTTGGCAGGGGATTAAATAATCTTTCAGAAAAAGATAAACAGCTGGAAATTTTGTATATAGTTATCATAGGTCATGTAGACGCAGCGCTGGGCCCCTAGCCTGTCATAGCCGCGTCGCTCGGCCCCTAGCGTGTCCTAGTCGTAGCGCTCGGCCCAGAAATTTTCTTATCCTAGCCTAACCCTAACATGGTAAAAAAAATAAGTAGTAATAATTTAGCTGAAAATTGAGTGGTCATGTACAAATTTGATAGGAGGGGGGGGGGGGTCCAAAAATCGTATACTTGGACGGACCCTCTGAATTGAATTGAGTAAGAGGGGATGGTGTATTATAAATCACCATGGGTCGCTAGCCAAATTTTGCACACTCATTATACACAATACCTTCTTAAAATGTCCTGCAGTCTCTGCTTCCTCTTCCTGATCCCAATTCTGGTCATTCAAATCACGTCCCGCTACACGTTTAGCCATTTTTACTGATTCTAAACATAAATACACTCCTTTAAACATAAATAATAAAATAATGCATTTGTTTCGAGACAAAAATTTATAAAAACAAAATTTTCTAAATTTACTTCGATTAATTCGACGCGACAATATGAAGTAGAGCAAAATAGTGAATCGTATTAATTATTATTACGAATTTAGAAGTTTTTGAAGCGCATGCCTAATGCCGCATGTGATTGTTAAATCTTCATGTTCGCGGGATCTGTCGTCCTTGATTTCAAAAACACCACAAATTATAATAATGAATAAGTATATGCCCAGTTGCCTTCTTGTTTATTAATTTGTAGCATGCGAGGTAGGCCCGTAGCGAGGGGCAAATTAGGGTACGTTCCCCCTCTTTTCACCAGGAGGTGGGATGGCACATCATCTGAAACAATAAAGAAGAGAAGGGAAGGAAAAATGAATTAGGAAGGAAATGAAAAGTGGAAAAAAAGGAAAAAAGATGGAAGAAATCAAATTTTTTAAATAAAGCATGTGACTGATATCAGGACCGTAACTAGGGGGGGCAAGGGGCATGTGTCCCCCTTTTTACCACCGAAGGGGAGGCACAGGGGGGGGGCACACTATCTGAGACAAAAAAGGAGAAAATTATAAAAAGGAAACGAAAAATTAAAGAAAGATGAGAAAAATGGGAGAAAATTGACAACAAAATGAATTTTTGTTTCCAATATTATTAAGGATTATTTTTTCTTCAAATTAAAGAAAAATTTATTGCTTTCTGTAATAAATTATTTGGGAATTTTTTTCTATCCTGTCTTGTAAAATGAAAGGGTTTTAATAATATTTTTGTATTTTGAGAAGCTTATCCTCTTCCCTTCTTTTATTAGATTATAATTGAACCCGCACAGCAAAAAGTAACATGGAGACAAATTGAAAGTATATATGGCCAGGTTTACAGAGGCGCAACTAGGGAGGTGGGGTCGGCCGGGCGCGCGCCCCCCACCCCCAGCACGTTTGAGAGGGCCGGGGGGCTCACCCCCCTGCCGAATGAAAAGGAAGATTGGCGAATTTCAGTTTCCGTAGGTGTCAGGAATAATAAAAAACCAAAAGAGTTATTGTAGAAATTGTATTCTACTATAATGGTTATAATTTAAAAAAACGTCATGTTTGTGTGTCTGTACCAAAAGAGTACGTGTGTAAGGATACCGTACCAAAGGTGTATACTGTAGGTTTATACAGTACGTAATAATCTCGGTATTTGTACACTGTACAGTCTTGGAGAGTACATTTGTTTACATATGTTAATTGTTTACTTAAATAAGTTTAATATGCATGTAATATATTATTTATATATTTAAGTCAACACTATAAGCCAAATGTTCATGCAAAGAATATAATTTGATTAAAGTTTACAATAAGCTACTCGTTATTCAAGTTTAATTATAATTGACGACATTGTTCTACAATTTCCTTGACTGTACCAGAAGAGTGTGTGTAAGGTTATCGTACTGCCTACTGGTCTGCAAAGCAGTGCGACTGGCTTTCTCATGCCAGACCAGCGCCATTTCCTTTCCCTTTATTCCTATTCCCTGGCTAAAGGCTATTGTAAACATTTAATGTAAAAAGGTTCCAAACTGTATTGTATTTGTGTTTAGTGTTGTTAGTTTAAATAGACTACAAACTGTTCAACTTTGTAAATATGCATCCGAGAGTCCTAGAATATTCCATCGTTGAAGGACAGATTTTTTGAATTGTTCTTTTTAATCATAAGATATTTTTTCTTTTAAAGTATATTTTAATTCTCCGTAAAGGAATTAAATTTTTGCCACAAACTCTGATTTTTTAACCCCTTTATCTTTGCAACCCAAGCTCGTAGATTTCAAACTTTGAATTATTTTGGTAAAATAACCTAAGTTTGAAATATCAAAGGTTTTCACCATTCGGTGCAAAGATTTAGGGATTAGAATATTTGAGTTTGTGGCAAAAACTCAGTTCCAAATATAGAAAACATTCTGAGACTGAACCTGGCAAACTTCTAACTGATTATCATATTGATAACTGTAACCTGTTTATCTTCTTTGAAAGAACTTCTATAAAATCGAAAATGAAATAAGATTATGAATGTTGGTTAGAATGATCAATCATAAATTTAATAACTTCAGGAGAAAACGTAACATTATCTGTCCTTTTTCAACGTAGATGATAAAAAATATATATGTATTTTGATGTTTTTTTTTCTTCAGAATTTATAAATGATTATTTCTTGTATTATATCTGTAATTAAACCATGGGTACAAATTTTCTTTGGCGCTCCGCGCACACATGAAAAGAGTTGATTGACTCATATGTTCATTTTACAGTTGTTGAAAACATAAATTTTTAAAAAACACAAGAAAAAAAACGATTTGAATTGAACACAGCCAAATCTGAATGCAACAACTGAAAATTTCTTTTTTTCGACACCAACCTCTTAAAAAGTTATTTTTATTTTGAAAATTTTTTTCNCCCCCCCCAGCAAAAGTGCTAGTTGCGCCTCTGCAGGTTTAGGAGAAGCTGTTTGTGCTCATCCTCAAGGTTTCAGGGGAGTTTTTCGAATTTTAGTTTTGGGAAAACTGAAGATTTTCATGCTTGAGCCTTTATCTTGATCTTTACATGGCATTTACATCCTTTACTTCTCCTGTATTAAAAATAAGTATTGACTAAATTCGTGATTCCAAAAATTTCAGAAATATATTTATTTATAGTTTGAAGTCAAATCTCTACATCTCATACAGTTATACCTCCTTTTTTTGTTTTGATGCAAATACAATGACAACCAGAAAACTCTGAAGTATTGAAATATGAAGACTACTAGACTTTTAAACTCAAATTATGTCTGATATTGTCAAATGAGCATGGGACACAGCAATAGTGCAATGTAAACAGACCCATTTCACTAAATTAATGATTTAATTAGTGTCATATTATAAAACTATTTTCTTTGTACACTTAAGTGATGCTATAAAGTCGTCTTCTTATTTCAGAGTTGTTTGGTTATCACTCTAGCTTTCCAAGCACTTATACAGATAACATAATGCAAAATAGGCGCAAAATATCTATCTTAATGAATCAAAATGTGTAATTTAAGTTAAAAATCTAGTTTTTTCATCTTTAGACAAAGAGAATAGATTATATATTAGAGGGGAATTTACTAGAAAAAAGTGTAAAACGGCCCCATTTTGTTGTACTGTTTCCATACTGCATGTGTACTTCACATATTTATGCTATTTAACCTTTTGGGCCCTTGAATATCATTTTATAGAAAATCTCAAATTAATATTAAAAAAGACCAAATTATGAAATAGGCTGGTTTCATAACTGATCAATAATCATTTCACATAGACTCTATACCTTTCACTTTATACAAACGATGATTTTCCATTATAACTATAACTCAAATGATGTTTTTTATTCACCTAATTCATTATAAAGTTTATTTAAAAGCTTTAAAAAATTCGAAATTGAAATGGATAGTCTAGGGAACATACTGTATTAATGTACCCAACTGCATATAATGTGTGAACATTTACATGATTTGTACACTTTGAACTCCTTTTCAGGCTGAAAGAGACTGAAAAAATTCATACCGAGAGATTCTTTAATTCCCCTCTAATATATATTCTTTCTCTTTAGATATTAAATTTTACCCTTTTTGAGTTTTTCAGGTAAAAAAATTCAAAAAATTCTTAAAATTTAAATTAAAGATACTATATGCTGTGGAATGGCTGTGGACGTCCCCCGGGGCCCTCTTCTTAAACCGCCACTCCTATTTTATAGTTTGTACTGTGTTATACTTACGCAGTGTCATATTTCAAATGAAGGTCTGCTGAGTAGCTGGACTCTGGAGGGGATGGTGTATTTTTCGACCTACGCAAATCTGCTATACTCCACTTCTGACTTTCGCCAAATCCGCTATACTCACATCTTACCTAATAGCATGTGGTTTTACAGCTGCGACTATGGACCCTCGAATGATACAAAAATTAACAGCTGGCGAAGGTCCGATATTGCAGTATGTCGGAAAGTAAGTAGGTCAGAAGTACAGTAGGGGGGATGTTGCGTATAGACGATATAACATTTCCCTGGGGCCTGGAGGGGCTTGGTAAACCTGATTTCAAGGCACCAAAGCAGAATTCAGACACATAAACAAACTGATTTTGCTTATGTAAGCATGTGTCTGTGCACATGTGTATTGTGCAAGGAACGAGGGAAGACACACAACACCATTTTTTCGTCCTCACCAGGAATGGCGTCCCTTAAGAGGGGGGGGGGAAGTGCAGAAGTCCTAAATGAGTAATCACCGCCACCCAAACGTGTTTTGTGGCATGCGCGCTCCTCAATTGGTTTCTTATCACCGTATAATCATGTTACATGAGATTTTAATTTAATGCATTTTTGAAACGATTTTCAACATCTATTATAGGGGTTTCATGGCATCATTATTGACTTAAACTAAATTTTTAATTTGTTTTCAGATTGATTTGGTCAACGAAAACTGAGAAACAAGACATAGTCCATTTTAGGTAAACAGTGCAAACGGGCAGTCAGGGCAACAAACATAGGTTTTGGCTGATCCAGGGGGGGGTAATTCTCTGGGGGCAGGGAGCATTGCTACAGCATAGGTTGCCATATGAGTTGTACATTTCAAAATAACATAATTTATAGTTATTACTTTGTTCATTAAAGAGGTGTGAAATATAAGGAGTTTGAAACAATAACATTCAGGGTAAAATGCTGCAAACATTCTTGTGGCATATTTATAGATTTATTTTAGAAACTGGGGGACAGTAAAGAAACAATTTGTACACCATAGGGCCATTACCAGAGGTCAATATTTAATGTTACATTTATTTGTCTCATTAGCAATTGAGAAGAAAGTATGCTGCAAAACACGTTTGGGTGCCAGTGATTACTCATTGAGGACTTCTGCACTCCACCCCTGGTCCCAACTCCCAACTAACCATTTTTTCTTCATACCATACCTTTTTTTGGTCCGGGCCTTGCTTCTGTGATTTTG